ATAAATGAAGAAAAATGCTGACAGGCATCACAGCTGGTGCTGCATCCACCATCGCTGGTGATCACTGCTGCACAGAAGCATGCTGTAATGTTTAGCTGTCTTAGGATGCTGGGTGTTATAACAGCAGCAGCCACACATCTCTCCGTCCACTAACTTTTCTTTGTGAGTTTGAGTGGAATGAGCAAATTCCTGCATGCCTGAGGTGCTGCTGGCAGGAAGGCAAACCTGTCCTCAGGTGGTAGAGCGGGTTGCCTCATGATCGGAGGGTCGTGGGTTAGATTCCAGCTCCCGCCAGGGGTATCCTGCTGTTGTGTCCTTGGGCAAGACACTTCACCCAACTTGCCTGTGTTAGTGGTGGTCAGAGGGGCCGACGGCGCCAAATGGCAGCCTCGCCTCTGCCAGACCTCCCCAGGGCGGCTGTGGCTACAAGTAGCTTACCATCACTAGCAGTGTGTGAATGTGAGAGTGTGTGAAAGCGTCTTTGGGGGTCTTGAAAAGCGCTATATAAGTTCAATGCGTTATTATTATTATTATTACAAAACAAAAGGTTTCTGTTGAAACAGCTGTGGGTCTTTGTCTCCTCTTATTTACATTTCATGGACAGAAACCGATGTTGGGAATGTCTTTGTTCTTAGGTTTTCTCCACCAACAAATAGTTTGTGTTCAGGAATTTAAACAATTGTTATCTGTTTTTACTCGTGCAGGGGTCGAATCAGACCCAAAGAGGACAGAAAAGAGAGGTTTGAGACTGAAGATTGAGGGTAACATAAAATCACACATACAGGTCAGATCTAAATGTGTTGATAAAACCTCAGCAGGACACAACAGGTGTATTAACTTTTGTGTTTATGTATTTCAGAGACTTTTTAGCACAGACAAATGTGTCCCTCACTGTCCTACACCTCTTCATTCAGTCCCCACCCCTAAACTCATGTTTTCCCCTAATTTAAAAGAACCTCGTTTAATATTTGAAAAGAGGACATAATGAATTGGGACAGCAGCAGCTCAGTATAAGGCGGGTTGTCCAGTAATTGAAAGGTTGCAGGTTTAATCCTGGCTCCAGAATTCTGCTGTTGTGCCTATGGGCAAGACACTTAACCCACTTTGCCTGCTGGTGGTGGTCGGAGGGACCGGTGGCGCCAGTGCTCGGCAGCCTCACCTCTGTCAGTTCGTCCCGGGGCAGCTGTGGCTACATCGTAGCTCATCACCATCAGTGTGTGAATGTGTGTATGAATGGATGAATGATGCACTGTAGTGTAAAGCGCTTTGGAGTCCTCTGACTCTGAAAGGCTCTGTACAAGTGCAAGTCACATATCATATTGTGAATGCAAACCAAACAGATTTTTCTGCATAATTCCACACATCTCATCACAGCTGAAGTTGAACAGTTCCTTTCAACCAGAGCTTCTAATATATGTGGTTTAACCCTAACCCAGATGCATGCATTCAGGTAAGAAAAGGCGTTCCTAAACCTGCAAAGAGACCATCTGAAACATTTATTATCTCTTTAGACCATGTCCGATTCACCAGAACTCTAAAACATTTGACTTTTGGGTCAGTCAGAATCAGAAGGGTTTTATTGCCATACGGCTGAAATGTGGCTAAAGCTGGTTTCTGTTGTTTTTTTATTCGGTGTGATTGGCGGATGTGATTTTTTTTCATTGCAGTTCTGTTTTGACGTTAAACTTTAATCAAGAAGCCAAAGCCCTCAGAAACAGAAGCTGAGTGGTGTTTCTCAACAGTGGCCGAACCATTTTAACTTGTTAATGGAATCTTGCAGCACCAATACAGATCCAGGAACAACTTTAAAAAACTCTCACTAAACTTTTTACTGCATAAAAAAGCAGATAAACTATGGATTCTCAGTATGTTATAAATAACCCAAAGCTCTGTCCTCTGGTGCCTCTCACTGTGTTTTTTTTTTTTAATTTCTAGTCCATGTATATCTCTCTCTGGAGAGAGGGGAGTCTTGTCTGCTGCACTCAGAACCAAGGTTTTAATGGTGATTGGCTCCACCCAGGAAATTGTGACAGTTTCAAGGCCTCTGGTTGCTCAAGACGTTTACTTCTACACCCATACAAAGCTCCGATGGATGAAGAGTCAGCTGGATGGAGGGACTTGAATCATCCGTGAGGGACATTAACAGGTCAGCATGTAACAGTAATGATTTATTGTAAGTTATAAGTTCGTGTTTTCAACCGTTTTAATATTTCTAAACAGTAAACAAGTCCTTTCTTTCCAGAACAACTCAGACCTGAATTTCCTTTATGATCTATGACATGAGCAAGGGTTTGGACATTCATCTTGATACAAATGTTCTAAAACAGCAGAGGAAGGAGTGAGACTGCAGCCTAACTGTGTGACTAACTACAGACATAACGAACATCCTTCTTCTAACCTGCTGCCTGTTAACACTAAAGAGGCTCCTAAATGTGCTGCATGCAGCGACCTCTGGAATTACGTGTCCCGTGAGATCACGACGGTGGCACAGGAGTTAAGTGCTCGCCCCGTAATCGGAAGGTTGCAGGTTCGAGTACTGCTCAGTCACTGTCGTTGTGTCCTTGGGCAAGACACTTAACCCACGTTGCCTGCTGGTGGTGGTCGGAGGGACCGGTGGCGCCAGTGCTCGGCAGCCTCGCCTCTGTCAGTGCGCCCCAGGGCAGCTGTGGCTACATCGTAGCTCATCCCCACCAGTGTGTGAATGTGTGTGTGAATGGGTGAATGATTGATTGTGTTGTAAAGCGCCTTGGGGGGTTCCAGGACTCTAGAAGGCGCTATATCAAATACCATTTACCATTTCACTGCTGACAGACGTTATTAGGATGGAGACCCAAAATATCTGATGGCTGATCACTGCACAAGGTTATTCAGGAGGGACTGATTTGGAGAGGTGCCTGAGATGATTAACATTACCTCAAAGACTTGACAGAAGGTTCATTGAATGTGAGCCAAAAATAGAAACACCTTAAGTCTGCTAATGAGTCATCGTTGATGTGTTCGCCGCACTGAAAGGAAAGGTCTATTTTCTGGAAAGAAGCACTCAGAATCTGAGAAACGTATTAAAAACCAAAGGAGCTTTCATGATTTACAGAGAAAACCATTGTTTAATAGCAGCTGTGCATTAATGATGACTCTTTTCGGACTAACAAGGTGCTTCAGTGTGAGTCAGAAAGACTGTCTCACTATCTGACGACACCTTCCGTGATTCTGCATGAAAACAAACTTAGAACTACAGCAAGTGTATGACTTCCCGCGGTTAGAAAAATCAAACCTCTGCTTTTTGCAGATGATTTGGTTTTGGTGGCTGCATCAGAAGTGCAGTGCAGGGGTTCTGCTGTCCTTGTGTTGTTTTAAACCCCGTCGTTTTTGAAGAGTTTTAACTTTTATAGTTTTAACTCCGAGTTGATGAGCTTTAAAGAGTTAAAGCTCTGAGTGATCCAGAGGGATCGTTTTAAAGGTTAACTTGGCGATGCAATTTTATTGACTCTGGTTTTAAAACACCTTCTGTTCAGTAAAACTTTTAACATAAGTTTTAACCAGGTGTTTTTAATGTTGGTAATTGGTCTTTTAATGTAAATCTTTTTGAGATTTTTTTTTTGGCATAATTTTAATAATGCTTACCACCTGTTTGCGCACTTGTTTTTAAACCTTTTGACAATTAAACCCATTTTTAAATCCACTCTCATGTTTCTTATGCTACCCCCTCCTTCACATTTTAACTGCACATGTCGGGGTTGTAACATTCATGAGTGAGGGCAAGATGGAGCATGCAATTGATAGATGGGTTGGTGTTGCGTCTGCAGTGATGCGGGCATTGTACCAAATCTATCGTGTTGAAGAGAGAGCTGAGCTAGAAGCAAACCTCTAGATCTACCGGTGGGTCTACGTTCCAACTCTCACCTATAGTCACGAGCTTTGGGTAGTGACCGAAAAAGCGAGATCGTGGACACAAGCAGCCAAAATCAGAATCAGAATCAGAATGAATTTTATTGCCAGCGCTCAGATCAGATCAGAGCATAGGAACTTGACTCCATGGTACAACCTGACCAAGGTTACACAGCATTTCACAGCATTTGTCTGCAATCCTTCCATCGTGGGGTTTTTTGCACGCAACTCCAAGGCTGCTTATGGCGTCAGATTCGATAACAGAACTTTGTTTGGATCAGGCAGAGATAATTTTTCCTCTCTGCCTTAAAGTCTGTATTGATCATTCAAGTAAAATGAGTTAAGGGTATCTGGGCTCTCTCTTAGAGATAGGGTGAGAAGCTCGGTCATCCGGGAGGGGCTTGGAGAGGACCCGCTGCTCCTCCACATCAAGAGGAGCCAGTTGAGGTGGCTCGGGATTCTGGTCAGGATGCCTTCTGGTGAGGTTTTCCGGGCATGTCCAACTGGGAGGAGACCCAAGGGAAGACCCAGGACACGCTGGAGGGACTAAGTCTCTCAGTTGGCCAGGGAACACCCTGGAATTCCTCCGGAAGAGGTGGCCAAAGTAGCTGGAGAGAGGGAAGTCTGGGCCTCTCAGTTTAGGCTGCTGCCCCCCTGACCCGACTCTGGATAAGCAGATGAAAACAGATGGAAGGGTGGATAGAGCAGTTTTTTTAGCTACTTCTGATCTAAAGAAACACTGATATAAGCTTTTAGGCTCACAGTCCTTTTCTTTTCCACCAAAAAATAACTTCATATTTTAAACCTAATAGCAAGACTTTCCTGAAAACTAAAGTTTTTAAGATTAAGCAAAAACATCTTCACGTGACATTTGTTCTGGCTTATTTGACCTCAACTTTTGATGCCATTTTTTCTGAAGAAATATAAAATCACAAAGGTTTTGTTTATTTATGATATATTTGAATATTTATAATAATTTATGGTCTGTTTTTAATCTGTTATTTTTATCTTGAGATTTTAAAAACCGATTTAATTCCCATGACAGCCACATGGCGCCCTCTGCTGACCTGCTGGTGTCATTTCTAACTAAAGAACAAATGAATCAACTGAACACGTCAACAGAAATGGTTTTATTTGGGGAGAGCACAAATGAAATTACCCTTGAAATGTTGTGATTTTAAAATAACCGTTGATGAAATGCAACATTTCATTTTTATTCACACATGAACTACATTGCCAGAGAGAAGAAATTCAGAAAATAACCAATTTATCTGATTTCTCACAATTACAAAACTTCTCCTGTTAGTATAACTGAGATTCACTTCATAAATCATCATGTTGCAATTTAATATTTCAATAAGTGCTGGAGACCAGCAGCAAACACAAAAATAACTATACAATTATTACTCCTATAAATATCACAGGAAAATAACAAAAGTAAAATATGAGACATTTAGCTGCAAAAGCACACAAAAACAATCAGAGTTGACTGAAGTGCTGCAGAAAGGAAATACTAAGAGCCAAAAGTCACAAACCAGAAAACATAGAACATGCAATGTTATCCAAATAAACAGAATAAAAAAAAACTAAATGTCAAGACTAACATTGGACAGTTACTTTTTACATTTAATGTTGAGTTTTTTTGTAAATTATTTTGTCACATTTTTTCCTAGAAGACAGCAGTTCCCTGATACTCTAGGTTTTAATGTTTATGGCACGTTTTTACAATTGTTTTATTGCTTTAGAAAAGCATTACAATACAGACTTAACTGAGGGCATCATAGTTAAACCAAAATGTCCCATTTCAGTCAAATAAAAAAAACACACTTTTCCCCAGAAAAAGTGTGTCCAGGAAAAGCAGATTTCACTTAAATTTAGCTGAAAATGTATATTTGATTTTTTTTTTTTACATCTTTGTCTTACAATGAGAGTAAAACTCAAACACAAAAGCTTACAAGTGCATATATGTAGTGTGGAATCAGGTCTGTTGTTACTAACTAACCATTTACCACAACTTGTTTAACTTCACTAGTGTCTGTCTGACCTCCACAAGGTCTCAACACTGAAACCAAGTAACTGATGACACAGAGACGATGCACGTCTTTAAAATAATATTTAAATAAACCTTCTGAGCTCAGAAAGAGACCTTTGAACTCAAATTTTAACATTTTCCTCAACCAACCACTTAGGTTTTAAATTCATGCTGGCGTTGCTACGTAAACATTATTGCTCCACTACTGAGATTTGCTAGTGATGGGGACTGTGATTTAAAGTGCCACAACAAGTTACTTCCTTTAACATTACTGGTCTTCATACATCTCTCTTCAGTCCATGACAAAACCTGCGCTCCATACTGATTTTACAACACAGTCCATTAAGCAGCGCTCAGAAACTAATAATGTGACTTTAATGGAGGCAAAGTTGAGAAAATGGATACAGAAAGACACAAAGTAGGTAGGTATTTGGGAAACTAGCTACCAAAATGAAATCTGTTTTAGTGCATTGCCTTTTTTCCCACAATAATTGCTTTTTCCTGTGACATAAGTCAAAATTCAAATAAGTTGGCTGTACAAAAAGAAAAATTACAGTACTACGCAATGAGTAAGAGGCTTCGCTTTTAGCTGTACCTCCAGATTTCCTCTATGCTACCAGAGCGACTGTAACCATGTTTCTACCCCAGGTGGAATTTCATGTGTCTGTTCAAACTCCCCTGTTGGGTGAATTCTTGACCACAAACACCGCAGCCAAAGGGTTTTTCTCCTGTATGAACAGTGATGTGGGAATCCAGGTGCGTTTTCCGAGTAAATCTTTTACCACAAAACTCGCAGCTATAGGGCTTCTCTCCTGTGTGGACCGTCATGTGAGTGCCAAGATGAGTCTTACGATTAAACCTTTTACCACAAACTTCACAGCCAAAGGGCTTCTCTTCCATGTGCACGGTGATGTGTGTTCGAAGATGGCTCTTCCGTTTGTAGCTTTTACCGCAAATATCACAATTGTAGGGTTTTTCACCCGTGTGGACCGTCATGTGTGATGTAAGACTTGTCTTACGGTTAAACTTCTTGCCACAAAGATCACAACCGAACGGCCGCTCGTCTCCGTGAACGATCATGTGTATCTTCAGATTATTCTGGTGTCTTGCTCTTTTACCGCAGATGTGGCAAACGAATGGCTTCTCCCCTGTGTGTATTCTCATGTGTGTCTTCACATTGTGCTGATGTTTAAACTTCTTCCCACAAACATCACAGCTAAACGGCATCTCCCCGGTGTGGATCCTCGTGTGGATCTTCAGATTGTTCTCATGCCTAAAGCTCTTACCACAGCTCGCACAGCTAAACGGTTTCTCTTGAGAGTGAACTCTCATGTGAGATTTCAGACAAAACATATCTCGAAATGTTTTGCCACAATCATTACAGGCAAAGTTTTTCTTTCCTTTGTGCGCCTTCGGCTTTGAAACTGGATTTTGCTTCACTTCTGGAAAGTTCTGACTGACTGAAAAGCTGGGAGAGGTTCTCTCTGTATTTCGCCTCATGTGTCTCTTGAGAGAATGTTTATGCAGGAACTGTTTACCACAGTCTGAACAACGGAAGGGCTTTTCAGGGTAACATCCTGACACCTTGTTAACACTTGACTCAGCGTCTTGGCTTTTCTTCCGGTCACCTTCACACTCTGACAAAGGCTCCTGCCAGTCTTCATCATCATCATCATCATCATCATCATCATCTTCGCTGAGTTCAGTCTCAGACGAGTCTGAATCCACGTCATTGACATTTGGTTGAATACAAGATTGTCTGACTAGTTCTAGACGTCTACAGTCCTCTTGGTCCTTTTCTGTTTTGATCCACTTAAAAGAGCTGCTGGCTGGAACGTCTGTCTCTCCCGTGTCTTGGGTTCGGCTTTGATAACGCTGTGATGATTCAGGCTCCTCCTCATCATATTCACTCTTCACAATAACGGTTAATGGGAGTCCAGTGTACTCCGTCTCATTCTGGGCGTAAAGATAATCTCCATCCTGACTGGTCCAGAGGTCTTCTTCTTCCTCCTTGATGCGAAGGGGACATGTGTCCTGCTGGTCCATACTTGACACCAAAGAACCTTTTCTTTAATCACCCGCAGTGGACAGACATCTGTAAATAAACCAAAGCACCAATAAACAAGTGTGACTCCGCAAAACCACAAAATGTTTTGATCTTGACAGCTGCCTTCTTTTACGCTTTATTTATCTGGTTTGTAAAGCTAATTTTATTCTATTGTTTCCTGCTGATTCTCCTACACTGGTAAAACCCGTAGGCCTGCCCCAGTGCATGCTGGTCCAATACCAGTACCTATATTTATAGAAAAGGGCACCACAGTTCTTCCTGACTGACTTACAAAGATTAAACAAACTCAATAGTTGTTAACATACAAATACACATTACAAATAACCCAATAACATAAAGTAACCCCAGAACAAACATAATAAAAAAACATTTAATTCTAATTTCTAATACATCCAGTTTATAATCCATGAAGGAAATAAATGTACCCATTTCTGTTCATTTCAGTTCAGTTTTAGGTCTAACAGAAGAATAGAAAACGAGGAGAGATTTATTTATTACATAAATATTTGTCTTTTTCATTTATGAATACATAAAACAAGACCAGGCTGTACCTGCCTCTTTATTTCTGATATTTTGGACTTGAATAAAATGTCTCATGAGAGTTGGGGTTAGTCGTTGTTGATGGTTAAAATTTTAAATAAAACAGTTGGTTTTCATGCTAGATGAAAATAGTTATTTTAAAATAAGTGATTGTTTAATAAATAGATTAAATAAACGATGTAAAAAGCTGACCATCACATATTTTAAATGAAATAAATTGACTATCTTTAGTAACAAAAGTCTCATCTAGCGTTTTAGTTTTGAGAAATTGACTTTAACAATACATCACATCTCATGAGGTATGTTACTAGAATTATGCAGGCAGAAAATAGAAATGTGTGTTTAAGCATTTATTTTAAAATTATTATAATATAGTATTACCAATAATGGCTAAATGAGCTAATGGTGGAAGTTAATTGGTGTAAATTAACCGAACCGTCCTTAAAATATACACACAAGCTCCAGTGCACAGGAACATAGGACATAAAACTCAGAAATGATTTAGTCCCAGCACAGCAATCCAGTCAGGATCTGGTCTGGGCCAAAGCAGCAGCTCGATCCTTTCATGTTCCAGCTGGTCTGCTGCAGACGTGCTGCTGTGTTCGAACTGACACGGTTTGGTCAAAGCTTTAGCTGTTGGGACAGATAGGATCACATATGACTTCTCAGAATGGTCCCCCGGAGCAGGCAAAAGTGATGGGTCATCAAAGATATTGAAAAACTTGAACAATACAAATGATACACGTTTGCTGTGGATCACCAAGGAAGAACAAGACGAAGGCAACCAACTTCACGCATGGATGATACAACAAGAAGATATACGAAGAATTTGGATTTTTCAACTCTCAATACAGTAAGAACAGGAACTGGTAATTCAAGTTAACAATCGCAAAGGTTTGACTACACAGAGCCTGAACAAGTTCTTCAATAGGTTCAGTTCAGGAACAAACCCAGCATCCTCCTCTTGATTATTATTATTATTATTATTCTGAGCTACTATAGCAATCAATTTCCCTCTGGGATTAATAAAGTATTTTTGAATTTGAATTGAATTTGAATTGAACTACAGGATATGCAGGATGACATTGATCCAGATAATTTTTACACTAGAGTACATAATCATAGTTAATTCTATACTGAAGACCAGTTTGAACTTAATGTAAATGGCCTGTATTTGATATAGCGCCTTCTAGAGTCCTGGAACCCCCCAAGGCGCTTTACAACACAATCAGTCATTCACCCATTCACACACACATTCACACACTGGTGGGGATGAGCTACGATGTAGCCACAGCTGCCCTGGGGCGCACTGACAGAGGCGAGGCTGCCGAGCACTGGCGCCACCGGTCCCTCCGACCACCACCAGCAGGCAATGTGGGTTAAGTGCCTTGCCCAAGGACACAACGACAGGGGTAACTACAAAAGGTATATTATCTGTTATACATTTCAATTGTAGAAGTATAAATTCAAATTTTGCGAAGATTATGCAATGTTTGAAGCAATCAAAACATCAATTTACTGTAATAGCAATCTCTGAGACATGGCTCCAGGAAGGGGGGATATCTATGTTTCAAATTGAAGGATATGTTTTCCACAAGTAGAGATTGCCAAAAAGGTGGGGGTGTGGCTTTGTATATTGATAAAAACTTTAAAAGTAGATTGATGGGAGATATGACATTAGTAATGGATAACATTATGGAATGTGTATCTGTGGAAATACAAATGGAAAAGTCTAAGAATGTGTTAGTCAGTTGTATGTATAGGAAACCAGGATCTTGTATTGAAATGTTTAGAGAAAAAATAGTTGATGTATGATGATAACAAAAAAAATGTGTTTTATCCGTGGGGATTTTAACATTGACCTGTTGAACCCTCAAATGCAAAATGCAAATACAGTTTATTATTTCTATGTTTAGCCTGGGACTGTATCCACTAATAACTCGGCCAATTCGAATTACAAGAAATAGTGCGACACGGATTGACAATATTTTTACAAATATTCTTGAAAATGATGTTTTAAGTGGTCTTATAATTACTGATATATCTGATCATTTACCGGTTTATTCAGTCATACAAAGGACAACTGTAACCACTTAAAGTCAATCTGTTGTTGTTACAAGGCCAAAAAGTCAACAAGCAGTAAACTCATTTAAAACTGACTTAATGGAACAAACTTGGGATGAGGTTTATGTGGAAGATGTAAATATGGCTTATGGAAAGTTTCTAAATATTGTTACTACTCTTTATGAAAAAAATTGCCCATTGCTTTATAAGATGAATAAGAATAAATATGCTGAAAAGCCGTGGATAACTAAGGGAATTCAGAAGGCTTGCAGGAAAAAATAAGCTGTATAAAGACTATAAAGAAAAGAACGGAGGAAGCAGAACAGAAATATAAGATATATAAGAATAAATTAATAAGTATTATGAGATCTAGTAAAAGAAATTATTATTGTAAATTATTGGAAGGAAATAAATCTAATATTACAAACATGTGGCGTATATTAAATGATATAATAAAAATAGGTAGTGGCACTAATAGTTTTCCAAATATTTTTCTAACAAAAGATAATCAAAAAATGTATCAGTCTAAAGAAATAGCAAATGAATTCAATAAGTATTTTACTGAAATTGGGCCAAATTTGGCAAAGGACATAGCAAATACTAAGTTAGATGCTGATGCTGTAAGTAACAAATGTAGATAAAACCATATTTATTCAAGGAGGCACAAATGAAAATTAAGTTATAACACTTGTTAGAAAATTTAAAAGTCAAAAGTCAGCAGATTTACATGGATTTGATATGTCTGTTGTAAAAGAAATCATTGAGACTAGAGCCAAACCACTTATACATGTTTGTAATCAGTCTCTCCAATCAGGAAGATTTCCTGAAAGGATGAAGGTTGCAAAGGTCATTCCTATCTATAAGGATGGAGACAAATATGAATTTTCTAATTACAGACCGATTTCTATTTTATCTCAATTCTCCAAAATACTAGAAACAATATTTCATAAAAGATTGCATGACTTCATTGTGCATCATGGTATTCTATGTGAACAGCAATTCGGGTCTTAGACGTGATCGGACAACGTCTCTGGCAATTGTTGATCTAGTGGAGAAAATATCTGAAGCAACTGACAAAAAACAATATGCTGTAGGGGTGTTCTTAGACCTGGCCAAAGCTTTTGATACTGTCAATCATGACTTATTACTCAAAAAATTGTGTAGATATGGCATGGTAAACCTTCAAATGTTTATTATTATTATTATTATTATTATTATTATTATTATTATATTAAAGGTTACTCTAAAGGTTACATCCTGGTGTTGATGTACAGGTGGTTTGGGCTCATTCTGCTGCATGACCCACAAGCCTCAGCTAACATTTATCATCATTTAACAACCAGTGACTAATCTACGCTGAAACACACAGTGATCAGAGAGTACTCCCTCCCAAGTTGGATAGCAGGTTTTATTTTTTTTTTTGTCCTCTTTGATCCATCAGATTGATAAAGCCAATTATTATTATTATTATTATTATTATCATCATCATCACTATTATTATTATTATTATTACTTGTTTTTGTCACAGTACATCCCTTGTCTTGAGTTCTTGTCAAAAATTAGCAACGGTAAATGAATAATTCAGAGATTTAGATGGAATTAAAAACTTTTTGAAACCCTATTGCAAATATGATTCTCAATAGTACAAAAAATAAACATATTTTAAATTAAATCCAGTTAAACATTGAAGCTGATTGTTTAATTAGCAAACAACCCCCCACCCCCCCACCCCTCACTAACGGGCCAGCTGTCCCAAAAAAATCTGGGATGTTGGGATATAAAACCCTTTAATAAATACTGTCCCCGCCAGTTCGCCGCTCTCTCTCTGAACATTTGTCTCATTAATCCAACACAAGCGTAACTAAATCAGTTTTGTAGCTCTATTTGGCTACTGCTAAGCTAACAGTTAGCTGATTTCTCCTGGGAAAAGAACAAAACTCCTTATTGAATCAGATTTTTCTTACCAGCTGTTCGGTTTGTTGATTCTTAAACTCCAGTTTGACCTCTACAGTCAGACTTCCAGCGTTGGTTTGATGAAAGTACCCCACTTGGTTCATGGTGTTGTTCTCTTTAGAACAATCTGGAGGCTCGTTTGGTGACCCAGGCCTGAGCAGAACCGACCACTGCTCGAGGTGGACCGTTACATTCCAGTCAGACACAATTCAACGGGACCTCAGGAAAACTGATTAAGAGGAAAACTTATTAAGAAATGGGCCCAAGTCATTCTTTGTGCCGTTTTACGTTTTCTTTCTATATTTTTGAACAGGCAACTAATCAGACACCCTGTAGCTCTGTCACCATAGTAACCACAGTAAATCGTCACTCATCCTTTGGAATCGTAGGATGTCCAAGGAAGATCCCGATTTTCTCGCATCTGATTGGCTAGAAGGGCTCTACTGCGATTGGCTACTTCATTTAGCAGCAAACAGTTGTCCCTTGCTAATGCAGACTACCCGCCTATCGCCAACAAAACAGCTGTGTTGGGGATTTTTGTAAAGAAAATGTGAAGTTAGCGCTATAATAACTATTCTGTCCTGTATTGCAAAATACTTTTATGTTTTTTTATTACCAAACGTAAAATGTGAATTTTAATCAATCTGGTTTCATTCATAACACTGTAGTATAAACTGTGATGTATAAACTTATCTTTTCCAGCAGGCTTTTTACTAATAGGGATTTTGTTTTTATGGCGGATCTCTCATTTTGCTTTGTGTCTTATTTTATTTTAGTTATTGATTTTAAGATCTGGCTGTAAACAAAAATCATGCAGCTAGGGAAGACAGTTTTCTCTTGCATGAAACAGTCAATCGTAGGTGTCCTTCCAGCCAATCAGAAGGGAGAAAGGCGGGACCTTCCTTTGACATCCTACGATTTCAAATTACGCCGACGGTTAACATCTATGGTTAACCATCGACATAACGCAACCTTCTCCACTTCCTCTCCCAATATGGTGGATCATGACGCCCTCTACTGTATTGTTAGGCTCACTGGTTTATTAAAAAAAATACTGGAAAACTTTTCCTTTTCTAAAACTGGGACCCTGTTCTCTGAAAGTTGACATACACAAACAAACATTTTCAGGCTAAATTTTAATCATTTGTGTGCAGAAAGCACTTATGTGCAACCTAGAAAAATATATTTCTCTTGAATTGTTAGATTTAAAAAGATATGTCACTATTGTTTTCTTTGTCATTGAGCTTTCATTGTAACATGTGACTACATGTAATTTCTCTGTATATAGCTGCATCCCTGGACCAGAAGTCTCAATGAGTTTTTGCTTTGTTAAAGAAAAGAATAATTTAAAAATTACATTATGTGGGATTCAAGTCAAGTCCAGTCAATTTTATTCATATAGCACTTTACAACAGCATGAAAGCTGACCAAAGTACTTAACAAGCCAAAACCAAATACAGTAAAAACAACAGCAATTTGCTAAAATGCTAAAATTCTAAGGTTTTGTGTGCAAATAAAGAAAACATGGGGTGGTGTGGTGGGTGGTGAAACTGCTATGACTCCTCCCTTGCAACAAGAAAGTCATAGATTCAAAGCCAGGCCTTTCAGCATGTTTTTAACTGTGGCTCCAGTCATACTAGATATAATCAACACCAGTCTGGTTTCTGGTGTTGTGCTGAAAGAGCAAGTCACCCCCAAATCAACTTTTTTTGCTGATAAACTATATGAGTGTCTAATTCTGCTGTAGACATGTGTGGTCAATAATTTGGCACTTTAGTGCATCTTGTTGATATTTAAATAATCTGCCTAAAACTGTCAGTGTTGTGCCATCTTCAGGTAAAAACTCTACACTGCATTTGAATTTAAATCTGCCATAGCTATTAGCTAAGAGGTAACCCATGATATTAGCTGGTACATTATGATGTCACAACGTCGTTGTGAGCCAGTGTGTGTGTGTGTGTGTGTGTGTGTGTGTGTGTGTGTGTGTGTGTGTGTGTGTGTGTGTGTGTGTGTGTGTGTGTGTGTGTGTGTGTGTGTGTGTGTGTGTGTGTGTGTGTGTGTGTGTATTTGATAGCGGCTCCGCCCTCTTGGTCTGCCAGACAACAGCATTTGTTGCATTTTTCAAACAGAAAGTGGGAGTGGAGTAAAACTCTGTTAGGGAGTGACTTGCTCTTTAATGATTTTAAAAGAGTGGGCATTCATCCACTCTTAAAAGAAAACCTGGGCTACATGCTTTTTTGGCATCTAAATTTAGGGCAATTTCTAAGCTCCCCTTTTTATATAAGGTTATGGAAAGATGTGTCTATGGCCAGTTGAAGCATGGCCTTTTTCTATGAAAATAATATTTTTGAAATCTTTCAATCTGGTGTTAGACCACTACACAGAACTGAGACAGCTTTGCTAAAGGTCTTAAACAACCTTTTTGCAACCGATGGTGGAAGAAGGTCTGTGCTGCTTGTTTTATTGGATTTAACTGCAGCCTTTGATACTGTGGACCACAAGGTGTTGTTGCATCGTCTTGAGAATTACGTGAGAATTACAGGCCTAGCTTTAAATTGGTTTTAGTTCTATCTCTCCAGCAGAATGGTGTGTGTGTGTGTCAAAGTTGGGCATTTTATGCAGTGCTCCTTTATTGTGCAGAAGTCAGTTTTTGCTGTGGTTACCAATTGCATGTTTTTTGAGTTGTTTGCTTGTTTACTTGCATGGATTTGTTTTTTGTCTTTTTGATCATGGGACAATGAACTTCCGATTGAGAGCAGCTGCGCCGCTCATAATCACAGACCTATACGGCTCGGGATTGGACCATTGAGGGGTTTGGACCTTTTATAAGGACACTGACAGGTGAAGGAGGGGTGTGCAGTGGAACGGGGAAAGCAGCAACAGAGCAACAGCGGGATCTGCGTTCCTGAAACCAGCTTGGATTGCGGCACAGGCGCTTTCTGTCTCCTGGGAGAGACCAGAGGACGCTGTGGGAGGATCAGTCGTCACACTGACGCCTCCTTGGTGGACTGTGGTGTATTACGTAACACCCCAGATGAAGGATTTTGTTAATTTGGGTGTGAAGGGTGACAACACCTTTTGTTTTAGAGGCCACAAATGGGGTTGTGGCATCTTCCTTCTATCATCTAAGGTGCTTGGCTAAGTTTATACCATTCTTTTCTAGATGTGACCTTGAAATTTTTGTGCATGTGTTCTTAACTTCACGCTTGGACTACTGTAACTCTGTCCTTTTCGGTGGGAGTCAGAGTGCCTTAGTGTTAAGATAATTATATGTGTTTTCTTTTATCATGCTTTATGCTTTTATTACATTTAAAGATTTGACCATTTATGCTGAACAGTGCTGTATTTTTTGAAGTCTCATGTAAAAGTACTGAACCTTGGTCCTGACCTAATGTGACCCAAAGACATCTGCTGACTTGGACAACTGCTGACTCGGGCAACAAACAGTTGCACGTTGTATGATTAAGACACTGAAAGCTCTTTGTGTAATACTGAACGGTCTTTGTGTGAAACTTGTAACAATTGCTCAAAACTGAGAGCTGTGATTTCCTCCTCCCTTCAGATCAGCTCATCAGACGTGTAACTAGGGAACTCCCAACTTGTAATAAATAGAGGACGCTCGGATTCCAAAGGCAGAGTGGTTTTGGAGGACCTGCCAGCCCAGGGAAGACTGAACTGGTCGGACCTTATTCCATTCTCCTCGAGCATAAAACAGAATTCTGACTTCTTGTGTCTCTTTTCTTCCTTGTGTATGGTGTCTAGGGGTTTAAACCTGACTCTTAGCTTGTCTGCAGCTTGTCCAGAATGCTGCCAGGAGATTTTTGGACTGACAAAAGTTTGAATATGCTACCAATATAGGCAGTTCTATATTGGCTACCTGTTCCTTTTAGGATTTGTTATTAAAGTTATTTTACTGTTTTTTAAAGCACTGAATGGTTTGGCTCCAGCGTATTTGGCAGATACTTTGCAGTTGTGTTCCCTCTCGGGCACTTCACTCTGAAGATCTGTCCCTGCTTGGGGTGTCCAGGTCACGACTGAAGACGCGGGGGACAGAGCTTTTTCAGTGGCAGCTCCAACTCTGGAATAAGCTTCTGCATGTTCAGCAGTCCCCTTCTGTAGCCGTTTTTAAATCTAAGCTGAAGACCCATTTTTTTGAATCGGTGGCTTCTGTGCTTGGAAAGCTTCACTTCTGTCAGTGTGCCCCAGGGCAGCTGTGGCTAGAATGTAGCTCATCACCATCAGTGTGTGTGAATGGATGAATGATACACTGTAGTGTAAAGCCCTTTGGAGTCCTATGACTCAGAAAAGTGCCATACAAGTGCGGGTCATTTATTTATCATTTGCCTCACTGCTGCTGCTGTCCTCATTCTCTGAAATTATAATGGCACTGTTAGAATAAAGAATAATTTTTAAATAAAATAAATAAAAATGTCTAATATTTCTAAAGATTTATACCATTTTGAGGGGCAGCAGTAGCTCAACAGGTTGAGCGGATTGTCCAGTAATCAGAAGGTTGCAGGTTTGATCCCGGCTCCGGACAGAGAATTCTGCTGTTGTGTCCTCAACCCACCTTGCCTGCTGGTGGTCGGAGGGACCGGTGGCGCCTCGCCTCTGTCAGTGCACCCCAGGGCAGCTGTGGCTACATTGTTGCTCATCACCATCAGTGTGTGAATGTGTGTGTGAATGGATGAATGATACAGTGTAGTGTAAAGCGCTTTAGAGTCCTTAATCTGAGAGGCGCTATACAAGTGCGGCTCATTTATCATTTACCACAGTTTACTTGAATACAACATGTGTGGTCACTGGTCAGTGGATCAACATGCAGTGGTTCTGCTGTACTTCTCATGACGAGATCCTTCCTCCTCCTTGGTTCTGGGTGATGAACAAGCAGGTTTGGAACAGCATCAGCCCTGAGTCTCACCTTGCCTTGTCTAGTCTTAGTAAACTGTCCCTCCTCAAAATGGGCCTGTAGAGTCGTGTATTATTTTATTTCCTGCCATACTTACGTTTGCAGCCTTGTGCAGTTGAGAGCAAAACATGTAGAAAACATTTGCGAGTGTGCATTAAACTCACTGCACACAGCTTTTTGTTGTTGTGATCTGTGGTCATGGTGAGGTTGCTCCTGCTGACTTGAGCCAGTCATTTTCTTCTTCTCTCTGCATCTTTGGGGAAGCCATACATTCTGATTCCTCCCTCAGACCCATTGCTACATCCATTTGCAGCGCAGCCAACCATGGTAAGATAATCAACCTATAAAGGTATTATTAAAATACTATTTGTACATATAGAAATATTGAACTAGACCAAAAAATAGAGATGTAAAATTACATTTTAAAATTTTATCCAACCTTAAAATTTGTAATTTTCAAAATTTAACCCAATGACAAATTTTATTTTAATAATCAAAATAAAGTTATTGAAAAGAGTTTCATTAGGTCTTGAGTACAATGCTCATAATTAATGATTCAGCTTATTTGTGCATATGTGATGGCTAAACATAATGTTGGTAAAAATGCTTTATTAAAAACGCTATTATACATGTTGTACAAGTTTGTATTCATTTTTTTCACAATTAACACACACTTTATCTACTGTGTTTGACCATACAGTTTTATTAAAATTTTCTTTTTAATTAGCTGCTATTAGTAAGGCTATAGAAGCCAGATAAACTGGGTTATAGATGCATGTACTGTCTTCACATAAAAATATAAAGTAATGATTGCAAAATGTATTCTACTGAACATAATAGATCATCATTCAAAGCATAAACAGCTACATATTTTCTTCAAGGTAAGCTGGAGTAGAATTCTAGCTTTCAATAAACACTTTAAAATGGATATCACAACTCAGGTTTAGGGCTTCTTGTAGGACTTATTTAAATATGCTTATATTAGAGCAGTGTGTTGCATTACTACATCAAATTTATTTCTATAATATATTACAGTAATGTATGTGGTCTAAATGTATTCTACAATGTGTTAGGACTGCCGTGTTGTAATGTAGAACATGGGTGTTTGTCTTCCTACAAATGCTCGGAAAAAAATAGGCTACATTGTGAAGGAATTAGGACATAATATATAGCATAATATGTAATATTATTCAAAAAATACCAAAAATAGCGAGGGGAAATGTGACAATATTCAATTTTTGTGATTTGTCCCACCATACACCGTGGATGTTTGGAACTATTGAGAGCTCCGTGAACCACGTGACAGCGAGTCGGTGCGTTCAAAGCGTGTCGCAACTCTGATCTGGGTATCACTTATCACTTAAACGCCACAGGATACGCACAGTGAGAATGTATGTGCTCCACAGGACAAAAAAAAAAAAAAGAAAAAAAAAAACTCGACAGGAGAGGAGAAGGTGTCCGTGTGGATGCCTGTTTAAAATCCGTGAGTGGCTGGGCGTGTCTGTGTTGTGTAAGTAAATAAAACCAGTGTGTGTCCTGGTGTTGAACAGATTCGTGGATCCTGCCTGTCTGAAATGTAACGGATGAATTATGAAGTGATCTGCAGTGATTGGTTTTGTTCAGGCCTGGTTCGTATCAAACGCATTGACAAAATGAACCAAGTGGATTATTTTCATCGGAACAGTGGAAATCATATTCTTTCAGAAGATCAACCGGAGATGGAACAGCTCGATGGCCATGAGCAGCAGGATGTTGCTACAAACCAAACAACAGGTGAGAATAATCTCAGATTAAATTAGTTTATGTTGAACACCCCCACCCCAGAAAACTCGAACAGCTAACCGCTACTTTGGTACTGTTGTGCTAATAGATTCATATTACCTAAAACTGTCATTTACCGATCACGCCTACGTGCATGCTCGTGTGTAACATCAATATTTCCTCTGCAGCTATATAGTTCACATAGGATAGAAACGTGCTAATGGCGCTACTTGTCAAATATACCAGAGACAAGTCTTCCACAAGCAGAGAAATCCAGTCTAGAGCTGAGATTGGCAATTTTATTGAAAACAAATAGCCTGGCAAGCCAGACGAAATAAATATATTATTTGCAAACTTTGCAAAGCAAGAATTTAGTCTAGTTTACTAGGCTACAAATGCTATGCTGCAATTTTTGATTCTTTATCAGTGTGTGTGTGCGCGCGCGCTCTGCTCTGCCTTCTCCGACCCCCAGTGAGTCATGGCAGAAGGCAGCTCACACTGAGCCAGGTTCTAGATTTAGATGTCTTCCTGTTAAAGAGGAGCTTTCCTCTACACTGTTACTACATGCTTGCTAAGTTTGATGTGAAAACACCAACATCAGTCACTGGCCAATTGAATCTGCTGTTTTTTCTTACATATGAAACTTTGGAAACACTTTACAGTAAGGGTCCCTTTATTAATGTTAATTAGTGCATTAATAAACAAAGGGCGCCTTAATAATATTACCGTTCTTGTTTACTATTAAGTGTCCTTGAGGTTAGCACAAAGGGCTGGATGGGTGTCTATTTAGTAATGTATATTTAATATGTTAAGCAGTTGTTAATACTTTATTTACTAATTTATTAATGATTAATAATGCACTTAGTAGCGTTAATAAGGGGACCCTTATTGTAAATGGTTACCGGATATTCTATTCTATTCTAACACTGGCCTTTCAGTCTTTAACTACTATTTATTCCTAACTTGTGTGTTTTGTGATCTCTGCAGATGTCAAGCAGCTTGTGTTGATTAAAGAAGAAGTTTCCCTTGATTGGAGCTCAGATCTGGACCAGGAGAACCCAGAACTCCTCCAGGTGAAGGAGGAAGAGGATGAAGATTCGAACAGTGTGGAGGAAGATGATGAAAGATGGCAGAAGATTAGGAACATCAGTTTCCCTTTGAATGTTATTGTGAAGACTGAAGATAGCGAAGAAGAGGACTGCCAGTATTTACAACCTTCTCAAAGCCTGAATGATGGCAGCAGTGAGGCCGAACCTCCCACCAGCAGCTCAATTCAACCAGTCAAAACAGAAAGTGACGAAGAGGACTGTGAACCAGCTGGAAACCCAATACGTTACTTCTGGCCAAATACTGATGAAAAGGCTTCAGCTTCTTCTGAAACTGAAGTCAGTGATGATGAGGAGGCTTTTCAGGAAGCTCTGTCAGATTTTAGAATCAATACCAGCAACGTGGGATGTGACACCACCAAAGCAACCTACAGCTGCTTTGAGTGTGATAAAAAATATTTCTACAAGCAGTCTCTTCACAGACACATGAAATGTCACGCCTCCAGTCAGGTTAACACCGAAAACCCTAAAGGGCAGGAAGATGTAGAATCAAACGAAAAAGGCAAGACAAAAACATTCATTTGTGACATCTGTGGACAAAAGTTTAACCAGAAGACAAATCTGAACACACACAAGAGAATCCACACAGGGGAAAGGCCTTTCAGCTGTGACGAATGTGGCAAAAAATTTACTCAGCGGGGAAATTTACAAAATCATAGGCGAGTTCACACCGGAGAGAAGCCATTTATATGTGACTTCTGTGGTGAAAGATTTAGGAACCAAGGAATTCTGCAGGCACACATGAGAGTCCACACGGGCGAAAAGCCGTTTATCTGTGATGTCTGTGGTAGGAAATTCAGCCGGAAGACACATTTCAACACTCACATGAGGGTCCACACAGGAGAGAGGCCATTTAGTTGTGGTGTTTGTGGCAAAGAATTCAGCCACAAGACACATTTCATGGAGCACATAAGAGTTCACACGGGAGAAAAACCTTTTTCATGTGGCGCTTGTGGGAAAAGATTCCGACTTCAGTGTAATCTCAAACGACACATGAGAGTCCACACGGGTGAGAAACCCTTTCGGTGTGACAAATGTGGGAAGACGTTTAGTTGCAAATCCCACCTTAAAAGACACACGACAGCTCACACAGGCGAGAAGCACTTTGCTTGTGATATTTGTGGTGAACGATTCACAGGTTCGGGTGGCCTGAAGAGCCACGTGAGAGTCCACACTGGAGAAAAGCCGTTTGGTTGTGATGTTTGTGGAAAAACATTCAGACAAACCTCAACTCTGAAAAGACATATGGTTGTCCACACCGGAGAGAAACCATTTAGCTGTCCTCTCTGTGATGCGAGATTTACACAACAAGGAAACCTGAAGAGCCACATGAAACTCCATGCACAGTAGGTGCAGGTTTTCGGCACCTGGATTTTGGTGCCACTTTTCAGTGAAGGTCCCTTTATTAACTTTACTGTTATTTTTAACCATCAAGCGTCCTTAAAGTGACGGTGCGTATTTTCCCCGGTGATAGGGGGCAGTACATATCTAGTAACACACAAACAAGATTCCTCACAGGCTCCCACAGAAAGAAACATTGCGTCTAAGTCGGCATCACCCAGTGTGTTAGACCCACTCGTACTTTAGACCTGATTTTTGTGGTTATATGTTACAAAGCCGCCAATATTTTGCAACACCTGGGCATCATTTAAGTAATTCTCAACATTTTGATGGATATTTCCAGAGATTATTGGTGAAACTACACAATGTCACTTTAAGGTTAGAACAAAGGGCTGGGGGGTTCTTTGATTAATAATGCAGTAATGTTATTACCAAAATGTGTGTATATATGTGTAAATCTGCCTACCATTTAGGTTAGCCTGCATCTTGCAGAACAGTTTCGTGCTTTTCTGATGAGCTTAACAGATCTAAAAATGCAAAATGCGTTGACTGAATTCAGAGGTTTCTTTCTAAGGCTCTGTATGTATGGTTGTTTTAGCATGTAAACCACTTAGTACTGGATTTGTAATTAACATTTTTTGATCAGTTGATGTGTTGATATTAGTCTTTTTGGTGCTTCTGTAAATACAGACTGTTTTATTTCATCTGTTATGAAAGTGGCCTGATTGGCTTGTTAGGAAAAATGTTATAAACATGGTTGCTTGTTTTAAAATATCTGTTTGCTTTTGTTTAAAAGAACTGTGTGATTAAACCCCTCAAGAAAAAACAAATACGTTTTTCTCCGGGCCAGATATTCGTCGCCACTGGCATGTGACGGTGGCGCAGGAGTTAAGCGCTCGCCCCATAATCAGAAGGTTGCAGATTTGATCCCCGTTCAGTCTGGTGTGTGTGTGTGTGTGTGTGTTGTGACCCAGAATCACTTGAGCAGTTTACAGGACCCCTGGCTGCTGGGAAGGAAAGTAGAGAGCGATGAGGGACGACAGAGCTGTTTACATCGGGACAATCTGCCTTCTACAAAAGCACAACCTGGGGGGTGAAACCTGTTTGCAGAACCAAAACTTTCACTTGTATTATGTGCCGAGATCAGATGGCAGACAAATTAATGGGCCTGTTCTGTAAAAATACTATCGAATCTGGACTCTGGTGGGCTACACACACACACACACACACACACACACACACACACACACACAGACTAAAACTTTACTTATCTTACAATCTCACATTGCTGAAACTGTTTTGTGATTAATGAACACAAATTAATTATGATTGTAAATAACTGTTATAACCTATACCAGGTTGCCATCTTAACTGCAATAAACTCAACAGAACCTCATCAGAACAGGACAGAGAATCATAGAAAAATAAAGATATGTCCCATCAACCCCAAATGCTCAGTTGTGAAAGATCAGGATCAAAGAACATATAACACTTTTTTATAGTGTAGAGTGACTCGTGATGGTCAAGTTAAAGAATCACTTATACAATCTGCTTTCACAGCATTTGATGTGAGAGCAGACATTTTAGCAAGATGAAGTCCAGAGGAAACAGACACAGGAAGGAAGTCTATCTGCCTTAACCAGTGGGGGGTGGAGGTGACAGGAAGAGGAGAGACAAACACTGATATGTATTGTTTTTACCTCCAACATTAAGAGACTATGGGGACAGGTGATCTGGTTTTCCACTCATATGACCAGCTCTCTCTATTCTGTTAATGTTCCTGAGAGATCTCGTGAAGGCTGCTGCCACATACTCTTGTCTGAAAACACCCCTTTTCTGTGTTTTCCTAAACTCTTGTCTTTGTGCTGCTATGTAGTGTCCATAATCGTCCACGTTCATCTCATCAGATACCGAGTCCTACTGAAGAGTTATGGAAACCAAAGGAGCACGTTTGATGGTGGGTCACAAATCCTCAACCGTTTACTGGTTGACTCGTTAAATGTGATTTTACCCATTTATCAATGTTAAAATATTTTTCTACAACAATACAATAATATGTAGAAGTGGCACATGCCACTTGCAGTACTTCGCTCCATCAGAGGGCAGCAGACACATTCAGCATTCGATGCTAAAGAGGTTTAAACTCGCCTATCAGATATGATACAGAAGGTGCTGAGGGGTTAGGAATGGTCTGATGGTTCAAATGTTAAAGCTTTGTGTAACATGCTGCTCTTTAGTTAGGGTTTATTAATCCCCTTTAGAAACAGAAAATTGAACAGTTTATATAAACTAGGAAGCTACACCTATTAGATTCCCACTGAGCCTGCAGTTCCTTGTGCTTTAAATGCAGTTTTACAGACTTGGAAATAGCTTTTCTGCACCCTGAACATTTTGGGGGGGGGGGGGGGGGGGGGGGGGGGGGGGGGGGCAACAAAAGCTGCCAGAGTTGGCCTTGTGCACATTGCTGATTGCAGTACGTAATGGCAACTTCATGCAACCAGACATTCTGGCAACCCTGCAGAGTCTGATTTATATCATCAGTAACTCAGTGGTGGAGCCTCCACCCAATTACTCGGCCTCTTGCACAGCTGGCTGCTCATCACCTGCCTTTCAGCACAAAGAGGTCACATGGATGGTTCAGCATCAACCTACGCTACGCAGAGCCTACAGAATTCTCCATGCTATGTATGTGAATGTCATTTTCTTTACTGGAATACAAAAATGAGATTCATGCCCAAATACCAGAGTTATGCCTCTATGTTCAAGAGCTGATGTAAACTCTTAATTAAGCCAGTCTAAAGTGGGTTGGATATTATTTGAGCAAGAATTTATTTTTTCCACATGTTCCTTCCCAGCAAGTTTGTGAATTTGTGAAATTAGTGCAAAGTTACAGGATGACGTACATATTCATTCATTTTCATAGAAACCGAATTAAAAAAATTGAGGAATTGCATAGTGAAAGGTTCCCTTTGAGCAGTTTAGAAAATCATTTCTCAATATGAACGAACTCAACCAGAAACTCATTTGAAACAAAAACCCTCCGTGCTTCCTTAGTTTTTCTTCCAACATCTCATTTTTAAAGCATGTCTGGTTAGAAAACAAAACTAATCGTCACTGCTTATCCTTCCCATACTGGATGATGTCACATCCTGAATAACAGTTTGGCATTGTTGCAACTCTGAGATGAATACATATGATCTGAATGAACAAAAAAATTAAGTTTTAGTCAAATTAAAATTCTAAAGATGCCAAAATATGATAAAGGCACTTAAAGTGGTCCAAAAATAAAACTGCAACTTAAATAAAAAATACAAGTGGAGCGACAAGGTCACTTACATACAAATCCTTCCACATTCACATATTAAATAGTTAGATTTTCTCCCACAGAAAAGTAAAGAACAGAAGGACATTAGCTGCTGCCAGCAGAGCTCAGCCTGTCAAAGGCAAGTGCAGAAACATTTTAATCAAGTAAACTCAGTTGCAGTCTCATCCCTTTTCAGAACAGTGTCTTGGAATAAAGATTTTGGTTGAAAAAGCCCTTTCAGTAACATTTGACACGTTATGCTTCAGCTTTAGCCCCTCAGAGGAAACAAAAACTAAACAATTCCCACCAGGAATACTTTTTTCATCTAAACTTAATGAAAACTTTGAAGCAAACCAAAATTTGGGGGTCACATCTAATGAGATTCATCCAGTCATCAATCCTAATTTTTTTTATTTGTGTATCTAAACACAATTTGACCCTCCAACGCCCAAAACAAGATTTTCTTATCTTCAAGAGTTGCTTCTTTAAACAAATCTCTACCGTGACGGTGATGCTGGTGCCTTTTAAAAACAAAAGGAACCATGCCTTTATGAAAGGAAAATATGTCCCCTCTGGTTTTGTTCAGTTCTGAGGCACTTTGGTGAAGTCCTGCACATCCCGTCTCCTTGTAACTTAAGTGAAGGAGGAAGAGTGACATCATTTCTGGTCTTTGTTGAATTCCTTGTGCATGTACAGCTGTATGAGTCCTGCTTTGTGCAGCTGCTGCCACAGCATCATCTCCATGCGCAGGTCATGGTTGACGTAGAAACCCACAGGGTGGTATGTGCTGTCGAAGTAGTGGTCCGAATAGTTCTTATAGTCCGGTGTCATGAAGCCATACGCGCTCACCTTCATCCACCAGGGGAAAAAAGCCAATTAAGCCACATTCAGACCAGTTCAAAGCAGAATTAATAAAGTTAAGGGTGGTAAACAGCTTTGCTTCATGTTCTGACACGAACTTCTTGTTTCCCAGAGCAGACAGGTGGAAAAGCAGGTTCTGTTAATTCCATTAATTAGTAGATTTAACAGATGTCAAGAATTTAAGAACTACTTTTTTTATGCAAGGACTTTAACACACACTGCCTCCATAGGAAATAAAAATTCCTGCAATTAAACAGCAGACTGCTGACTGTGCAGGAAAGTAAAAATGGTACCTGGTCACAGGTGTGCAGTGCAGCCAGCAGCATTGTAGCGCCTGTTGATGGGCGGTAGATGTCCTTGAATCTGGTTTTTAAAGCACCCGAACGAAGGAATCTGAAACAAAAAGTTTGGTTCACAGTCAAGTTTTCCACAGATATCAGGGTGTAGATTTGTTATTGAACCCTGTGTAGGGGCATCCATCTGCAACTCAGGCTCTGCTCAAGTTTGAAACAGGATTTCTCATTTTAAATGAATAAGAAATTCAGTCAAATGCGAGTAAAATTCATTCACCTGTTTCTGAGGTAACGGACAAAATCTGGGTGGTACATCTTCAACTTTTTCGCAGAGACGTCTGCTCCAAAGTACTTTGTCGGACTGTAAAAAGAAATATTGTCAAAGTCAGAATTATTCAGCAAACAAAGTTTAGCAGAAAAGTCAAACTGCTGAAAAAAATACTTATTTTTCTTAACATTCCTGAAGTGTGAAGGCTGACGAGTGTGGTTTAATGAGAATAATAACCATTTACGTTAAAATAGAAAGGTTCCATCAAAATTTCTTGGGGTGTTGATGAAAAAAAGTCAGCTGGAAATGTCATTAAATATATAAAATCAAAATTAGCTAGGAATATTTTAATGATTGTTTAAATATAACATCTCTTAAATCAAACTTTTTGTATTCTGTGTTGTATTTTTTTTATTATCCCTATTTAAATGTACTGTGTAGAGGCATGGGGTAACACCATAGGTAATATGGATGTGTAGTGGTGAAATTTTAACAGATACCACATGTTAAACATGTTACATATCAGTTTGGACTGTATTGGATTTTGCTACAACAATTTCAGGAACCATCCACTCACTAAAAATAACCTGCACCCCAACCATAACCACCCTGTCACCAAAAATGTTTTGCATAATTATAATTTATGAAATGACGGTAACACGATTTGTTTTAAGGTTACACATTTTGTTGCGAGTGGATGGTTCCAACTCGCAGCTAGGTGGAAAAGGAACAGATCTCGATGGAGAACTCAAATCGACATAACACCTGTTAATGGACGGTGACCAGACTATTTATTCACATGAATGGGATGGCTTGCCAGGCTAGAAAAACACAAGTATTCAAATAGTATTATGAAAGTAAGTAAGACATTCTACCAACACTTCCTGCTTAAAAAATTGCACCTAAAGGAAGTGTTGCCTGGCGAACAGAGAGGCAGTAACTGACGACCAAAGCTGCTTTTCACAGGAAACTTTTTTATTGTTCTAAAGTAGGGATGAAAGAAAAAATCAATATGGCAATATATCGCAATATTTTTTCCTGTGATATTACATGGTTATTCAAAAGCTATGCAACGACTTTTTGGAAGAATTAACATGCAAACATTTGCGTATTTTCTTTTCGTACAATTCAAATAACGACCACTAGATGGCAGCCACGCACAAGGGGTTTTGTTTCCACCACTCAAATGTCAACCTCTGTTATGGTTCAGAGACCTCATGTTTAACACGTCAGTTTAGACTGTTTATTATTTTTGCTACAATGTCAGTTATAAAAAAATTTATTTAAAAAAAAATCGCCAATGTCGTCTGACTGTATGTATCGCAATATATTGTGGTGTATCGTATCATCTACCCTGTATCGTGATACGCATCGTATCACCAGAATTTCACCAATACACATCCCTGTTCTGAAATGTGGCTTACTCTTTGGCCCGTTCAGGTCCTCTTTCCACTAGAGTGTGCGTTGCTGCCGCCTTCATCAGCAGGTAATCCCGGTCATGATCCGGTAGGAAAACGTATCTGGTTTCCTGTTGAAGCGGGACAGCAGGATGAATAAATCTTTGTGTTCCCTTTGAAGAGGAGAGACAGTTATTTGTTTGTTTTTTACCTTAGACACTGGTGGTCCTCTGTATCCAGAACCAGCATAGCTCCTCATCGAGTTGATCAGAGTGTTGGTAGAGAAGGTGTAATGGGTGGTCCGAGAACCTACATCCTCTTCAAAGCCTTTGATGATCGCCCCATTGGTTCTGAAGACCAAATTAATTAATTCACCAAAAAATAAATAAAAACTGCTGCTGTACTAATCAACTTTCAAGGAACAAACGGCTTTATATAAAATTAAAATGAGCTTGCATTTACTAATAGTTACAAATTTTTACATTTATGCATAAAAAATATTTTCCAACGTGAATTTGAATTTATTTCTGGACTTCAAAAAAAAAAAGTGTCTTCCTGCAGGGCCAGTCAGGTCAGGGTCTACCTGAAGACATAGTGATGGCTGTCGATCTCCTTCCCTTTCTTTGAACCCTTCAGTATTCCTCCGTTTCCAACCACGGCACATCGACTACATTTAGAGTTATTCCTGCGAGACACCCAGTCGTCCAGCATCTGTTGGTTAGCGGAGGAGTTCAGCACAGAGAGAGCTCCCAGCAGAGCTGAAGATGCAGAAAGACCAAGTTAATCTGGATAGGATTATGTACAATTAAGTTCATCCCTCGTGCAGATGGAGTAAAAACGCCCACCCAGTCACACATTCGCTGCTTGAACCTTGAAAATCTTCTGAAACCATAACCACTTTGATTCAAAAATTCTAAAACAAACATTTTGTCTACAAAATCAGGGTGTTACAATCCATTAATATCTGCCTAAAGTTTATAATTAAAACCATAACCAACCAATTTAAAAATAAACAAAAATGTGGTTTGAGCTTCTGATGACAAAATCCTGATTAGGATCATTCCATTTTAAACAGAAAGCAATGTGTCTGATTTCATATTTTACAAAATAAATGTCCATTTAGCACATTCGTGCTTTTGCATCTTCCATCACTGTGACAAGTAGGTACTGACTCCAAAAAAAAAAAAAAAAAAAAAAAAAAAAAAAAAAAACAGAAGCAGACAAGTTTTAATCCTTTAAAACAAAATATCTGTAGAATGCCACTTCTTTGGGTACATTAAATGCAACACTGCTAAACTGAGGCAATAGTGAAATTAAAGATTAAATATTTTTCATTTAATCTAATAACTCTGGAAAAGTTTGAGCCTGGGAATTCACACAAATCCTAAATTCCATTCAGAGCAGAAAGTCAACCCAGATAACCATCCCTGGATTGAAATGTTAACCAGCCAAATATAAAACATACGTCTCCCATGTCCTCAGAGCCATTTGTTCTAAAAGTCTGTACAGCTGACAGTCTGTGCTCAATCCAGGTGAAAAATAACCCTTTCACAGCAAACCACCTGGTAAGCTCTGTTGTGCCCGCAGCCTGTTGAAACGGTTTAGAGAAACTAGCCCAAACTTAGCAGTTGCTGCTGTTAAATAAAGGTGCGTACACTGTGACAGGTCAGCGAGTTAGCTTTTAGAGAAAACTAAACTTTCTTCAAATAATTGATTGATCCCAACTAATAAGTCTGAGACATCATTTAAAACCAATAAATCAAGTGTCAGAAAAAGGAAAATAATGATTGAGTGCTTCAAAGCACAGCTTACAGTCATAGTCAATGTTTCCCCAGCCATGGCTTCCTGGATAATTTCTCAGGCGCTGGTGCTGCTTTGGAGTCACATGTTTGGCCCACTGCAGAACCGGAATGTGCTCCAGAAACTTCTCCCTGAATTCTGATTTTTTCACCCGACTTTGGATACCATCAGAACAGTTCTGTGAGGAGCAAAAAACAGATGTGTTAAAGCTGTGGTAGTTCAAAAGCTTACGATTCAACAACAATTATAAAATGCTTAAATTTGACCATCTGACCCCAACTTGTGTTCTCTCCTAAGTCCTTCCCCTATCCATTGTGTCATCAACTGCAACTTATCAGAAGGAGTAGGAAGTCGACCAATAGTTTTTCTATAGCTTACATCTTTGCCATTAGGTAGAAGACAGGGTCAGCCGATGGTCGATATGTACTGCTGATTTTCATGGCCCATTTCTAGACAATTTCCACTTTTTTCATGCTAGATTGTAACCGATAGTCGACGTGCAATTTCAGAAGCTGAATCTGTGTTTGAACTCTGAATTTAACTGTTAAATCTCAACTTTGTGTACTGCTCAGTGTTAAAAATCAGACACCTAAATAAAGTATCATGCAGATGTCATTAGTGAACGTAAAAATACCATCCATCCATTTTCTATACCCTCCTATCCCCGTAGGGTTGTGGGGGGCCTGGTGCCCATCTCCAGTATTCTCCAGGCAAGCGTGCAGGGTACATCCCAGACAGATTGTGTCTCTGTGTTGGTCTGCGATGGACTGGCAAAGGACAAATAACCATTCAAGCACACATTCACACCCAAGGATAATTAATGGGCCATTCCCATCTGCACCGGGTCGGCCCCAGCCTGGCCCGGTTGATTCCACACATCCTTGCCTTAAGCCCATGTGGGCTGATTCTACCCACCAATCAGAGGCTTGCTCTAATGGAAGGTGTGAATTTGCTGTCAGCAGTGGGTGTGTTGGCCCTGGTCGGCCTGAAGCAGACCCCCTCGAGAAGAGGGCTGAGAATGAGCCTCGGTTGGCCCGGAAAAATACCAGGCCACCCAGATATGTAAACAACCTACGCTACCCGGCCCGACCCGGTACAGATGGGAATGGCCCATTAGATAGACCAATCCACCTGACGGTTATGTATTGGTCTATGGGAGGAAGTCGGGAGTACCTGGAGAGAAACACTCCAGGCTGGGACGTGAACTCGGGAACCGTCTTGCTTCAAGTCACTGCAGTCCAGTAAAAATATATTTACATTGAATTCTGCAACGGCACAGAGGATGAGTATAAAAAAATGGGGAATCAGCCCGATAAGTCGGTATACCCCTAGTAGGAATCCCCACCACTGGAGTGGATTTGATTCACATTGATACGCTACCAGTGATAGGATACGTTAGCTATATGGTGAACCACTCTGCAAGTATGGTTTGATATGAGATCATGCTGGCTCATGATTCATTATTTATGATTTGACAACAATGTTTGATTTGATGCAATACATCATGCAATTTGAAACAACTCACAAGGAATTTACAAGCCCACGTCTGGTTTTTAGATATTACAATTATTGTTGTCCTCTGCCTTTCTCTGAAGAGTTTGATGCTTTGTTTTTGATTAAACAAATTTACCATTAAGAAAATGCTCTTCGGTGTTGGTGAAAACTTGCATATCTTTATTGCTTTGTTTAAATTATTTAAAAAGAACCATGAATGAGATTTTTAGCAAAATGCTAATAATTTTTAACCTCCGTTTAGACAGTCCCTCTGCTCAGAAAAATAAATGTTGGAGATCATAATTGTTAATTATTTTGAAATGCCATAAACATCTGAAAATGTCTCCATCCCTAAAACAGGAATGCCAGATGCAGTTTGTGCTAATTTGCTGCTTGAAATAAAATTAAAACTAAATGATATTAAGACAAGTGATTCAACTAGCATGCTGTATCCGAAAATTCTCACTGGTATCGCTATCGGTTAATATTTTAACAGGTATGGAATACATCTTTCAACAGAAAAATAATGGATTTTTCATACATGTATAACAAAACATCGTCAATGTTTTCTACTTGAAAATACATATTTTAGGAAAGGGCATTTCTCCGCCTTCTCAAAATCTCCATGCAGCAATGGATGGGGGTAATTACCCTTTGACAAAGTCTGCACTGATGCAGGCTTCAGTGAAATGCTGATCATGGGTGCCAAAAGGGTGGGGCCGTGTTCCCAGAACACCTTACACACTCGCACCACTAGATGGGAATGCACAACTGAGGGCGCAAGTGTGGAAGTGTGAGTATTGGGACCAGGCCTCTCGGTCACAATGGGGAGGATAAATAATAACATCACCAGCAATTTTAATCAAGGGTTTTTCTAAGTGAGCTGTTGACACAAAATTTCCACCACATTAACTGAAGTATTTATTTCATGCAAGGACATCCATCCACCCATCATCTGAACCCGCTTGGCTGGTGCCCATCTCCAGCAGTCAGCGGGCAAACAGGCGGGGTACACCCTGGACAGGTGGCCAGTCCATGACAGGGGAACGCAGATGTAGCGTAGACAAAGCCATGTATTTGTCCACAGCCTGCTTCATCAGTGTGCCACCCATGACACCAGAAGGAAGCGAGGATGAATCTCCCGACTTTTCCGTATCCTCATCAACTCCAAGGTCCCCTCACAGGACATCTCATAAGGGATACAAAACTTTTATCTTACTCCCTTTTATTAAGAAATATCTTATTCAGGCTCTCAAAATGATTTCTTTAGCTTAAGAACAATTACATTAAACAATTAATGTTTTATCTAAAGTGTTTTAATAATGTATTGATTGCTTCACAGTAATGAAGAAATCACCATAATTATTTATTCTGGAAATACTGTTTTTCAGATCTTAAATATACCAAATGAGTCTACTTGTTGAATTTAATGATTTATTATCAGTATATTCACATATTAATGATACTGTAATAAAAGATTAACATTTACTTCATTTTAAATGAAATAGGCCTGCTCTAAGTGTTTGAGGAAGGAGTGATGTCTGAGGACTCTTGGTAACCGCCCATTTACATTTGTTAAGATTCTGATTTGCCAAAATTTGTAAACATCACAAAAGAGAACACATCCTCTAAAACTTTGTTCCAGCAAGCTGTACCAGTTCAGCCAAACTGGGTAAGTAGTATATGAACCATCCTTTTCAAGGTCAGACCTTCTTTGCTAAACGGTCAGATTCCATCAGAGAAACAACTCTGATGTGAAACATCTCGCCAGCAGACCCAGAGGTTATCTCTGACCAGCTGATGCAGATTCGGAGGAATACGGCCTTTGACATCCAGAAGTCTTGCTTGCCAAGAAGACTTTGTGGTCTCATCACACGGGTACTGTACAACACACCTGGCGTTAGATGGTTTTAGTAATTTGTTAAACTCAAGTAAACAGTCAGACTTTTTGTTTTTTGTTTTTTAAAAAACAACCCAAACATCTCAATTTGCCAAGACACTTAATTAGGTTTTTTTGAACATCTAATCTCATTTTTCAATCATTGCTCATTCAGTGATGCAGCTGAGATCACCTTAATTCATCATTTATTATAATTTGTTCTGCATCATAGAAATATAATACATTTATGCAAATATATTTGTCTCTATGAAGACCATCACAGACGGTGGAAATTTTGTGCACCCTGCAATGGGTGAAAGACCATGCCTCTGCAGTCATTTGCTCAGACTCTGAGGCTGCACCACTGGCGCTGTCAGGGGGGTGCTCAGGGTCTCGGCCTGACCTCCTAAAGGCCGCTGTGTTGCTGCTGCATTGGGTTGTGAGGTAAACTTTGCCTGGGTTCCAGTGTAGGTACTGGATCTGCTTGGGCTGCCAGATCAGCTCAGGATCCTGCGCCTGCCAATGATGTCTCTAGATTGGCTGATGGTAGGACTCACGGACGTTACAATACCACGTTCATAGAAGTTATGTTAGCAAGCTGACACTGAAGAGTTGTATATGTCTGAACAAATTTGCGGTTGTAGCCCTGTAGTCTAAAAAAACACTGTTTGGGGGAAATATTCATATTGCCAATGGAAATGTAAAATAAAAGCAACAATATCAACTGAAGAATGACCAAATTTACACAAGAACTAAGACATACAGAAGAATTCCACATTTATATAAACAGAAATGGCTACCAATTATGTAAAGACATTTAAAGGGGTTTCTGATTTTAGAGCTTTTTTTTTTAGCAGTCTGATGTTGGTTTTATGTAGTTTCACATTCCTTAAAAAACACACAATATGGTGTTTTATTATCAAGTTGCAGTTAAAGATAACATTTAGGCAGTGAGAAACTAAAATTTTTACTAAACTTTTCCTAAACTTGTGTGAAACCTGGGTGGATTTGCCGTAGTGAAACGTCAGACAGATCTGGCAGCCCGAGCAACTCCAGTACCTACAATGGAACTATGCAGTAGAGAGGAGGACCTCGTTTGGTTTCTTGGGGCTGTGGAAGCGTCTGTTCAGTCTGCGGACGCTGTTGGAGGCGACTGACCAGGGCAGTGTGAGGGTGCCGCTTAGATTTCTTTGTGAGATTGGACTGAACGGGAGACTGTGATTGGGTGGGGTTGCAACACGCCCTTTGGGCATCCAGCCTGCAGTTCCCAGTGAAGAAGACACGCACACAAGAATGACTTCATGATGGGTAAAAGCAAAGAACTCTTCCAAGATCTTCGTAATCTTATTGTTGAAAAGCATTCTGATGAGAATGCTTATAGGGGAATTTCCAGAATGCTGAATGTTCCTGTGAGCACTGTGGCGACCATCATCTGGAAATGGAAAGCACCAGTTCACCATAAACCGGCCACAGTCAGGTGCTCCATGTAAGATTCATGTGTGAGGAATCCAAATTAAATAAGAGTTCTCCAGGAACCACTCAGGCAGAACTTGCACCAGTAAAAAGTGTTTCAAAGAAAACTATAAAGCAATGCACTGAACTGCCACGGCCCCATTCACTTGCATTCATCATTTGTTCAAGGGACCCTTGAGCTGACCAAAAGGGGAGGAGACTGGCTCCCTGTATGAGGCTTGGTAGCTGCTTGTGGACACACAGAGGCTGGTACGGCTTCTCTGATTCATTTGAATCTTGGTGTGAAGTGACACACACACACACACACACACACAATACACGATTGATTTAGTAGAAAACCAGCAAATAACACTCAACCTTCCAACATGTCCATGCACATCCCAGAATGTTATGCGTAATCACATGTGATCACAAGCACTATACCGCTAGAATATCACTGATGCTGGGAAAGGTCAATCCAAATTGCATCCATTTAAGTCACTTTTGAGTACTGCTAGTATTTGACTACACCACTGATTAAATCTACCCGACACCTCAAACAGACTAACTTGTGAGCTCGTCTGAAAGAATAGAAAATGTACTGACTAATTCATTATATTAATACTGATTTTAGAGACCTTGCTTACATTACCACACTGAAGTTTGAAAATAAACATATTTTGAAGTACATGTGACAGCATTTGGCTTAAACAAAAAAAGTTCCACAAGAAAGCCTCGATAAAGCATCTTTTTTATGTTTACGTTTATTTTTTTGGCAGACGTTTTTATCCAAAGCGACTTACAATTTATAACCTACAGGGAATGTTGTGATCTGTGGGGGAAACCGGAGTACCCAGAGGAAACCCACACATGCATGGAGAGAACACGCAACTCCACGCAGAAAGGCCGCAGCAGAGTTTCGACCCTGCAACCTTCGCACTGCGAGGCAACAGTGCTAACAACTGCGCCACCATGCAGCCCCACTGTGGGCTCCCCAGGTTCCTTTCATGAGGGTGTGGGCTCAGCCCCCAATGTTTCCAGCTACAGGAAACGCCCCTGGTCTTCTACATTACTGGAACCTTCTCTTGGTTCAGCTGTTGCTGCAGAATCCAACATAGCAGGTCTGTGCAGGCACTAAGGACCTGAGGCCAATGTCATGTGGTTCTGCAGCCTTGTTCCAGTTTCACCTCTGCAGCAGCCTCTTCACCCAAATGCTATAGACAACATATTTTTCTTTGCTGTACAAGTTCTTATCTTGACTTAAAGTTTGTTTTGCATACTCCTCAGTTCCCCGTCTCCCTCCCTAGAAAAATGCTTCTTGTGGAGCTGTGTAGGTCACTGGTGATCAAGGCTCTGTTATTGGGATAACACCTCACTGTTCTGGTTGGGAGGACATTGTCTACACAGAAGTTTAAATAATCAGGCCCTGACTCGTAACACCGAGTTCTTCCTAGTCTGTCTCATCTGTGCTTATCAAAACAGGTGGATAAAATAAATAATTAAAAACAGCAAAAATCCTTCAAGCAGCACAGCCTCCAACCAGAAATCTAGTTAGCATCTGAAAACCTAAAAGGTAAATTTCCCAAATACAAAATGGCTTTAATGGAGCAACTGCAATAAGCTTCCAACTTCCAGGTAAGTGTTGGTTATTATGGTGATGTGTTCTGGACTCAAGCTCAGATGCAATAAAGTGTAATAAAATCTGTTAATGAATGCAGAAATGTTGATGATTAACTGTTTAAATGGAGGTCAGATCTGTAAATTATCTGAACAACAAGACCTGGTGTATAGTGAGGACATGGTCAGACATCAACTTCCTTTCATAAATGTTGGATTTCACAACTCTCTCCTTTCAGAAAACATTCTACTTTTGTTTAGGTTCCACTGAAATGGCATTAGGTGCAAAAATTGAACAAGGCATGTTGTTGTTATTGTTGTTGATAGCCTCAAGGGCAATATGCCGATTATCACTTGTAAGTTGCTTTGGACAAAAGTGTCTGCTAAATACATAAACATACATAAACATAAGGCCATCATTAAAAAGCACCATTGTTTTCCTTCCATTTCACACCAAATGTCTCCAGCAATGACTGTTGGAAGTCTTGCCTCCCTGCTTCCATTAGGAAAGTGATGCTGCTTCCATAAAACGATGTAGACACTAAATTATTCCAAATAAAATAAAATAACTCAACTTACTGTGCGAGGGGGCACATCTTCACTCATGTAGTAGTCTCCAATGAAGGGTGGCTCTGTCAGTCGTGGTGCTTTAGCAGTTTGAGTCGCGAGAGTTTTGCCTTCGTCTCCACCATTAGGCATAGAGTTGGACTTTGACAGATTTTTGCCTAATGTGGCTTTTGGCAGTTTTGTGGCTTTTTGAGTCTTTAAAGCTGAAGTCTGAGAGACTCTGGTGAGATGTGGGGTAGAGGTCACAGGCAGGTGGTGCCACTTGGTTAAGTTTAGTCGGTCTGGAGGCTCCTGGAAGCTGGTGTAGAAAACAGAACTACATGTTACATATAAAACTGAGTTTCAGATTTTTTGAAATGAGTTTAATTACCTTTCTTCTACATTTAGAATGTCAATGCCTTGTTCTGAGAGAAGTTAATCTGTCAATGCCTTGTTCTGAGAGAAGTTAATCAAGTCACATGTTCAGATCACACTGCTAGAATATCAAGCCTGTTGTGATCAACAGGACAAAACAAAACTTGCAATAAAGAAACCAAAAGACTGGTAAGAAAAACAGATTTAAAAATTGTTCATTTTAGACCATGAGACAACAGGTTATTTTAATGATTATTTAATGATTGCTGTAAGCAGATGGCAATGAATTTAATAATTTAGTCCAGAGAATGTCAGATGTTTCATAATTCTGACAGAGTTCATGTTTGCATTCAGAAAACCAGACAAATTACATAAATGAAGATGGAAAGAAAATCCCAACATGTGCAGAGATAAAAAACCTTTAATACATTTTCAAAATGCAGGTGCTCTGATCTTTAAGGATTTCCTGTTGCGAGATATGTGAATACATTCATGTGGGAAACATTTAGCGCCGAGGCCAGTAAGACTAAAAGTTTCCATTGTTAAATGTTTGTCGTTGAATGTTGGTAATAAGATTCTACAGATATTTTTATCCATAAAATACAAAATATTGAATTCCTAAATGGAAAAAAATAAAATAATTAAAAAAAAAAAAAAATCACATTTTGGGGTTAAAGCAGGAAGAAGAAAATATTTCTATAGCGCCTCTCAAGATAAAAATTGAGACGCTTCACAAAAACAAAATGTAAAAATATAAAAAGAATTTAGAAAATGGTTACAAATATATTTAAAATGAGCAAAAATAGACAATTGTGATTAAAAAAAAATGTTGAGAGTGTGAATAGGAAGGAGGGAAATCAGTGGATCCTGAGGAAGGTGGAATAGGTGGGGAGAGCAGAATAGAGAGAGAGTGGTTGAAGAAGGTCATACAAAAGCCAACTTGAACAAGTGAGTCTTCAGCTGCTTTTTAAAGGAGACCACTGAGTCCACTGATCTCAGTCTCAGGGGGAGAGAGTTCCAGAGTCTGGGGGCCACAGCAGCAAATGATCTGTCACCTTTGGTCTTTAGCCTGGTGCTGCACAACCAGTAGGCTTTGATCACTGGACCTCAGGGACCTGCTGGGGGTGTAGGGACTAAGAAGATCACCAATGTAAGATGGTGCTTGTCCATGCAAGGCCCTAAAGACCAGAACCAGGATCTTGAAATGAACCCTGAAGTTGACTGGCAGCCAGTGAAGCTGGAGGAGAAGCGGGGTGATGTGGGTGTGTTTGGAGGACTTGTCAGAAGCCGAGCACAGGCATTCTGAACCACCTGTAGACGGTTCAGGGAGGTTCTGCTCAGACACGTGAAAAGAGAGTTACAGTAGTCTAAGCGTGAGGAGATGTAGGTGTGGAGAACTGTCTCAAGTTCAGAGCGGGACAGAATGGGACTCAGCTTAGCAATGTTCCTGTGATGGAAGAAGGAAGAGCGAACAAGAGAACTGACATGAGAATCCAGGGTGATAGCTGGGTCAAAGGTCACGCCAAGATTCCTGATGGAAGGTTTGGTGTGAGAAGCAAGCTGACCAAGAGAGTCTGACTTTGGGAACCAGCTTGTCTGGGGCACAGATGAGGATCTCAGTCTTATCTTCATTCAGCTGAAGAAAGTTCCCAGCCATCCAGGTTTTAATAGAGTCTAAGCAGGTGTGTAACAGCTGCAGCTTAGACATCTTGTGGGGCTTAAAGGAGATGTACAGTTGGATGTCATCTGCATAAAGATGGTAGGAGATTCCTTTGAAGGAGCTCAGGATGTGCTGAAGAAGAAGCAGATAGAGGAGGAAGAGCAGGCCCCAGCACAGAACCTTGTGGGACACCATGGGTAAGGGAGGTGGTGGAGGACCTAAACTTGGAAAAGGCCACAGAAAAGGAGCGCTCAGAAAGATAAGAGGAGATCCACTCCAGAGCAGTTCCTGATAGCCCTACCCAGTCTCTCGGCCTCTCCAGTAGCAGGTGATGGTCAACAGTGTCAAAGGCTGCAGCCAGGTCCAGCAGGACCAGAACAGAACAGTCCCCTGCATCACTGTGAGTCAGAAGGTCATTAGAGACCCTAAGAAGAGCTGTTTCAGTAGAATGAGCTCTACGAAAACCTGACTGGAAGCAATCATAGATGTTATGTTCATCAAGAGCAGCTGTGAGTTGTTTAGCCACAACCTTCTCCAAGATCTTGGAGATGAACGGACGTTTAGAGATGGGTCTGAAGCTGCTATGGAGAGAGGGGTCAAGACTCGGTTTTTTTTAAGAAGCAGGTGGATTACAGCGTTCTTAAAGTAAGCAGGGACCTGACCAGAAACCAGAGAAGCATTAATTATAAAGAGCACGCTGGGACCGATGGACTGAAAAGCACCTTTAAACAAAGATGAGGGCAAGATGTCGAGGGGGCATGCAGTGGTCTTCATAGAGTTAACTTGTTTGGTTAACTCAGGCAAAGAAACAGGAGCCAAGCTATCTAGGATGATGGGTCTGGTTGGAGTCGGGAGAGGCAGCGATAAGGCTGAAGGAGAGATGCTAGATCTAACTTTATTGACTTTGTCCACAAAGAAAGGGAAAGTTCTCACAGTCTACAACAGAGTGGATGGAGGCTGTAGGCGAGGCAGGAGAGACGATGCTGCTGATGGTGTTAAACAGCACCTTGGGGTTCCCTTTGCTCTGGGACACCAGGTTGGAAAAATAGGAAACCCTTGCATCTCTGACTGCAGAGTTATAGGTGTGCTTTATAAAGGAAGTCAAATGACTTCCTTTATAAAGCACAGTACGTTCTGTAAAATGTGTTTAGTGCAAAGACCACACACACACACACACACACACACACACACACACACACACACACACACACACACACACACACACACACACACACACACACACACACACACACACACACACACACACACACACACACACACACACACACACACACACACACACACACACACACACACACACACACACACACACACACACACACACACACACACACACACACACACACACACACACACACACACACACACACACACACACACACACACACACACACACACACACACACACACACACACACACACACACACACACACACACACACACACACACACACACACACACACACACACACACACACACACACACACACACACACACACACACACACACACACACACACACACACACACACACACACACACACACACACACACACACACACACACACACACACACACACACACACACACGTCTAAGTAACTCTTTAAACAAAAAGAGGACAAGCTTTCAGATCTGAGGTCTGCTTTTAAATCGAAAGAACAGTCAACTCCTCAGCCACAAACCTACACTTGAGTCTGAAAAAGAGCACGCTTTCTAGCTTCCCCCTGCTGGACTCAGTGCATCTAACCTTTTAGAGCTGGAGCTTTGCCCGACTAAACAAAGCTTACATTTTACATTTGTGTGTTAAGAGACCACTTTCAGTTGAATAACTCCTGGGGATTTTCTTTTCCATCAGCGCCGCCCGAGTGCTGTGTAGCTCCTTTGTTGAGCCCACAAAGATAGAACTGAATGAGCGGAGCGGGGGGGGGGGGGGGGGGGGGGGGGGGGTAGATACAGAAAGTCTTCATACCACACATGATCTAAGTTTAACCCTTTGACTTGAACGCAGCTCAGGGTTTGGAGTCAAAGAATCTGGGGCACACACACGTCCAATCGTCCCTCAGCTCACACATCAGCATCCTTCTCTTTCTGAAATGTTTCAGTTCTAGGAAAATGCTTCTAAGAATTCTTAGGGGGCATTCATAGAAATTCACAACTTTGAACCCAGTAAATTCACAACTCTGAACCCAGTAAACGCAGATTGTAAATGTTTATGGCCTGGCTTTACCTGATGGAAATTTCACATGGATGGAAAACAAGAAACCTGCCTGACGCATAACCAGATAAGAAATTCTGTATCAAAATATGCAAGTTGCTGATGTTTTCTTTAGTCAGAACACTTTAGGGAATAAATCTAGTTTCTTTGAAAATTAATTACTTCTGCATGCATTCTTACATCCCCCCCCCCCACCGAAACAAAAACTTAAATTTTGAGTTTGGGAAAAACAAATATAAATAAATCTCATCTAAAAAAATGGTGATTTTTTTCTTTTATTTAGATTCAGTTAAGATTTAGAATATAATTAAATGCAAAAGTATATCTCAAGAAATGGTACCAGTAACCTGTTCACTTACAAATGAACTGTTGCATAAATTAAATGTAAACCAAATGAAATCTGTACGTTTATTTCTGCTCAGTCTGAAAGTGTGACATTAATTCCTGCTGAGGAAAAAAAAAAAAAATCGGTATATAATTTAAGATCTATGGGCTGGAAAAGATTCTTTACTTTTGTAAAGAAACCCTAAAGAACAGCGAAGAAGAAACTTTTGCTCAGGCGTTTCACCCTTACCGTTTCGGATTTAGTTTCAAACACTGGAACAACTGAGCTGAAGTCCAGACGCCTCGTGTTAGGTCACCGGTGTGTGTTTATCGAGAAATGCACAGATTTATGGTCAAGAACAGATGCATCATTAAACGTCAGATTAGTTTTGTTCCTTCCTGCTGATCATATTTTTGATTTGCAAGCTCCTGACTGAAGACGATCCAAAAGATCAAGATAAAATGGCAGTTTTACATAAAGCGAGATACACTTTTAAGGTTTACAAGACGACCCGACAGATCTGAGAAACGAATGCTTTTCTAAGCAAATCTATATGTTAGTTTAGTGTTTTCAGTGTTGCACTGTTTGGGTATTTAAACACTGCGTTGGGTTGGTCAGTTCACATCAATACAACTACAGACAGTTTAAAAACATCTCACTGAACATGCAGATGTCCTCACTGGCGATTTGTTCTACGGGTCCATATGGTCTATTTGAACCCATAAAACCAAGGTGGAGCTATGGACTTTAACTGATAAAACAAGACAAGCAAGTCCTGCAAGCTTCTAGTGGAAAAACTGCTTAAAATAGCTGGTATGCACTTTAGCTATCAGCTGATCTAACTAAAATTGGTTGAAAACATTTACCAAATTTATTTTTTTAATCAGTTTTTTTCTTCAGTTCATTTTAAAGACTGGGTTTCTGTTTTATGAGACCTTTGAATCAGAAATTTGAATCCAAATTTAAAAAATGGCTGACTAATAAATGCCGTTTACTGATCTTTTGCATACACTGCTGGTGTTCACTCAGATCTCTGCTGCCAACAGTTCTGCTTTTGATCATCAGGTGAAAGATGACCTGCATGATTTGGTTCCTACAAGCTACCGTCTGTCCAACTCCATTAGAACTCATGATTTCTGATCTCGTATCAAAGCTGAAACTAAAGTAAATTGACAATGTCTGACCTGTTTGTCCTTGATGGAAGGATGTGGAAGATATTGGGAGGAGCTATGGCCCAGGAGTTGGGCCTCTGCATGTTCAGACACAGGATGTAGATGCACAGAAGGCAGCTGATGATCCCCACGCCGATCAGCAGCCTCCTCTGCAGTGCCATCTCCTCAGGGTGCGAGACTCTGGTCGACAGGCTGCGTGTGCTTGCCGTGCCCTCAGCTCTGCCTGCAGGAGCATGAGGAGGCAGAGGAAGGTGCTGTCCGGCTCAGAGTGGCTTCTCCCAACAGCTACAGGAGGAAGTTAGATGGCGATTAGAATTGGAACAAACACTCAGGAGAGCTAACTCTCAGCAGCAACAAAGCTCAACATAATCTCTTAATGAAACCTTTGCTCTCGAACATAAAGCAGATTCAGATTAATCAGTTTCCATTCATTTACCACAGTTTGACACAGAAAGGATCCGCTACTTCACAGCGATTGAACAATTCGGCAACCAGACGTAAGCTGTAGCTCCCTGGTGACGAGTGCAAGAAGCCAGAAACACTATCTTAGAGGAAACTTATCTTTATCTGCCCACGTCTGCTGCAGCTAGTCAGTCTGTAGACGTGACAGCACAGAGGAGTCATTAACAGAACAGAAAAAACATCTGTCACTTCTTTGAACGAATAAGTCTGGAGATCTGCTCTCCAAGCTCGTTTTACAAAGCCCAAACAATCCACCACACCGATGAATAACAGCGGAGTGTGACACCACTTCTTGGGTGAGTGGGAGAAGGCTGAGGCTGAGAGGGGAATGGAAACAATGTGATAAACTCTGATAGCATACACACCAGTAAAACTCACAGCCTGGACTCTAGAAGGCACTTTTACAAATAAAGTATTCTTTTGGGAAGTTTTTTTTCCCCAAGAAGCAGGGCAAAAATAGAAACTCAGACAACTCACCAAACAAAAACTCTGCTGCCTCACTTCTGACTCAGTTCAACTAAGCTCACAGAAATCCTTTCAAACACAAAAGTTAGACAAATCAAACATCTCACCAGCAGGAGATCCTGGAAACTTTTAAATTCTCTTCTTAAACGGAGCTCTGCTTCTCATCTACTGTGGTGAGCCTCTCTGCACTCTATGGGCGGGACCATTGTGAAATGAGCAACAGCTGCTGGCAGTTTGTCAAACATGAGGGGGAGAGAGGGAGAGAGAGAGAGAGGGTGGGGGGGTGTACACTGAGAGGCAGTAAAGTTAGACATGAACAGGCAGCTCTGAAAGGCTCACAATGCTCAGAGCCTGGATCACAGCTAGAGAATAGCGAAACACACATTTATATTAATTCACACACAGAGGAAAATTGTGATGGACGCTGATCACTAAAAGGTGAAAGTGACCTGTCACCACGAACCTCTGAGTTCACTTTGTTTGTTGATTAAAAATTAAACAAGTCTCAGTGGGCCTCACCATTGCTGAGTTTAGAGGAAGTTAAATAACCAAAGTGTGAAGAAGGACAACAGAAGGGGGGGGGGGGGGGGGTTGTTGGGTCAACATATAGAAACCGGATGTTTCAATCCATCGCCTTAAAGGTTCAGACAGAAAAACAGACTGTTTTGTTAACAAGACTGAGGCTCTGCTGGTTTACATGTCTTTAGAAAATTATGAAGTTAATAAATCAGTTTAGGCCTCTGGCTCATAATCTGAATTCCAGCGGCTCTTCATCCTGATTGATGGACTGAGCGAGAGGGATAGCGGAATGCTTGAAGAAGGGAGGGAGGAGACAAAACAAGTAAACAACCGTATGTGTAGCCACAGTGAACAGAGACGAAGAACCAACTGTTTTGCTTTTATTCTTCTTTTGATAACACATCAGTCACAACCGTATTCACAGTTTTCGAACCGTTGTTGTGAAAAACAAACTGAGACTAAACTACAACAGAGTAGGAAAATGATGCATCTAGGTGTCTGAATACAGATGTGGAAGTATAACACAGCTGGAATGAGTTCGTATGTGACTGTGTGTATCTGACACACCCAATTAGTGGTGGTGGTGTGTGTGTGTGTGTGGGGGGGGGGGGGGGGGGGCTCTGAAACAAAGAGGGGAGTGGAGACAGTCACTGGCACTTAAAGGACGAGTGTGTGTGTGTGTGTGTGTGTGTGTGTGTGTGTGTGAGAGAGACATTATCGCGTATCACATTTTCATTAAGAAAGTGATCTGTTGTAACCGTTACCAACAGTTGAACTAAGGCCGTAACACAAACCTAGCAGTCTCACACACCAGCACTCAGATGACCTCCCCGTCAGAAAAACCACTAAAACATCAGAACAAGTAACAAAAACATCAGTAACGGTTTAGTGTTCCTGTACAGAGTAAAAAACATTCAGTGTTGATAAAGTTTAGGAATTAAATCATATCTTTTGGCGTCTCTGTGGACGAACAACAAAACAATGGTGGACAAATGTAGAAATAAATAAAAGAAAATAATAAATATGTATATTTGGGAATTGTGGAAACTGAAACAACCACCATGCTATGGTCTCTGACTGACTGTTTCTAATCACTGGCCTTCCTTCCAGGTTTAGAGTTTCTCTGAGCAGCCAAGAGCAGGGCATGAACTGAAATCTTATCCACAGAGACTTCCGGTGTCCCTGAGTGTGGCAGAAACATAAGCACATTCCATGTTTAGGTGTAGGAATGATTAAAACTCTACTGATATAATAGCCAGCTGGTCATATTTGGTCCCAGTGAAGCCTCTCGACCAGGTTTTACCAGACGTCTGGTCCTGTGCCCCCTCAGACTCACCCGCCACCTCGATCTGACCCAGCTCTGCCGTTTTAATCCTAACCAATTTCTGTACATTCCTTCTCCTCTCCATCCCTTCTTCTTTCCCACATTCAGAAACCCTCAGAGCCGCTCTGCAATCATCTGACCTCAGACATTTTTGCCTTTAAGATGCCTACATGCCCCATCATTTTACCAATGTTCTACACTCTCTCTGCTAGTGTGTTACATCTCATCATTTTGTTAGCTCCAAATATTTCTTCAAGACCCATCTAATCTGTATGATCTGAGCTGAGCTGGTCACGTGGTGGGAGAAGGGGAGGTTAAAGACCCTGTAATTAGCACTGGCCTCAAGGGACAAACATGACTCAGCTGGTTACAGAGCGCTCCAACATGATTCAGGCTCATGAAACAGATGGAGGTCCAGAAGGAAGAGGTCCTGCTGGCTATGGCTTCACACCGGCAGTCTGGGGAAGGTCTAACATCTGGAACAGATCTGTGTGGTTAATGAACATTCCTGCTCCCAAGGTCTGCAGCAGACCAGCAGAGCAGGTTACGTTTGGACCAGAAAAGACAGGAAAGTCCACATGTAGTCCTTTAATGTGGAGTTCCAACATGGCAGATGTCTTCTCGCCTCAAGGGGTGAGGCTGGGGAACCTTACAGTCCAATCCAGAGTATTTCTCCAGTATGTGTTTTTTTAGTGAGGTAAGTCACATAACATCTGTGTGTGTGTGTGTGTGTGTGTGTGTGTGTGTGTGTGTGTGTGTGTGTGTGTGTGTGTGTGTGTGTGTGTTGGGTGGAGACAAGACCAGTCCTTTCTGTTGGTCACTTCTCCAAAAGATGCTTCCTCTGCTGCTCCCACAGAGCCTCCAGGTGATCAGCCCTCTGCAGAGCAGCCTGTCACAGGAGAGGACAATATTTACACACACACCAGCTTTAATCATTAATCACATACTGGTGCACGGATATCCTGTTCACACCCAGTGCTGAAGCACATCAGCACACTAAACCTAATAATCTCAGGACTCCTTCAGCTGCATCAGATGAAACAAGGGATTACCAACTCGACTGATACAACATCACCCGGGCCAAATTACATTATAGTCTTGGGATTGATGGTGTGTGTTCCTCGTGAGACTCACCTCATGCTGCTTCCGGAGATTATTAACAGTTTCCTCCTTCTTCAAGATGGCTGACCTCACTCTGATAAATCACAGACAAGACAGCATTAAATAACAGGAACCCTGAAAACGACAGCCTGGTTCTGACAAACAGACTCAAAAAAACTTTGTGAAAAATGTGCAGAGCGGCAGATTTATAGCAATTGTTTGTAAAAAGTAAATTACCATCATACTGTAATCAGTTGTTGGGTTGCTAGACCACTAATTTAAAATGATTAACAAAAGGTACAGATGTTTCACATGACAGAATCCCCTGTAATGCCCAGATGGTGTGTTCAATAACATTACAGCATATCTGGTTACAAATTTGTTCTCATATACATATATTTGTTTAATTTGTTTTATAAAAACAGACTAAATAGAACTTGGTGCCCAACTGTGTCCTAGTGATTCAGTCTCACCTAATCAATGCTAATGCTGGGTATTGTAATTATGAACTAGACTAATGGTGTGACTAAACAGAACCTGGCCCTTCCCTTACAGAAGAAAAATATATTGGAATTTACTGTAAAATATACAGTAATATACTGAACGATATAATACAATATATAGAAACTCTGATAACTCATTCTAAAATATATGCAAAGTTACATGAACACCAAATATCTGAATACATGTGAGAATATATATATATATATATATATATATATATATATATATATATATATATATATATATATATATATATATATATATATATATGTGTGTGTGTGTGTGTGTGTGTGTGTGTGTGTACATATATACTGTACATACATATATATTTATATATACATGAGAGAGGGGGGGGGGGGGGGGGTAAAGCATTCAGAGACAGGTTTATATACATGTATACATCCATCTATTTTCATCCGCCTATCCGGAGACGGGTCGCGGGGCTAGTAGCCTAAGGCGAGAGGCCCAGACTTCCTTCTCCCCAGCCACTTGGGCCAGCTCCTCCGGGGGAATCCCAAGGCATTCCCTGGCGGGGCGAGAGCCGTAGTCCCTCCACCGTGTCCTGGGTCTTCCTTTAGGTCTCCTCCCGGTTGGACGTGCCCGGGAAACCTCACCAGGGAGGCGTCCAGGAGGCATCCTGACCAGATGCCTGAGCCACCTCAACTGGCTCCTCTCGATGTGGAGGAGCAGCGGGTCTACTCCGAGCCCCTCCCGAATGACCGAGCTTCTCACCCTATCTCTAAGGTAGAGCCCAGCCACTCTTCGGAGAAAACTCATTTCGGCCGATGTATCCACAATCTCGTTCTTTCGGTCACTACCCAAAGCTCATGACCATAGGTGAGGGTAGGAACGTAGATCGACCGATAAATCGAGAGCTTCGCCTACTGACTCAGCTCTCTCTTCACCATGACAGACCGGTAAAATGTCCGCATCACTGCAGATGCAGCAGCAATCCGCCTATCGATCTCACGCTCCAGTTTTCCCTCACTTCAGAAATATCAGACACAACTCAGTCCAGCAGTGTAAAAATGTCCACATCTGTACTGAACACCCAGCTGCATTCCAGTTCATCACATTGAAGCTGAAACAGATACTGTATCAAAACCACACACGCTTCTTCCAGCTTACCGTTGGTGGACCTCAGCCAGTTCCTCCTCCTTCTCCCTGGTGATCCTGTCCACCTCCAGTCGCAGCTTTGCTCGGACTTCCGACATGTCCACTTTTAGTCTGCGGTTCTCCACCTCTGTCATTACCAACTGGTCAGCGAACTCCTGCCTTATCACCTCTGCTAGGTTGCGGCGTTCATCCACCAGTTTGTCCCTGTTCTGAAAGGACAAGAAGGATGAAGGAAATCAGCCTGAGAATTATTTTCTTATTAATGAAAACAGAAATGGAAATAGAAAAGAAAACTTTTTCAAACAAATCAATATTCTTTTTAAACAAGTTACCCCAAATTTGACATTTTTGCTGATCAACCGTATAAATGAGTGTCTACTGGTGCTGTAACCATCTTTTTGGCAGTCGGCTTCTGCCTCAGTGCCGGGCCACGTCTCTGTCTTCCAGGCAACACCTCATTTACTCGCATTTTTCAAACAGGAAGTGTGGGTGTATTAAGACTCCGGTCAGGGGCTGACTTGTACTTTAAAGTTTGAGGCTCCTCACCTGTGTGATGTCTTCAATCTCCTTCTCTTTCTGTCGGAGCAAGGCCTGATCCCGGATCAGCTCTCCCTCCGTCTCCATCTGCTGCTTCCTCAGATCCTGATATTTCTCAACAGCAGCCCTCTCTGAGTGCTCTAGCTCCCTCAGCTCTGCTTCAAACTTTTCCCTCAGACGCCTCACCCTGAAAGCAGATAGCTTTATAGATCAGGAAACCTACATGGTTGGTTTAGTTCTGCAGATCTGAACAGTAGACCAGCACTACCCTCATAAAACAGAACTGTACACACACACCTGTTGTCTGCTGCCCTCTCACACTCTTCCTTGTCCTTGCTAGTCTCCTCCTCCAGCGTCCAGATGGCAAGCTCTATCTCTTTGTCACGTTCTCGCCGCAGCTTTTCCTTCAGCTCGCGCTCACAGCTCAGCATCCATGCTTCCTACGGACGTACAATCAGGTAGATTAAATACTGCTGGTGTTGAAGAATTTCAAGGAAAACTTGAAAGTACTTGGGGAAAAAAAGTTAAGTATCAGAAGAGCTGATAAAATGGAAGAGAAGAGTGTGTGTGTATGTGAGGACTCAGATTATTGGACAGACGGAGCTACATAGATTTATGCTGGAACAACGAACCTCTTTCTTCTTGTGGTTTTCTTCCCATGTTTGCTTTTCAATATCCAGACGTTCCTGTAGGACCTTCATCTCCATCTACAACATACACACACAGCCCAGTCCTTCAGTCTGACTTCAGACTCCAGGATCTTAACCTGTATGGATGTTTACTGTTCACACTCATCACCTGGTGCCTCCTCTCCTGCTCCTCTCTGCACTGATCCATCTCCTCTTTGAGGGCTCGTCCAGCCAGAGAGCTGTTCTCCTCCAGCTGCTGTCGAAGATCCTCAAGCTCAACCCGCTGCCTGTAAATAACACAAAAAGAGCATGAAGTTCATTTTTATCAGGATCTTAGGATGATGGTAAACCTGGGATTGAGGCCTAGTCCACACGTAGCCGGGTTTTTTTAAAAACGAATATCCGCCCCTCCGAAAACTTGCATCCACACCACCTCTTTTTTAAAAAAAAACCTCTGTCCACACGTACCCGGATAAATACGTTGTTAGGACATGCCAGACCTGTAGGCGGCAGTACTTCCCCGTACTTAACCTCGTCCTTCGTCTGTGGTCTTCCGCAAGGAGCAGTAATACCGCTTGCAAAAACAAACAAGCAAAAAGCGCTTGGACAATTGATAAAGCGAGCGCAGCTCTGAGGGCATCCATGCTGTCGGCTAGTGTAAACACAGGTCGCACACGTGATGTCAGCATTTTTTTGTCGCGGAAAGTGACTTTGCGGATCTTAAAACTCCGGTTTTGTCTGTCCACACACAGACACCCAAAACGGAGAAAACGCAGATCTTCACTTTGGCCGGAGTTTTTAAAAAGATCCGTTTTCGTGTGAAAAAAACTCTGTTTTCGTGTGGATGACAGGCCAAAACGTAGAAAAATATCTACGTTTTGGCAGATTCCCGGCTACGTGTGGACAGGGCCTAAGTCAACTGTTTTATCCCAATTAACACACAGCAAAGGGCTCCAGGGACGTACCGACGTGGACAAAACTGTTGATACTCTTTGGTCAATGAAAGAAAAGCCCACAACGGTCACAGAAATAACTTGAATCTGACAAAAATAATAAGTAATAAAGGTTTGGTCTGCATCTGTATCCGCTCTAAATTCAAACTTTAGAAACGGTTTTGTTAGAATTAGTTTATGTAATTTATTAGTTGGTTAATTAAGATCTGAAAGAATATTTTCTTCCGTTTAGGTCCACACAGATTAAAGACTTGGCTGCTGTTTGTTGACTTGTACAAAAATCAGCCAGACGGCTCCTCAGATGACCTTTGACCTCACCTGGCAGCCAGATTGGCCAGCCTCTCTTTCTCCTCAGCCACCTCCTGGTAGAGACGCCTCCTCTGCTGCTGCAGGGACAACTCCTCCTCCTGCAACTGCTTCTCGTACCTGCAAACCCAAACACAACTATTGAGACAGAACATGAGCGGCTAAGGCTCACAGCTACAATAACCATGTGACAGAGGAAAACTTGTTTACCACAAAACATCAGCTACAACATTAAAGAGTCACCTAATGACACAGTTCTATTCCTGTATAAAAAGTCATTTATGTGTTCACCTCTGTTTTGCCAGCTCCCTCTCCTTCTGGCACTGTTCCTCCTTCTCCTTCTCCAGCTGTTGCCGGAGCTCCTCGCTCTGACGGACGTATTGCTGCGCAGCCCGTTCGTCTGCTTGCAGCAGCTCGACCTCATGCAGCGTTCGCAGCTTCTTCAGCTCCTGCTTATGTTTAGAAATCAGCTTCTGGATCTCTGGTTCCAGTCCTGAGAGGAACAGAGGAACGTTCACATCAGCTGGTGAGGCAGTGGTTCTGCTGCTGCTGGACTTGACAGCAGAATTTGATTCCGTTGACCATGAGATATTGTTGAATCGCTTTGGAACACTGGGTGTGGCTCTCAGGTTCTGCGTTAGAGTGGATGATGTCATTATCTTATGTATAGGCCTTTCTCTCTTTCCCTTGGTTCTTCTTCATCAAGAGATACTGAGCTTAGGTGGGAGTAGGACTGGGCAATAAATCGAAAATTTATCGTTATCAAAATTTCTGACTCTTATCGTGATAATTTTTCCCATGTCGATAAATTTGATAATAAAAAAAGAAAAGATGTGTGTAGGTTGGCAGCGTTCATGTCCCTTAAAGAAGCTGTACCACCTTGAGTCATGTAAAAATGTGACTCAACTAATACATGTGACAGCCCCATCTAGTAGACAACTTTTGTTTCTGCGCAAGCCAGTAGTTATCGTCCATTTATCGTTATCGAGGTGAAATCCTCAATATATCATGATATTAATTTTAGGCTATATCGTCCAGCCCTAGGTGGGGGGTTCCCCAGGGCTCTGTTTTGGGCCCCCTGCTGTTTTCACTCTATTTCTTACCATTGGGACTGTTGTTTAAGAAACATTTAAATTAGTTCTTATTTCTATGCTGATGATTGTCAGCTTTATTTGCCAATTAAGCAAGGTGCCAGGGGTAGTGTAAAGCAGCTGGTGAATTGTTTACAGGACATTACTCAATGGATTGGGTCCAATTTCTTGACTCTGAATGAGGGCAAAACTGAAATAATAGTTTTTACCCCGAATAACCACCAGCCCCATGGATTGGACCTTTTATTGCTGCTACCCTACGAAAAGTCTGTAATTACAGATTTGGTGATCGGCCTGACACCGCCCCTCCCCCTCCTCTCTTCCAGGCTGCTGAGGAGCACAGCTGAGCTGAATCCTGCTGATGACCCACACCTGGGATAAAAAGGCTGTGCCTTCAGCAGTCTGGGAGGCAGCAGTGCAGGGGTTCTGCTGTCCTCCAGGCCTCGTTTTGGTTTTAACCCCTTCGTTTTGATGAGTTTTAACTTTAATAGTTTTAACTCTGAGTGATCCAAATGGATCTTTGTTTGATGTCAACTTGGTTGACTCTGTTAAGGTTAACATCTTAGTTTACTGACTTAGGGATTTTAAAACACTCTGTGTTTTCGTAGTGTGTTGGTTTTATTATCAACTTGTGCTTTAAAAGCACCTTCTGTTTTGGTAAAACTTTAAACAAAGTATTAACCAGGTGTTTAAATGTTGATTATTTGCCCTTTATATGTTAACCTTTTAGTCTTGATTTTGTTTGTTTGGCATTATTTTAATAATGTTCTCCATCTGTTTGCCCTTGTTTTTACAACCTTTTATAACAATTAAACCCATTTTAACTCTACTGTCGCATTTGTTATGTTGCCCCCCTCCTTCACATTTTAACCCCTCCTGTCGGGGACGTAACAGCTTGGATTAGTTGCTAAATCAAAGAATGAATTCTTAAATATAATGCAAACATTTAAAACTTATAAGTTAAATAATCATTATCACTGAATCACTATCTCTGCTGCTAAAGCTACTGATAGCAAATGCTACGGGCTATGCCTGAGCGTGAACGCACATGAAGCAGCCTGCTCGACCCGAGCAGCTCTCTTTTTCTGTGATTTTACAGAAAAACAGGCAATCACAGTAAAAATGCCAGGGCTCATTCTACAGGACCAGGGCATTGCAGGACAATGTATGAAGAAGAAATTTATTATTTCTATACATGTTTTGGCGGTCAAACTTCCTTAATGCCCCTTTAAATATTCAAGCGAAAAAGAGGCGAACTGAAGATAACCTAGGGAGCACTGAAGTAATGTCAGCAACAGTGAAGCAAGCACAGAGAGATCTGTTACTGTGTGTGTGTGTGTGCGTGCGTGGATGGGCCGGACGGACTGAGATCCTGGCTGCAGTTTTGTGTGTAGGGAGGGGCGGGCGCTCTATGTGACTGGCCAATCACAGAGCGTGAAGTCAGTCAGTTACCCAATGAGGATTTTCCTTCAGCACGATTACAGACATTTACGAGTTTTACTCGTTTCATGCTCGTATTCGTCAAAAATGCTTTATCCGTACCGGATTCTCGTCTGAAATGAGTATCTGGCTCATCCCTAGCTGTAACCACCCTGCCCTGCCTCCTCCTCCTTGCTGCCTGCCGGCTGTGATCACAAGGAACAATAGAGTAGTTCCCGCTGCTTCTTTGGGAAACGGCGCAAAAAAAATAAAAATAAAAAAATAAAACATCAATAAAACTTGGGGTCTTGTAGGCGTGGCGCTGGGATTTCAGCCGTGGCGGGCCGCCACGGCTACGCCTATGTAAGGAAAACACTGGAATGGGAGGGGTTTCAGGATACCCACCTTCGTGTTACTGAATTTCGGGGAAGTCAAACCGGGATTTTCAGAGAACCTGAATTTTGGCATAGCTCGCTACAGGAAATACCCCACCTGGTCAACTGGTGCAAAGTCAACAATCTGATCTTCAGCATTGACAAGACAAAGCTGATCACTGTCGACTTTAGAAAATCTTAGTCCCGGTCCTACACCACTTCTAATCAATGACACAACAGCAGCATGCTCTGGCGGGAGTTGGAATCAAACCTACAACCTTCCGATTACTGCACAACCCGCTCTACCTCCTGAGCTACTTCTACACCAGATGAATAGAGCTTGATTTTATCTTTAATTTATGCATTTTAGCTCCTTCTATGTACGCAGTTACTCAGATCACTCATGTACTTGTACATAGTAATGACATTTTGTTTGATATGTACACCGTGGCATGTTTGTTGAATGACAGTAACAACAAGTCTAACCCCGGGTTTCCACGGGAGCCGTCAGCAGCACGTTACTGCAGCAGCACGTCTTGCTCGCGTAAGCTGCTGCTTGGCCCTTCCCACCAGAGACGCGAAGCAGCAGGGGAGCAGCTGTCACCGACAGAGTACGAAGTCACACGAGTGACTTCGTCAGTAAACACAACAACAAGCAGGAGAAAACTACAACATGGCTCCAAAATGTTTGTGTTTTTATGTTCTGTCCGTTTTATAATCGCCAATACGGACCTGAAAAACAAAGGAGACCGCTAGCTAGGTGATAACTTCTCACGGGGCCGCACAGTTAGTAACCTTTTTTAAAGTAAAGCGACCGGAAGGCAGTACGTTCTTTATTCTGAAAATCTCGGGAGCTTCTCTCCATTTCCGCGTCCGATTTCCTGTCTTTCCTTCCCCAAAAATGTCGAACTTGACCCGTTTCAGAGGCGTCGCGCGTAGGAAATAGAACCGGAGCGTAAAGGCCGCGACATGCTGCTCCTGAGACGCGGCCGACTCGCGCTGCTGACGGCTGCCGACGGCTCCAGTGGAAACGGTTCTGTTGACCACAGCCGTTCCTATCAGCAGCTATGACGTGCTGCTGCAGTAACGTGCTGCTGACGGCTGCTGTGGAAAGCCGGGGTAAGTCTGCCCGTTGGGTTGGGTCAAGTCGGGCTCGTGTTGAAATTGAGAACTCTAGTTCTAACTCTAGCTTTTGGTGTGACAAAGAATTTAACATAAACTCAACAAAAGAGAAGTTCTATCAGATGATGCTCAGGAGACATGGATGTAATGGGGGGGGGGCATGTCCCCCCCCCCCCCCCCCCCCAACTTTTTCCAAAGTCAAGTTTTGACCCCTGCACGTTTTACCATCCAAAAACAACATTACGCTATATTAAATTGACACTGGTTGAGCTCTAGGACCAAGCGGAAAGCAACCGTTTGTGTTGAAGCCTGTTTCCCATTAGAGCATACTGTAAAGACCCCCGTGTCCCCCCCACTTCTAAAGTGAAAATTACGTCCATGTCAGGAGACCAAATGAGAAAGTCTAAAGAAGCTCTGTGGACGTCAGGGCTGAGACTTTGGGCTACTGACTTTGCTCTTTATGCGGAGAATGTCCATATTTGATCACATGAGCATGTTTTAAGTCTTGATTTTCCACCTGAATCATTTTTAATTAGAAAAAGGTAATAAATAAAAAGTGGCAACATAAAAACATTTTTAAAGGTAAATTCAACAAATAAATTAAGTTAGACAAATAAACAAACAAATAAATAAAGGAACCAGAGAAAGAAAATAGCATCTTGATAACTCCTAATAACATTTAGGTGTTTTAGGGTTAAACAATGAAGGGAAACACTAGGATCAGAAGGAAGTCGGTTTAAATATGTGATGAGAGAAGCTGAAATAGGATGTTGCAAAGGCTCAGAGAATCCGATTCATGTTGAGTGAATAAAAACATGTTTGAGGGATCTACAGGAAGAATTGAAATCAACAAAAGAAGCGGTTGAACACTCACTTTTATACTGTGGCATTCCCTCAGCATGTGAGTTAGCCATATTTTTAGATAATTTTGCTTAATTTAATCCTGTTTCAGTATGTTATTTCATTTTTTGTTTTTATCTTCAGTTTTTATTTGTCCTAATGTATATTTTGTGGGCCCTTGCATGGGTCAGTGGTGATTTAAATGATTTTGTACAGCACTTGTTTGCCTCCTAGCTGATGAAAAGCGCTTTATAAATAAAGTTGATGGTGATGATGATGAACAAGGGACTGAAGAAGTGCCAAGTCACACTGATGCAAATATGTGGATCAAGAACAAATTCGCTTTACTTTTCAACCTGTGACAGTTTATGGTCAGCAGGTCAGCTCTCTCAGCACTCATTCTAGCAAAAGCTGCATGCCTTAACCACAGATACCCAAAGTTATCTCTAAAAAGGTTTGGTATTTTACCTGAAGCCGATTAGCTTAAAATGATCTGAGTTTTTATGCCCCATATAGTTTATCTTAACCAGCATCTTTAACAAACACCCTCTTATTGTCTCAGAGCAGAGAACTCCATTTATTACAGCTCTGGGACACTCCTGTTGGGTGTTTCTGTCAGATTCAGGCAAGATGGCGGCGCGCACAGACGCAGCGGCTCTGAGCTCTTCACTTAGGCTTTTTACCATGTTTTGTGTCGTCTTTTTATGTTTTATTATGGACTATTGCGGAGCGAAACTCACGTATGACCGAGGGGAACTATACAGCATCGGATACAACTGCCAGATGCCCATGACAAAGGAGTATCAAAGCTCCCACAACATCCCTCCAATTATAGCGAGGCCATTGGACGCTCCGTGGATCGTTGTTGGCTCAGTTACGCGTCGTAGGAGGCGGAAGGAACGCAAACAAAAGCGGGGCTGCCGGTCTGGTCTGCAAGCCAGACTAAAGAGGCAGCCATTTAAACCACCACTCCCAAGCATTTTCCTGACCAACTCACGATCTATTGTCAACAAAATCGACAAATTGGATTTATTACTCACAGCTCATTCACTCACTCGGGATTGCTGCGTTCTGGTCGTGACGGAGTCCTGGTTACGAGAGGACATTCCTGATGCGTCAGTGCAACTACCGGGCCGCACTCTACACCGTAGCGACAGGAAAGCTTCAGCTGGAAAACGCAGAGGAGGAGGTTTGTGTATCTACACACACAACAACTGGTGTACGAACAGCAGGATCTCTGCTACATTCTGCTCACCAGATATAGAGACGATATCTGTCACATGTAGACCATTTTATCTGCCCAGGGAACTAACTGTTGTGATGATAACAGCAGTTTATATACCACCAGATGCCAATGTTAGTCTAGCCCTTGATCACTTATATTATAAAATCAGTGAACAGCAGCAAACATATCCTGAAGGAGTACATATTATAGCAGGGGATTTCAACAAAGCGTGCTTGAGAACTGTGCTGCCTAAATTTGTTCAACATGTGAAATGCCCCACGAGAGGAAACAACATCTTGGATCATGTTTACACAAATATTAAACAGGCTTATAAATCCGTCTCTCTCCCCCCCCCCCCTTGGAAAGTCAGACCATCTCTCTCTGCTCCTCCTACCTGCATACATACCACTGAAAAAAAGAACAAGGCCAATTATTAAAACCATTAACACTCTTACAGATGAAGCCTTGGCTCAACTGCAGGACTGTTTTACTCACACAGAATGGAGCATTTTTGGAAATGAGGATCTACAAATTTACACAGATACTGTGCTCTGCTATATCAAACATTGCATGGACACTGTTATCATTCACAAGCAGGTTCGGATCTACCCTAACTGTAAACCCTGGATGACGAGTAAGGTCAGGGTACTGTTAAAGGCACGGAATGCTGCATACGCGTCGGGAGACCAGGCAAAGTACTGGCGGGCAAGGACTGATCTTAAAAGGGGAATCAAGGAGGCTAAAGTGAGCTACACCAAAAAGCTGTCGCAACATCTGTCTGCCAGCAACCCAAGGAGGGTCTGGGAAGGACTGAGACATATTACCAAATACAAGGACAACAGATCTAGCACTGAAATAGGAGCTTCATTAGCCGAAGAACTCAACTATTTCTTTGCTCGTTTTGAGAATACCAGCTTCCCCACAACTAACATCAGTCCTATAACATCACCCGCTGAGTTTGGATCAGATACACAAATACTCACACTTCAAGAACAACAGGTTCGAACCGTGTTCAGGGCTGTTCATCAGAGGAAAGCGGCTGGTCCTGATGGTGTTCCTGGCAAGGTGCTGAAGTACTGTGCAGATCAGCTGTCCATGGTATTCACCAAATTACTCAATCGCTCCTTGTCAGAAGCTACGGTTCCATATTGTTTGAAATCAACAACAATAGTCCCACTTCCCAAGTCTACTACAATCAACAGTCTCAATGATTACAGACCCATAGCACTCACACCGGTGGTGACCAAGTGCTTTGAGAAGCTGGTGCAAAAACATATCAAGGACTTCCTCCCACCCAGCATGGATCCCTGCCAGTTTGCATATAAAGCAAACAGGTCTACTGAGGATGCCATATCTAATGCTCTCCACTCCTCTTTGCAACATCTGGAGAACCCCGGCACCTCCGTTAGAATGCTTTTTATTGATTTTAGCTCTGCTTTTAATACCATAATCCCGAACATCCTTGTAGCCAAGTTGATTAACCTGAACCTCCCCCCTACCACCTGTGGCTGGATCAAAGATTTCCTCACCAATCGCCCACAGGCTGTCAGGTTTGGTGACAAGCGGTCATCCACTCTGATGCTCAGCACTGGTTCCCCTCAGGGCTGTGTGCTAAGCCCCCTGCTGTTCACCATCTACACCCATGACTGCATTCCTATTCATCGCTCTAATAAGATCATTAAGTTTGCAGATGACACCACTCTTGTAGGTCTTATCCATAACAACGATGACGCAGCATACAGAGATGAGGTTTGCCATTTATCAGAATGGTGTGATGATCATAACCTCTCTCTTAACATCAAGAAGACCAAGGAGATGGTTATTGACTTCCGAAGGAGTAAGGATGCCCACCGCCCTCTCTGCATTAAAGGAGCTGAGGTGGAGAGAGTTCCCTCCTTTAAGTTTCTCGGGATTTACATCTCTGAGGATCTGTCATGGACAATCAATACCACTGCCTTGGTCAAAAAAGCACAACAGCGGCTGCACTTCTTGAGAGTCCTGAAGTGGAATAGGCTGCAGACCAACCTCTTGGTGTCTTTTTATCGAGCAGTCATTGAGAGCGTGATGACTTACGCTATCCCTGTGTGGTACGCGGGGTGCACAGTAGCTGATAAAAACAGATACCAGAGGGTCATTAGAATGGCGGAAAAGGTGATTGGATGCACCCTTCCCTCCTTGGACACTATCGCCCTGCAGAGGTGTCTCACTAGAGCAAGAACCATCTCCAGGGACATTTACCACCCAAACCACTACCTTTTTGCCATGCTGCCATCTGGGAAAAGGTTCAGATCCCTCAGCTGCAGGACCGACAGACTGAGGAAGAGTTTCTTTCCCTGGGCTATTAGAACCCTGAATAGACAGAAAAATCAACCCTATTGATATTATTTATTGTATTTTGTAATGTTTTTGTTTTTTATTGCATGGTGCATATTGTACTTGTTTTAACTATTTTTCTTAGTATTTTTAGCGGATGCCTAATGTGGAGCTCTAGGAAATTTCGTTGAATGTGCAATCATTTAATGACAATAAAGGATATCTTATCTTATCTTATCTTATCTTATCTTATCTTATCTTATGTATTACCTCAGAACACATTTATATCAACTCTACTTTAGGTTTAAGTAAAGTGAGTTTAGTAATCAGTTTATTATTGGTTTTAAGAACCTCAGAATTCCTGTTGGGGGAGGTCCAAGGTCACTTCGTGTCCCTCGCCTCTTTTCTGGTGGCTGCTGGAGGAAGGCACCAGCTCCCTGAGACCCTTACAGGATAAAGTGGTTGCAGATTTCTTTTCAGTCCATCCTACCTTTTATTGTGATATCCTTGATCTTTTTGGTTTTCTCATCAATCCATTTCTCTCTGCGAATCTTTTCTGTGGCGCTCATTAGATCCTTTAACTTCTTGATCTCCTGCAGAAGGACAAAGATGGACAACAGGAGAATAACGGTGGCGTTTCAGTAATGAAGATTTAAAAAAAAACAGATGTCAAAACATTTACTTCATAAATAAAAATGACAGCGGAAGCAGGAAATAGAAATGAGGAACTCAAACAAAGAAACTAAAAGTAATCGCAAAACAGAGATTTGGATGTAGATGTTGAGATGAAATAAAAGAAGGTTTCTCACATGCAGACAGACTGTCCAAGAGAAGAGGTGTTGGAAGGATGAATGGAAACAAGGAATAAATAAAAATGAGTGAGCATAAGGTGCAAAGGAGGAATTAGAACAGAAAACAAAGTTACCTCGCACAAGGGGCCGAGAATTTGCCACACCTAAAAGGCAAGAAAAGAAAATCACAGAGATAGACGAAGAGAAAGAAAGTAGAAAAGATTTCAACAAAAGCAGCGCTGCAGAACAGCAAGTTACAGTTACAGCAGCAGCAGAGTAGACTGCTGGGAGGAACTCACCATCTCATGCTGCTGCTGCATCTGAACAATCTTCTTTGTGTACTTCTGGTCCACCTGCTTCAGTTCAGCCACCACTCCTTCACAGCGCTCACTCAGAGCTTTTTTATCATTGATGAGCTGCAGAGAGACGGCGCATACCTCAGACAAATAGAAAAGAGAAACCCAGCAGGAGAGAATAATTGAGGTAGTTTCCGAGGAGCTGCACACCTGGTCGATGAAGGTCAGGTGTCTCTGGATGGCAGCTTCATATTGCTCCTGCTGAAGCTGGAAATTGTTGCTTAGCTCCTTCTCCATCTCCTTCAGATGTCTCGCCATCAGTTCCTTCTGCTGAGCCTTTCATGCAGAAAAACAGAATACACACCTGTGAGTGTCCTATCCTCATCAGCTAACGGACTCAAGCTCTGTAGGAACATCTTCCTCACCAGAGCTGTCTGCAGCATGCTGATGGTGCGTTTCTTCTCCTCCAGCTCCAGTTTCATTTTCATCATGGAGCCAGAAACCTCAGCTGCTGTAGCTGATGCTTGTTCAACTCCAACCAGCTCCTCCTCAAAGAACACAGCCTGAACATTAGAACATTATCCATGAGCTCATTTTGTTTACGTCTTACATGACAACATGAATGAAATGCTGCTGACCTCTCTGTGAGAACCCGAGGTTACTGATCGAGGCCTTTCCTGCTCGGACTTCTCCATCTCATCCAGGAAGCTCATGATGCTCTGCAGCTTTGCTTCAGACAGCAGAGCGCCCCCTTCTGGCAGTGCAGGATGGTGGCTCAGCTGGCCATGACGCTCCAGGTTATCGGCGGTCAGTGAGTTAGATTCTCTGTCCTTTCATGGGATGAAGACACATCAGTGGCTTCCTTTTGAAAGACGCACTAAATGATTTGTAAGGAATCACTAACTTCGTCTATCCAGGCGTACTTCTCCTTTTGGTAGCACCGTGGTTCTGAAAGTCTCTCTGGCTCCTCCTCTAACATCTTTAGGGTGTCCAGCAGCTCAATCAATGTTGTTTTAGACTGCGCTCTGCTGGACTGAGCTCCCTGATGCTGGTCCTCCACACTCACAGACATCTGTAGGACCTCCTGCACCACAAATAAACAAACAAACAAATAAATACATGCTGCTGTGAGGAGAAACTGCTGACCAAGTCCAATATCCGGTCACTTACCTGGGAACACTGAGATCCTCTGTGATTTGACAAAGATGGAGACACTGCTCTGAAGCTGAGGTCAGCTCCATCAGCCACATTTAAATTAGATTCTGTAGAAGCAAAAACACCCTGGTAAATATTTCTAACTTAAATCTAGATTAGATATGGAGACCTGTCAGACCTGTGTTGTTGGTTTTGATGTCTGTGGGGGATTTGGGGCTGTTGTTGCTCAGTGAAACAGGACTGTTGTTGGTTGGGGTGATCCTGAGAAGTTTCCTCCTTCCCACTGCACCAGTCTGCCTGATGTTCTCCACCTCCACCTTGGCAGCGTGCTGATCCTCAGCAGCTGCAGGAGCTCGTTTCTGCTTCTGTTCCTAATCCACATGATCAGAAAAAGATAAAAAAAATAATAAAAAACTGGGACACTTTCACTGAAAACTCTGAGCCACAGTCAAAGACCTAAACTGGTGTTCATACAAAGTACGTACATCAGATGAGTTGAGAGGGGGGGCAGCAAGGCGAGTTAGATGAGGTTTCTCTTTACGAATGAGTTTTTTTCCGCTCTCATGATGCCTGAGAGGAACGTCTCCTGCTCGGTCCTCCTGCTCCTAAGACATACACGAAGTGAGTGTTTGACAGACCCAGAGGGTAAGCAGAGTTAAGATGAATGAAAAGTTCCACACCTGAGTATCTTTGTGACTGGACAGGGTTGGAGAAACAGCTCTGAAGCTAAGGTCACTTAACTCAGTCATAATGTTCAGATTGGAATCTGTGGAAGCATACCACCAAGCAATAATCAGTGATGCTCCTTTAAAAAACACAGGAAAATACTATAAAGCTCATGGTGATCAAATACTTTATAAACGAACTATTGATCATATAATGTGGTTCAGGGCGGGCTGCAGAGCCGTGAAGTAAATCAGCAACAAACCTGCATTTTTAGATTTGGTGTGAGTGGGCGACACCAGGCTGATGTTGCTCAGTGAATCTGGACTCTTATTGCTAGAGGACGTCTTAGGCTGCTTCTTCCGTCCCACTGCTCCCGTTTGACACAGGCTTTCCTGATCAACATGGGCTGCATGCTGCATGTTCGCAGCTCGCTGGGCTCTTTTCTGCTGCAGCTCCTGTGACACACCCCAAGGGGGAGACAAAGGACAAATTTAAAGAACCAGGGTGAAAAAAGATAAAAGGACGATTTGACATGTGTTTATGAGTAAAAGTATTGTGTATAACCTCACAGAGTTCATTTAATATTTATATAGAAACATAAATTTTTATTGAAAAGATTCCATCCTCTTCAAATCTGGCCCAATAATAATATCAAACACTAAAGCATCTTAGCTGAATTTGCCTTCCATACTCCACGGTGGAGGTAAAATTTAAGATCAGCAGTTATGTTTAAGGGAATTTGATTTCTGGAGAACACTTGAAGATTTGAGCAAAGTGCTTCATGACCCACAGTGGGGTCCTGACTCCAGCTAAGGGAACCACTGGACCAGAGTTTCTGCTGATTCCATTTTGATTAAACAAATTCTGGATGTATCAGAGTTTTCTGTCTCAGTGGAACTGCAACAACAAACAGCTGCAGACAAACCGATGAACTCAGATTGCACCTGGATGGCAGCAAGACGGGCTAGTTGGGCTTTCTCCTCCCGGATCCGTTTTCTGTCTTCTGCTTTCCGATGTTGCTGCTCCAGGCGACTATCCTCCTCTCTTCTCTCCTCCCACTCCTACAAGGGAAGCGATTAACGCAACTGCCAGAAAAACTCTGTTACATCTGAGACTGAAAAGGAAGAACTACTAACTACCTTTCCTTTATCAGCAAGGAATTGTTTGAGTGCTGCCTGGTTGCTGTGTTTTCTCTTGGCATGCTGTCTGTACCAGCATTGGATGGTGATGGCAGCCTGGTTCACCTGCTGAATAAACCTTCAGAAATACAAGAGAGCTGCTGTGACTCACAAACAATACAGGAAACATGCACACAGTGGTGACACTGTTCAGCAGGTCTGACCTTTCAGCCTCCTCCTCTGTGGCTTCCCTCCGCCGTGGCGGGATGGGGCTGCAGGGCCGAGCCGACACCGGAGATCTGTTGTTGGGGGTGGAAGACGAGGAGGAGAAATTCTTCTGGGATTTTGTGACAGAGCTATTCTCCACCAAAACCTCATCGTTTGCTGTGGCCTTCAGGATGTTACTAAAACCACACAAAATCAGAGCACGTTTTTATGTCAGTAATTGGTTTGCAAACCTTTTCTCTGAAGTAATGAAATTAGGTATTTTGCAGCAAGAACTGCAACAACAAAAAGACTAACTTGAAGGAAGGCTTCTGATTTGAGCTTTTAGGTGTGAGAGGCTTCTCCGAGTGGTTGTTGTGTAAGATGGTGGTAACCGAGTTTCCCACAGCTCCCTTGTTGCTCCTGCAAAAACACCAAAGAGCGACACTGACATCCTCCATCACACTTAAACAGGGTATCTGCAGATTTAAGGGAGCCAAATTTAAGACTTTTTAAGACCTTTTTTAAGGCCACTTTGACCAAATTTAAGCTATTTTAAAAATTAAATTTAAGCGATAATTTCCAGCTATTGCCTGGAACCGGTGCTAACCACGTCGCGAACGTGGGATTAGCCATCCAGTTACCATTAAACTTGCCCTTCCCCATGGCGCAAGCTCCCACTAGCTTAACCAGCTAATGTGCTCATCTAAAAAAAATAGCCCCCTTTCACAACCAACTGAATGTGTACGGTTCCGCTTACGTCAACATCATACACAAAAAATGCTGAACACTAACTAGATATTCACGAAATTTTTATAGAAATAAAAGAATCTTGTTTATTGGGTCTTTGGTCATTTAAGACCTTTGGAAACTGGATTTAAGGATTATTTGTCATTTTTAAGGACTTTTAAGGCCTTAAATTAGGAAAAGCTAATTTAAGACTTTTTAAGACTTTTTAAGGACCCGCGGATACCCTGTTAAATCCATTCATAAGACCTCTGGTACACTTACTCCACTCCTCGGAGCTTTAACAAACCATCTTTAAATTATTATTTTTGAGAACGATCAGTCACTCTGAGTTTTCCATGCAGGCTGAACATGAAAATAGTCTCCTACACCTATCTCCTGCATTAGCTTCTGATATAAAATAGACAGTGAAACTCTAGGATTTTAAAAGCCTGACAGATCTACGTCACGCTGTCTCTTAACATTCATACTCACCCATCTTGGCTCACGACAGGGAAGGCTGTTGTTAGTTAACGTTCAAGAAACAGCAGACAATGTCTTGGCTAGTAGAAGCTAACTGTTAGCATTTGCAACCCCACCACACAGAACTCCTTCTGGCTTGTGTTATTTGTGGAGATAAAACATCAGTGTAACAGAGAAAACGGACTCTGGTAGTCGCGTTGCTGTTAGCCAATCAGAGGCAAAATGTCCAAACGAGGAAATAAAACTCCAAATCCTGCCGTCTGGAGATACTTTCGTCTCTTGCTGAATTCTCTGTGCTGAAACAAGCACACCGGAGCTTTTTCCCCCAGAGTACAACTTACAAAGTATTCATTCATACTATAGACCACTGCAGATGTATTAAAATATGAGTGAGGGATTTCTTTCAAGTAACTGAAAATGAAAATGCTAAACTCGGCCTACACAGTATTTTCCATTTTCACTAAAGAAAAACATTGTGTGTGATGGTGTGTGATGGTGTTGATATCAGACACTTTGATCAGCGGGTTTAAAACACGAGACAGAGACCGATTGTGTGCATACGTGTGTGATGTAGCCCACCTGTTGTTGGCTGTGAAGGTAGCAGCCAGACTGATGCCAGGTTCTTTTCTCTTCAGGCTGGTGGGTGAGTCCATGCTGCCAGTGCTGCGGGAGCTGGAGTGAGATGGAAAGATTCTGGGCTGATCGTCCTGAAAAAGAAAAATACATATTACCTCATTAAACCTTTATCGACTGTTATATACTACAAAGAAAAAAATGTAAATGTAATTTAAATACTAGACCGGGTTATAGATTTATAATGTTTCAAATTGATGGGATATAAATCAAAACAAAGCTGATGACAAACAGAATGATGGTAAATACCAGGATGTTCCATGTGGTTCTCTCTGGTGATATCTTGCTGAGGCTCGCCAGTTTCTTGCGTCCATCTGAGCTGCTGTCAAACAGAGCCAAGTAATCGTTGCTCTGGTCCTGACTGGAGAACAGAAACCAGTTCAGCTATTATATCGAAAACCTGAGACATTAAACCCCGCAGGGTCAAAGACACCCCTGTGTGTAATTTGACCACTATGACACATTAAAAAAAGGCTTCAGGCAAACACTGTTTTTATCCACGTGGATATTCTGTGGGTGAATCATTTTTGTTCAAAAGGGACCATATCATGGAAAATCCACTTTTTGGAGCTTTTAACCATGTGATATTGTTATTACTTCTCCAAAAAACAAAAAATACCTGTTCATACATTTTCCTGTTTCAGCTGCAAATTTTGAGTTTTAATTTGACAATTCTGTAAAGCATTAATGGAAACTATTCTCGTCAGCAGGCCCTTCTCCTCTCCTGGGAGCTAGTCTCTGGTCCTAAACCAGGGTATCTGCAGGTTTAAGGGAGCCAAATTTAAGACTTTTTAAGACCTTTTTTAAGGACACTTTGACCAAATTTAAGCTATTTTAAAAATTAAATTGAAGCTATAATTTCCAGCCATTGCCTGGAACCGGTGCTAACCACATCGCAAACGTGGGATTAGCCATCCAGTTACCATTAAACCTCCCCATGACGCAAACTCCCACTAGCTTAACCAGCTAATGTGCTCATCTAAAAGTAGCGCCCTTTCACAATCACAACCAACTGAATGTGTACGGTTCCGCTTACGCCAACATCATACACAAAAAAGCTGAACACTAACTAGAAATTCACGAAAATGTCATAGAAATAAACTAATCTAGTTTATTGGGTCTTTGGTAATTAAGACCTTTGGAAACTGTATTTAAGGATTACTTGTCATTTTTAAGGATTTTTAAGGCCTTAAATTTTGAAAAGCAGGCGACTGCTAGCAAGTGGCAGACTTGGTAGTCCAGAGGTTAGAGTGCTAGACTGGCATGCTGTTTTGTGCAGGTTCACATCTCAGTCTGAGCAGTAACCTTTTCCTTCTTCAGCTGCACTTGCCAGTATGACGTTTTCAATCCTTTAATGGTAAACTGTTTAAAATATAAGAATAGGTTGTTTTTGTGCTTTCATTACTTATTTAGTCAGTGCGAGTCCATGGAGGTGCGCAGAGTAAATCAACTAAAATGCAGCTGGAGAATGAACAAATTCAGATATGTTTAAAGACACAAAATATTTTGCGGAAAATAATTAAAACTAAAATATAAAACATGAAATCTGCTTCAGCTGACTAAATTAATTACTGCAGACACCACAGGGATTAAAACCACATCAGCACATGACAAAACTGAGATGGCAGGCAGATGCAGCTAATATAGCAACTGACTCGCCAAGACGCTGTTGTAGGCACATGTTGTAGCGGGCGTGGGTGGAGTTTCACTGAAATGGACCATTTTATTTCCAGGTATAAATTCAAAGTAACAAAAACAATTCTTATTTAAGATAAATGACATCTCAATAGTGCCAACAGCAAGTTTTCACCATACAGTGGGGCAAAAAAGTATTTAGTCAGCCACCGATTGTGCAAGTTCTCCCACTTAAAATGATGACAGAGGTCAGTAATTTACATCATAGGTACACTTCAACTGTGAGAGACAGAATGTGGAAAAAATTCATGATTTCACATGGCAGGATTTTTAAAGAATTTATTTGTAAATCAGGGTGGAAAATAAGTATTTGGTCAATAACAAAAATTCAACTCAATACTTTGTAACATAACCTTTGTTGGCAATAACAGAGTCAAACGATTACTATAGGTCTTTACCAGGTTTGCACACACAGTAGCTGGTATTTTGGCCCATTCCTCCATGCAGATCTTCTCAAGAGCAGTGATGTTTTGGGGCTGTCGCCGAGCAACACGGACTTTCAACTCCCTCCACAGATTTTCTATGGGGTTGAGGTCTGGAGACTGGCTAGGCCACTCCAGGACTTTCAGATGCTTCTTACGGAGCCACTCCTTTGTTGCCCGGGCGGTGTGTTTGGGATCATTGTTGTGTTGGAAGACCCAGCCACGTTTCATCTTCAAAGCTCTCACTGATGGAAGGAGGTTTTGGCTCAGAATCTCACCATACATGGCCCCATTCATTCTGTCCTTAACACGGATCAGTCGTCCTGTCCCCTTAGCAGAAAAACAGCCCCAAAGCATGATGTTCCCACCCCCATGCTTCACAGTAGGTATGGTGTTCTTGGGATGCAACTCATTATTCTTCCTCCAAACACGACGAGTTGAGTTTATACCAAAAAGTTCTACTTTGGTTTCATCTGGCCACATGACATTCTCCCAATCCTCTGCTGTATCATCCATGTGCTCTCTGGCAAACTTCAGACGAGCCTGGACATGCACTGGCTTCAGCAGCGGAACACATCTGGCACTGCAGGATTTGATTCCCTGCCGTTGTAGTGTGTTACTGATGGTGACCTTTGTTACTGTGGTCCCAGCTCTCTGCAGGTCATTCACCAGGTCCCCCCATGTGGTTCTGGGATTCTTGCTCACCGTTCTCATGATCATTTTGACCCCACGGGATGAGATCTTGCGTGGAGCCCCAGATCGAGGGAGATTATCAGTGGTCTTGTATGTCTTCCATTTTCTGATAATTGCTCCCACAGTTGATTTTTTCACACCAAGCTGCTTGCCTATTGTAGATTCACTCTTCCCAGTCTGGTGCAGGTCTACAATTCTTTTCCTGGTGTCCTTCGAAAGCTCTTTGGTCTTGGCCATAGTGGAGTTTGGAGTCTGACTGTTTGAGGCTGTGGACAGGTGGCTTTTATACAGATAATGAGTTCAAACAGGTGCCATTAATACAGGTAACGAGTGGAGGACAGAAAAGCTTCTTAAAGAAGACGTTACAGGTCTGTGAGAGCCAGAGATTTTCCTTGTTTGAAGTGACCAAATACTTATTTTCCACCCTGATTTACAAATAAATTCTTTAAAAATCCTGCCATGTGAATTCATGGATTTTTTTTTCACATTCTGTCTCTTACAGTTGAAGTGTACCTATGATGAAAATTACCGACCTCTGTCATCATCTTAAGTGGGAGAACTTGCACAATTGGTGGCTGACTAAATACTTTTTTGCCCTGTGCCTGCCTTTGTTCTTAAAAGTTTGAAATAGCATGATCTGGAACCTTTACGTATTCTCTCATAATTAACTCTTTCCAGAAATTGGCAGAGTGACAGATTTGTGATTAACTGTTGTGATGACAGCTGCAAAAAAGGAGCCCATCTTCTTAAGGATTTCATGCAGCAGCTGACTGTGTGATTTGGTGTGTGTGTGTTGGGGGGGGGGGGGGGGGGGGGCAAAGACACTGTGATGAATTCCTTATAAATGTGAGCATATGTGATTCTTAGTGGCCTTGGTTTTGAGTGTCTTCGTCATGAGGAGCAGATGCAGGGCGACCCCCTGTCTGGTATTTGTCCAGGGGTGTTTGGAGCTGTGTGAGTATATAAATGAGCGTGTGTCTTTGGGAGGCGGGGGTAGCAGCAGCTGGCCCAGTGAAAAGCTATCTGAACACTATTCAAGCTGCACATTCCACTAGTTTGGGATTTACTAGTGATAGATGCAGGGAGGGGAATGGGAGTGTCAAGTGACCCCGTGTGTGTGTGTGTGTGTGTGTGTGGGGGGGGGGGGGGGGGGTCTTTAACTTTAAAGACCCTAAGCTCAGCATCCTCAGAAACTGATGGGAGGGGGCCCAGTGGCAGCTTCCAGACAATAGAATAAGAACGTGCACACACTTCTCTTTTCACCGGCTTTTAGTGGACGAGGTAACTTGACCCGAGGAGTTCTGGCCCCCCCTCTTTAAAACGGGACAAAGAAGCCCCGGAAACACCCACGACCTGGGAACAGCCAACCAACTCGTCTCTGGTCTTTATGACACAGAAACTGGCACGCCAACACTCCTATTGTCTGAAGAGGTTCAGCTTCAGGGCTGCCAGCTGCTGCTCTCTGAGGAATGGCTCTCTGGTTTAAAGAGCTCCCCAACAGAAGGCTAGTGTATAAAGATACCTCCTGTTAATACAAGCATGGCTTCAGAATGCACAGATTCTTTTTGACATTCACAACAAAATAAACCTGTCCATATTGCAGAATCCTCTGTAAAGATTGTTTTTCTGTTAGATTTAAATGTGATACAAAGGACTGGCTGTGCCTGAGGCTCTGCAGACATGAATCAGCACATCCTGTACCCTGCACACTTCAGCATGTCAATGTCACTGATAAGAAATGAAGAAAACTGGCCTAAAGCAGAGAGAATACATGAGAAATGATTGTGAAGTGCCATTTCCTTTCCACTAGACCAAATGTTTCTGCATCAGCAGGTATGTGTGCCAGTATGTGTTTGCACCTCAAACTGAGGTTGGCCTGCTGGTTGACCTGAGTGGTGCTGTTGGACCGCCTTAGGTTCTTGATAGAGCGGGAGTTACCAATGTTGGCATCACTCTGTGGATGGAAATAGTTTGGTAAATTTTCATTTCAGAACCAGGAGTTGACTCAAAAATAATCAAGCAGGTGTGAGCTGAGCCTCACCAGGGTGTTGCGTTTCCCTCTGCTGTCACCAGCCACAGACACAGACCGGGAGAAGTACCTCCCAGTCCCTGGAGATGCACTGCCTGGTCTCTTAGATATAGAAAGCTGGGAACCAGACAGACTGAGGTCCAGGGCATCTCTATCAGCGCCAGTTGGAATGGAGGGACTACGTGTTGGATGCATCCTGAGAACACCTGCAAAACAGATGAAGTGATTCATCATGACCATGAGGGTTTAGTGGGCACAATAACAGAAAGAAGACTGGCTCTCTTTGTGTCACCCACAAAAAAAATTATAATAAAAAAAAATCCATTGAATAAAACCTGCAATGATTTCTGTTTATCATTGATCTCCTCTAGAAAAAAAGTAGAACAAACTGTTCTGCAGTTGTGTGTCCAGTCAGACTCTGTAACCCAAATACCTGAGAAATAATGTTATACTCCACCACAGAAACGTTAGACAACCGTTGTTTCGGTATTTAGTTTTTAGTTACCTGACCTGATGCTACAACTGCTGTTGTGTCCTTGGGCAAGACACTTCACCCAACTTGCCTGTGTTAGTGGTGGTCAGAGGGGCCAACGGCGCCAAATGGCAGCCTCAGGGCGGCTGTGGCTACAAGTAGCTTACCATCACTAGCAGTGTGTGAATGTGAGAGTGTGTGAAAGCGTCTTTGGGTGTCTAGAAAAGCGCTATATAAGTTCAATGCATTTTCTTTTTTAGAAGAATAGTAATTACGTGTCTTTTGTCCGATAATAGAAACTCAAGAGTTTAGTGTAAACAAACTAAAACTAATTTTTTTTTGTCAGCGGTTTGCATTTATGTATTTGTTTGCATTCAAGACAGACAAGTGTGTATACATCTTTTATGGCAAAAATACATGTTTTAAGTCATTTGATCACACAATTTCATGAAACATCTGCATGATAGTCAGACGCTAGCTAAAACTTGGAACATCCAGGGGACATTGGTATGGTGTACGGTTTACGTGCTGGAAGCTGATTTATGTAGCATCCCTACGATAAGATTCCTGAGTTCAGCCTCGGTTAAGCTTGTAAAAAAGTGCCAATTGTTAAAAGTTATGTTATAAACAGTTATAACAACTTTTCAGCAATAATTTCTTGGTAGTAAAAGACTAAAATGGTCGTTCTTTAAATGAAGTCTGATAGCTCATACCGAGCTAACAGTCTCGTCTCCTTTACCTTAACCGAAAACCACACAGCCGTGGGTCGGAAACTACTTACCTCATTAAATGGATGACATCATATCAGATATTTCGTGGGGTGCTTCCACAGCTGTGCTTTTTCTTTCCAAAACAACCGTCTGATAAGCAGCGAAAGTGATCGGGAGTCGGTGGATAAACAGAGGACCAAATAACGCGTATCATCATCTCTGTGGTAACAACGCTGGATGTCTCCGCCTTGTGCCGTCCGTGATTGGTGGAAAGACTAACATACTTTCAAGACGCTTGCCTCCGATAGGCTGGAGGAAAGCGTCTGTCAAAAGGGGCGTGTCCTCAACGGTGGTTCGGTTGACTTTTCAAACGGACACTTTTTCAAGTTGGGAGCTGTTAGAAACACATCCACTGAAAGACACTTTATTCTTTATTAACTCGTCATTGACACGTGGATTTACAAATGAAAACAGATAAAAACAAAAATTTGCACAACAGACAGGCACATATATTATATTGGAATATTTGGAATAATGGTCACAGCAGATGACCTTTGGACGAAACAATGAAAATGAATGTGTTTTATCTTCTTTTAAACTCCACAGCTGCCCTCCACACATCTGCCCCCTTTCCCAGTGGGATCTCCTCTGGTAAATCTTCAAGCCCCAGCAGAGGAGGAAGAGTTTTCTGCTCCAAATGGACCTCTAAAGTGGACCTGATGCTACAAGCAGCAGGGAGGGAGAACATGGAGAATATAAATGTTAGCACTGCATCTATTGTTCTCATCAGACACATTCCTGCTGAGTGCCAGCCCAGCTGCTGCTTCGAAGAGAATGACCTGCAGCAGAGGGAATACAACTTAAGCTGCAACAGATGGCACCCCAAGGGATCATGATCTGATCCTGGAAGTCAAAAGGCAGCAAATCCCAGAGGTAGGGGGAGCACCAGCTCGACACTTTCCTCTGATTAAAGTTGTCAGGAATCAATAGCTTCCTTTAGACTTTTACAAACAATAGACACACTTCCAGAAAGGAACCTTTTATAAAAACACTCAGAGTTTAAACTGAGGAGAATCATAACAATTTAATTGTTTTGGGAGGATTTTACCATTTGGTGGCTGCATCCAACCTAAAATAAAGCCACACATGCTGAATTAGCTTTCACAACCAAAGACTGAATGCAACTTGTTTTCACTTACTCCCAATGAGACTGGTAAGCCTGGTCATGAGCAGTGTTGCTCGTCTTCAGCAGGAGGATTTCATGCAGCTCCAAAGCAAAAGTGTCCACGTCTGTGACAGCAAGGAAGGCCTTCAGATCTTTTCTCTCTTCCTCCGTCAACTTTTGCTGAAACTCGGAAGGCAGCTTCTGAAAAGGGTCCTAAAACAAGAATTGACTACTGTCAAAGTTCAAAAAACCTCTGGGATTATTATTTTTTAATCTTATTTTTATTTCAGTGATTTTCAAACACCAGCTGAGAAAAACACTTCAGGATAAAGAATAAAGGAACTGCTCAGGTTTTATTGATGCAAAGTTCTGTGTATTTTCTGAGTCAGACAGACTTAATGAAATTCAACTCCATTTGGTTTTGGGTCAAGGGGCACAAGATACAGTAATGATTTTAATCAGTATAGATAGTTACCATAGACTGAGTTTCTGATATGAAATTTAAAAAATGCTATAAAACATTATCAATTACGTCACAAATGTTGCAAACAAACTAAAATTTACACAAGACAAGTATAAAAACCCTTAAATGACTTAATTCCATACAACTTCTGGAGTTTCTGACTCTTTAGATGCTTACTTGTTTCCGATTAAGCAGCAGCTCTGATTTCCACCCATTCAGAAGCTGCCAGGTGAAAATGCAGTGCTGCAGTTTGCTTTCCCCAAGAGCCTGTAAGGAAACAGACCATCTTAATGTTTGAAAGCAAATTATGTGCTGCAGGTTCAACCTCCTCCAGCTACCTTGAACACAGTGTTTGAGATCTGCGAGCCCATCTGCAGCGACTCAGTCAGATAAGACAAAAGATGTCTCTCAGGATCTCCCCCTGTTTTCCCAAGAAAGCGCAGGCTAATCTCCACTACGAAGATGGCATCACACACATCCGTGTAAGAGCGCAGCACAGTTCTCATGGCACTGCTCACCGAGCCCTTCAATGCTTCCTGCAACGTAAAAACAGAGCCCGTCAGCAGGCGGGAGGAGAGCAGCAGATGGAAGGAATTTGACCTCTAACAGCGTGGCCTCACAAACATCCAACAGTGTACACTAGTGCAGCTGGCATCAGTTTCAGGTGGAAACACTGGTGCCATAAAAAGCTGAGCTGAGTCAAAAGCTTTTACCTGATGAATCTTTGTTCTCACTTCAGTTAGAACCACAGAAAAGTCCTGCAAGCGTCGGTTCAAGTACCGCAAAGTGTCCTGATTCAGACAGAAAACATGCAGGTGAAAACATAATCTACCGTTTCATTCCACCCACAAGCAGCTGCGTGATCAAGTTGGAGTTTTACCGCCTGGATGAGTGGTTTTCCAGCTAGGAAGCGTCGGGCCAGCTGGGTTTGAATTGCCAGCAGGTCATAGCTGCTGCCCATCTCGCCTCCTTTCTCCAGAGTGTAGTTACAGTTTGCTAAAACGAGTGGCAGCAGCTCTCGCTCAGGGTGGCAGAGAGTCAGCTGGGTCTCTGATACGCTCCCTAATGGAACACTGTACTCACTAAAGAAACAACACATACACACAAAGGCCATTTAGGGGTTAAAATAACTTTGATTAGGTAATTTTAGATTAGGAAAAAAAATATATATATTAGGGCCCGACCGATATTATCGGCCGATATTGGGGTCATTAATAGTATCGGCTATCGGCCAAAAAGACGGCCGATATTGCGCTACCTATCCAGCAGATGGCGCCAGCTTTATGAACTCGTGTGGCTCCACTCCTTTGAACTTTGAACACAAATTATTGTTTTGGAACTTTTTTAAAATTTATTCTTATTTATGTTTCTTATGTGCAATTATTTCCTGTCCAGGGTGAATAAGTTCACCAAGTTAACTTCCACAGAGTGTTACTTTGTTACAAAGCACAAGTATTACGTTTTATTTATTGCTGCATTTTTATTATTTTAATATTCCTATAGGGATCTTCTGTCCCTAAACTTGTGTGTTGTTAGATTCCCCAGAGTTAGCCAAGTCAGAAAAAACATTTTGTAACCAGTTGTTTTAGCACAAAGCAATGGAAGGGAAGGCTTGCATTCACCTACATAAAAAAACACTACAATCTACGTGAATTCACTTACATTGTTTTATGCTAAACTAAGAAAACCAACTGCTGCCAGATCCTATTAGGCTGGTTATAAAACGCCTTTTCTGACTTGTCTAACTCTGGGGAATCTTAACAAGACACAACTTTGGAGTGGTGGAATATTCCATTTAGTTAAAATGTATTTGTGGGAATCACAGTTTACACGAAAAAACTTGAATGTTAGATTTATGCTGTGACTGAGTTTGTGTGCTCTGTTGTTTTTGAGATCTGCTAAATAAATCTCATTTGCATTACTTGGAAACCCTAGTGAGTTATTGAGACAGGTCTTTGGTGTGTAATAGAAATAAGTTTGCATCAAAAAGGCAGAGAATGAAGGGTTTAAGCTTAAGAAAATTTTTATTTCTTTTTTTTGTGAGGGAGATTTATCGGCCATTATATCGGTTATCGGCCTTTGTTAAAAGTTTTATATCGGTATCGGACCCAAAAAAAGCATATCGGTCGGGCCCTAATACATATATATTTTTTAAGATTATTAGAAATATTTTTTGAAGAAAGCTGATATTACATAGCTGTTTTTCAGCTCTGGACCCTCGGAACTGACCTATCCTCGTGGGCGTTCACACTCCTGGCCACCCTCACCAGGCTGTTGTGTGTCTCCGACAGGAAGTCAACCAGAGTCTGGAGACATGAACCGGGTCCGTATCGGCATGGTGTCAAATACTCTCCAGTGCTCTCAGTTGTCACCTCCTTCTCACAAAGATTCACATCCACTCCCAAATCTGTTGCTGTAAACACACAAGCATACATGACATGAAGGAAGAAGTCTGTTCTGTGACATATGATGTATGTAAATGGTTTCTTCAGCTCAGCCCGTCCCCTGTCCCGTAGAGCCACATGCAATTTGAATTTAACACAGCTCAGCATTAGCTGGTGGCATTAGACGTCCGTTTATGTACAGATGTCAGTTACAGAGCGTGCACAAGCGTTAGAGGACGTACCTAGACGTATGCAGAGCTGGTGGTATTTCTCATAACAAGTAAACATCACACACACACACACACACACACACACACACACACACACACACACACACATATATATACATACATACATATATATATATATATATATATATATATATATATATATATATATATATATATATATATATATATATATATATATATATATATATATATATGTATGTATGTATGTATGTATGTATGTATATGTATATGTATATATATGGTACAGGCCAAAAGTTAGAACACACCTTCTTATTCAATGTGTTATCTTTATTTTCATGACCATAACCATTGACAAAGGGGCAAACAAGCAGTAAACACCTCTGGGAACTCCTTCTAGACGGTTGGAAAACCATTTCAGGTGACTACCTCTTGAAGCTCATCAAGAGAATGCCAAGAGTGTGCAAAGCAGTAATCAGAGCAAAGGGGTGGCTATTTAGAAGAAAATGGAATATATCAGGGCCCGGCCGATATTATCGGCCAATATTGGGGTCATTAACAGTATCGGCTATCGGCCAAAAAGACGACCGATATGGCCGATATTGCGCTACCTATCCAGCAGATGGCACCAGCTTTATGAACTCATGTTGTGTGGCTCCACTCCTTTGAACACAAATTATTGTTTTGGAACTTTTTTATTTATTTATTTATTCTTATTCATGTTTCTTATGTACAATTATTTCCTGTCCAGGGTGAATAAGTTCACCAAGTTAACTTCCACAGAGTGTTACTTTGTTACAAAGCACAAGTATTACGTTTTATTTATTGCTGCATTTTTATTATTTTAATATTCTTATAGGGATCTTCTGTCCCTAAACTTGTGTGTTGTTAGATTCCCCAGAGTTAGCCAAGTCAGAAAAAACATTTGTAACCAGTTGTTTTAGCACAAAGCAATGGAAGGGAAGGCTTGCATTCACCTACATAAAAAAACACTACAATCTACGTGAATTCACTTACATTGTTTTATGCTAAACTAAGAAAACCAACTGCTGCCAGATCCTATTGGGCTGGTTATAAAATGCCTTTTCTGACTTGTCTAACTCTGGGGAATCTTAACAAGACACAATTTTGGAGTGGTGGAATATTCCTTTAAGTTAAAATGTATTTGTGGAAACCACAGTTTCCAAGAAAAAATTTGAAAGTTAGATTTATTTTGTGACTGAGTTTGTGTGTTCTGTTGTTTTTGAGATCTGCTAAATAAATCTCATTTGCATTACTTGGAAACCCTAGTGAGTTATTGAGACAGGTCTTTGGTGTGTAATAGAAATAAGTTTGCATCAAAAAGGCAGAGAATGAAGGGTTTAAGCCTAAGAAAATTTGTATTTCTTTTTTTTGTGAGGGAGATTTATCGGCCATTATATCGGCTATCAGCCTTTGTTAAAAGTTTTATATCGGTATCGGTCCCAAAAGAAGCATATCGGTCGGGCCCTAGAATATATAAAACATGTTTTCAGTTATTTCACCTTTTTTGGTTAAGTACATATCGGTAACTCCACACGTGTTCATTCATAGTTTTGATGCCTTCAGTGAGAATCTCCAAATGTAAATGGTCAAGAAAATAAAGACAACACATTGAATGAAAAGGTGTGTCTAACCTTTTAGCCTGCATTGTAATGCCATGTCCATGCAGGGTCCCAGGAGCATATAAAAACATGGTTAAGCTCAGGAAAAAGATTGAATCAAAACACTGTAATACTGCTATAAAGATAAATAATGTTTCCCTGAACTATTGGCAGCCGAAACATGCTGGTAACACAAATCTCACACCACCACCTGTGTTGGACATGTGTCAGCTGTAAGTTTATCAGCTCATCTTCAGGGTGACACTCACAGTTGTTTGCCGCCTCAACTCGGAGGAAGTTCCACACGCTGATGAATCTGTCCACCCTCTCCGTCAGGGTCTTCCGCTGGTACCCTGATGGAGATGATAAAAGAACTCAGTTTGTGTGTTTGCGTTCAGCCGTTTCATTAAACAGGAAATGGCAGCACACCTGCGGGTATCTGGCGCAACATCTGTGCAATGGTCTGAGAAGTAGAGCCCGACATCAGCGGAAACGTCCTCACCAGGTCTGCCTGTAGAGCGGCCAGCTCAGGCAGGTGATGAAGCTGTCGCACACAGTTGATCTAAAACACACACAAATTAGCATCCCTGCTATAACCGGGTACAATGCATCTTTCTTTTGTGGTTAACGTCAAATTGTGCACTGTCCCTGTTTAAATAAACTTTTACAATACAATACACACACACACACACACACACACACACACACACACACACACACACACACACACACACACACACACACACACACACGGTAATGCTTTCTTGCGCTTTAGAGTGTTTCTTGGAGGATCTAGGCTGACAACCAGCTGAAAAAACACTATTTGTTGCTAACATGGTTTAGCCTAATTAACTGCCTTCACTGGATCACTTAACTGTTTTTGCTTAGTTGAGTTGTTGTTAGCAGTTAATCTGATGTAAACAGAAAGTTCTCATTAACTGATAATTCACATAAATTAGAACAACCATCTACTACAGCTTCAAGCTTTAAATCGTTCACAAGAACAAGAAAAACTAAGGATTAAAACAATAAAAGAGCAAAGCATAATTTTGAGTCATTTTTATAACTATCTTTCTTGGCAGATAATCTGACAGAATGAGGATTAAACATGATGAAATGCAAAGAAAGAGCTGTAAAGCTCACAGCCCCGCTATGTTCAATTCTCTCCTTCGAGCTAGAACTTTAAAAAATTGAGATGTGGAGTAAAATGTGAGTAACAACCAAATATAATTATCTCCAATAATAAAATACCTTCTTAATAAACAAGCAGAGGAGAGGTAGAGAGCTGCGTGCCGGTGTCTCCCCCAAGAACTGGGAGAAACGCTCCACTGTCATTGTCTCACGTAGAGTCCAGAAAGATGAACAATGTGTGGGACAGTTAGAGGGAAGAGACAACATGGCTCCAGGATCACCGAAGAGGACATTCATCACGGGACTTCCTTCCAGTCCATCATCTGAGGCAATTCTCTCCTGAGCTATAGATAGATTCTTCTGCAGATCCTAAAGCATAAATAGTTCATCATTACAAATGTGACTCTTTATTCTGGGTTTTAAATAATCGGTTCAGAACGTTTCGTTCCTTACCTGAAGAACTAGGTTGATGGCTGACTTGCAGACAAGCATTTCCCACTGCTTCCGTCCTTGTCTGGAGGACAGATCGGGTCTCGTATCCAGAGAACCTTCATAAACGTTCAACACGTTCAACCTTAGATTTTATGACCAGTAAAAGCAGCTTGCTAAAAGCTGATGAAAAGTCTGTTTCACCTGTTGGTAATTTTGTAAGAATCAAATGAACAGTGACAGCTGTGTTGTCCATGTTCACGTCCAGAGTTTCCCCTAAAACTTTCAAATCCTTCTCCAGGTGGTTCCACAGGAAGCTGAGAACATCATTTGGCCTCGGGTGGATCATGGCTCCAGCTCCCTAAAAAATAAGGACAGATTTAAATTATGCTAACTATTAAATGAGAGTAAACCCAGATCCTGTCTCACCCTCTGATTTCTTATTGCTCCTTGAAGCAAGACGAGGTGCGTCAGAAGCCGAAGGACGCTGGACTGAGCCAACGTCATCTGTCTTTCAGGCGCTTCAGACCTCCGCTGAGCTTCACCTAGAATGTGTCCTGTTCGGCTCTGATCCCTGCGGTTCCATGCAAATAAATCTTAATTTAACATAAATAATTCACAGTAAAACACTCTAAATTTGAAAAGGTCACACCTTTGCTGCGTATGTGGAGTAAAACCTTGGACTGGGACGTGACTTTCTCCACCTATTGGAAGTCCACAGTCAGGACATCTTGATCTTTCCACTGGTTTTCCACACTGTGAGACAGCATGTATTAGATTAAGTGCTTTATTCAATGCTCCTAACGCTTGGTGTTATAGCAAAAATAAACTCCTACCTCTCCCACAAAGCACACATGTCCGTTGGCACAGGCTAAACATAAAGAAAAACATGACATTTAAGAAGTCATCCCTTCTGTTTATCTTGACCCTTGTCCACACCATTCTGACATTTATTGTTTAAATTCTGTTAAGCATGGTTGGAAGACTTTTAACCCTCCCACTGTCCTAATGGGTGTGACCCCGCGAGGAAAGTTGACCATTGAGCAGGGTTGATGGTTTATCCCTTGAGGTCCACATAGCAGGGGTGAGGAGTGAGCACCATCTCACCCCTGCCACATGGACCTCAAGGGATAAACCACCAATCCTGCTCAATGGTCAACTTTCCTCGCGGGGTCACCCATAAAGACAGTGGGAGGGTTAAAGAGGTCCTTTGCTCATATTACATTTGCAGTGGTTGATAGTAGGAATTAATTACTTGTAAGTCGTCCTCTGGGGAAAAAAAAACTCTGGTGTGCCTGTTTCAGCACAGAGAATACAGCCAGAGGAGAAAGCTGCTTCAGACGAAAGGACTTGGAGTCTTATTTCCTGAAGTTTGGACATATTGCCTAGGATTGGCTAGCAGCAACATGGCTCTAATCCCGGTTTCCCTGGAAGCATTAGCGGCACAAAACAGCAGCAGAACAGTTTACTCGGAACATCACAATATCCCTCAAGACCTCAAAGGTCACAGTTTGTTTATGCAATCCACCACTAAACCAAAAAGAAGGAAATTGCATTTGATATCCCTGTTTGATATCATTATATGTTGTTGCTCCTCTGCACTGCCAAGATTAACGCCATGAAAAGCACACTGCTGCACTTCTGGAATGATGCAGGCAGTAAGTAAGCCAATGGGTCACACGTAAACTACAAATACAGGTCCTTCTCAAAAAATTTGCATATTGTGATAAAGTTCATTATTTTCTGTAATGTATTGATAAACATTAGACTTTCATGTATATTAAATTCATTACACACAACTGAAGTAGTTCAAGCCTTTTATTGTTTCTAATATTGATGATTTTCGCATAAAGCTCATGAAAACCCCAAATTCCTATCTCAAAAAATTAGCATATAATGAAAAGGTTATCTAAACGAGCTATTAACCTAATCATCTGAATCAACTAATTAACTCGAAAAACCTGCAAAAGATTCCTGAGGCTTTTAAAAACTCCCAGCCTGGTTCATTACTCAAAACCGCAATCATGGGTAAGACTGCCGACCTGACTGCTGTCCAGAAGGCCATCATTGACACCCACAAGCAAGAGGGTAAGACACAGAAAGAAATTTCTGAACGAATAGGCTGTTCCCAGAGTGCTGTATCAAGGCACCTCAGTGGGAAGTCTGTGGGAAGGAAAAAGTGTGACAGAAAACACTGCACAACGAGAAGAGGTGACCGGACCCTGAGGAAGATTGTGGAGAAGGACCGATTCCAGACCTTGGGGGACCTGCGGAAGCAGTGGACTGAGTCTGGAGTAGAAACATCCAGAGCCACCGTGTACAGGCGTGTGCAGGAAATGGGCTACAGGTGCCGCATTCCCCAGGTCAAGCCACTTTTGAACCAGAAACAGCGGCAGAAGCGCCTGACCTGGGCTACAGAGAAGCAGCACTGGACTGTTGCTCAATGGTCCAAAGTACTTTTTTCGGATGAAAGCAAATTTTGCATGTCATTTGGAAATCAAGGTGCCAGAGTCTGGAGGAGGACTGGGCAGAGGGAAATGCCAAAATGCCTGAAGTCCAGTGTCAAGTGCCCACAGTCAGTGATGGTCTGGGGTGCCATGCCAGCTGCTGGTGTTGGTCCACCGTGTTTTATCAAGGGCAGGGTCAATGCAGCTAGCCATCAGGAGATTTTGGAGCACTTCATGCTTCCATCTGCTGAAAAGCTTTATGGAGATGAAGATTTCATTTTTCAGTACGACCTGGCACCTGCTCACAGTGCCAAAACCACTGGTAAATGGTTTACTGACCATGGTAGAATCTGTGGGATATTGTGAAGAGAAAGTTGAGACGCAAGACCCAACACTCTGGATGAGCTTAAGGCCGCTATCGAAGCATCCTGGGCCTCCATAACACCTCAGCAGTGCCACAGGCTGATTGCTTCCATGCCACGCCGCATTGAAGCAGTCATTTCTGCAAAAGGATTCCTGACCAAGTATTGAGTGCATAACTGAACATAATTATTTGAAGGTTGACTTTTTTTGTATCAAAAACACTTTTCTTTTATTGGTCGGATGAAATATGCTATTTTTTTTAGATAGGAATTTTGGATTTTCATGAGCTGTATGCCACAATCATCAATATTAGAAACAATAAAAGACTTGAACTACTTCAGTTGTGTGTAAAGAATCTTAATGAAAGTCTAATGTTTATCAGTACATTACAGAAAATAATGAACTTTATCACAATATGCAAATTTTTTGAGAAGGACCTGTATATAAAATTGCTTTGCTGCTGTACTTTTATTGTGAGATATTACACTGAAACCGTGTGTGATTTTCTGTCACACACGCGGAAATTAGCGTGTCCCAGAAGCGGCTTGTAGCAAAAATAGAACCCAGTTCCATCTATAGCGGCGCGGCGTGCCGCTTCTGAGAAGCACTTGAAAATTGCAGCGTTGCAGCTGGTTTGAAACACTCCATACACTATAATGGATTCTATTTGAAGCAGTGACGTTTTGCTGCTGTTCCGCACCGCTGATGCTTTCAGTGTGAAACCGGGGTAACACTGACTCCATTTGATCTGTAATGTTGATGTTTTACCTCCATAAATAACACAAGCTGGAGGTGTTCAGCTGTGTGGTGGAGTTGATAATGCTAACAGTTAGCTTATGCTAGCTAAAACGTTCTCTGCCGTTTCCTTGACACTAAACCAACAACAGCCTTCCCCGTCTTGAGTCAAGATGGGTTAGTCCATGAATGTTTAGTGACAGTGTGATGTAGATCTGTGAGGATTTCCTAATCCGAGTTTCACCATTTATAGGAAAAAGGTGTAAGACACAATTTTAAAATTCAGCCTGCATGTTAAATTCAGACTAGAGTGACTGATCATTTTCAAAAATAAGTAAAAAATTGTTTCTTACTGAAGGACCTCTATAAATAAAAGTGTAATATTTTTTATGCCAAGTTATTTTAAATATCTTTTTTTAACAATTTTTGTATGAAATTAAAATGTCTGAAATGTTATCGATATCGATCAAAACAAAAATCTGTTCAATGTATCAATAAAAAATATCATATTTTTTACATACTGTATTCCATAAGTTTCTTCTCTCTGCTCAGCCACAGCCGGGCTTCATTTGTGTGATCATCTGGCATGGTTGGAAGGTAAGAGTTCTTCAAGTAAAAAAGAAGACAAGAATTGAATGTGTACTGTGGTAAGTAGGTAAAATAAATTAAGTTAATAAAGAAAACAAAAATGTAAAAATATATATATATATATATATATAAAGCAATAATTTTACATTTTAATGTTGAGCAGCTCTTAAGGTTAGTATAAAAAATCCAAACGTCAGTCCATGTTTCTAAGCAAACAAATCCACTCTCACTGTCCCCCAATACCCGTGAGTTTCATGGCTGTTGCCAGTTACGGCTCATCACCAGAAGATTCTAGATGATGAGCAAAGAAGAGTCGTTCACAGTAAGTTAATAAGTAGATAAATACATTTCCCTGTAATATCGAGTTGTTGTTCATTGAAGAAGTAGCTTGAAATCATTTTAGAGCCCACTATTTACTTCTAATTTACCGTTAGCCTTGTTAGCTCAACGTTAGCCTCTAGCCTTCTTTACCCGATATAAGAGTAAAACAAAATAATACAGTGGCTTCTTAGGGGCACAAGAAATAACTTCTAGGCCACTCCTTTTACTGGCTAACATCATTTCTACAATGCTTTTGCCAGCTGGTGTGAAATTACAAATGCTGGTTGGAAACCTGGCGGGTTCACAGACTATAAACACAAAGTATGTCTTTTTTTGGCCATTTTAAAAGGAGAAAAACTGACAACCCAGCTGAGAAGGAAATCTGTTTCAAAGTAACCTTCCTACCAACATGTTTGAGACAATAGACTTTTTTGTGATTATTTCACTGTAGAATTTTTACTTATTGTACCTTTAAAGTGAGTGACACAAGAAATCTCTTACTATGACGTTCTCAGGTTGGAAAGCTATCTGATAAAGAGGAACCAGCAGAGGGTTTTGACTGAGAAGCACAGAATTCAGATGGACCAGTAGCTCGAGAAGGGTTTGTTTCAGAGCCGGCATAGTTGAGATGGTGTGGAGACGTGAACCCAGTCCACTAAAAGAATTTCGCAGAAGAGACGAGCAGAACTCCCTGAACTCATCTGAGCCGATGCTTTTGAGGAGATGTTCCAGTTTTACTATTTCCTGTAAGTTTAAACAAAAACTCTTGTCAAAAACTAAAAAACACACAATCTTTTTTTCCTGCATCAAATAATTAGACTTGGAAGCTTTTTAAAATGACAAATAGCTGTAAGATGTAGTGTTTTTGGACAGTTCACACTAAAGGAGGAATCTGCTGGCCTTTTCCAGCCACATAGCTTAACAAAAGGCTTAGAATAACCTTCATATCTTTTTTTCTGAGACAAAATAGTTTACATTTAATTACAAATTGTTAGTCACTAATTTATAATGCTTAAAAATACAACCAGACAAATTTTCTGTTATTTTCTTTAATATTTGGGCCTGAAGCCATAGCATTTTCTTCAACATGGACTCCTGCTGTTAGATATTACCCCTTCTTTCCACCAGAGCCGTCAGCAGCACGTTACTGCAGCAGCACGTCATAGCTGCTGATAGGAACCGCTGTGGTCAACAGAACCTTTTCCACCGGAGCCGTCAGCAGTGTGAGTCGGCCACGTCTCAGGAGCAGCATGTCGCGGCCCTTACGCACCGGTTCTATTTTCTACGCGCGACGCCTCTGAAACGGGTCAAGTTCGACATTTTTGGGGAAGGAAAGACTGGAAATCGGACGCGGAAACGGAGCGAAGCTCCCAAGATTTTCAGAATAAAGAAACGTACTGCCTTCCGGTTGCTTTACATTAAAAAAGTTATCAACTAGCTAGTGGTCTCCTTTGTTTTTCAGGTCCGTATTGGCGATTATAAAACGGACAGAACATAAAACACAACCCTTTTGGCGCCATGTTGTAGTTTTCTCCTGCTTGTTTACTGACGAAGTCACTCGTGTGACTTCGTGCTCGGTCGGTGACAGCTGCTCCCCTGCTGCTTCGCGTCTCGTGGGAAGGGCCAACCAGCAGCTTACGCGAGCAAGACGTGCTGCTGACGGCTCCGGTGGAAAGAAGGGGTTACATGTGGTGTACCTTTACTATCTGTCTCATGTCTTATTAGGGCAACACAAGAGGTACCTGCTGGGAAGGATGCAAGCTGCTGTCATGTGACTTGTAGTGGGAGGTGACTTGTCTGAATAAAGCCAGAGCCACAAGGCTGATCTGGGATCCTCTCAGCTTCTACAGAGAAATCACAGATTATTTATTACAAATAAATGCACAAAGCCAGCCTTCAGTTACGAGTTATGTAGAAAGTAAATAAGCTAAATGAAGGAAGTTTACAAACTGTTTATTTTGAATACACACAAAGAGTAGGTAAACACGAATTATGTAAATATAAAACTCCAAACTTTAAAAACCTTCAGCATTTTTGATGGGATTGTTTTAAGTATTCCAGCACGCCACTTTGCTGACGTCTAGTGGTTCTTACCAAGAAACTACAGCATCAGCAGAAACCCAAACTTGAGCAGCTTAGCTCTGGAGTCCCTCTCACCTGCAGTTCTGTCACAAAGATGTCAGACCTGTCCTCCACAAGGACCTGGGCCACAGCGTTTCTCATGGTTCTGTAAGGCGCCCCGCAGCAAAGGAAGTAGTCTATGTTGGTTGGAATCATCCTCTGTGGAAAAAAAAAAAAAAAACATGAGACTTTTTATTTCACTGGGTGCAGCTTCATCAAGACAACTGCAAAAATCCACCTTGATCTGAGTTTTTTCTTCCTTGACTGGTGCTCAGGAACTACGTTTTATGCCTATTTAACATTTATAGTAATAAAGGTCACGCCTGAAGATGCGGGGAGATAGGGTTTTCGCTGTGGCTGGCTCTAAGCGCTGGAATGGCCTCCCACTGAATTCTGTAGTGGTTTTTAAAGACAGACTGCAAGCTCACTTTTATGACCTGGCTTTAAACCAGTCTTATTGCTTTTATGCAATCTGATCTCATTGTATTCTTGGTTTTTATTTCGTTTTAACTTGTTTTTCTGTTCAATTGTTTTCTTTGGGGCGACGGTGGCACAGGAGTTAAGTGCTCGCCCCGTAATCGGAAGGTTGCAGGTTCGAGCCCCGCTCAGTCTGTTGCTGTCGTTGTGTCCTTGGGCAAGACACTTAACCCACGTTGCCTGCTGGTGGTGGTCGAAGGGACTGGTGGCGCCAGTGCTCGGCAGCCTCGCCTCTGTCAGTGCGCCCCAGGGCAGCTGTGGCTACATTGTAGCTCATCCCCACCAGCGTGTGAATGTGTGTGAATGGGTGAATGACTGATTGTGTTGTAAAGCGCCTTGGGGGGTTCCAGGACTCTAGAAGGCGCTATATCAAATACAGGCCATTTAAATGTTTTTAATATTTATTGTTCTGTAAATTGGTGGCATGCCTTTGTCTGTAAGGCGCTATATAAATTAAAGTTGAGTTGAGAGTTGAGTATTAGAACTAAACAATTCCAACTTTATTACATTTTAAATAATGTAATTCCATATTTTTATAATACTGACAAGAAAATCGAACGTATTCAACTCAATTAGTATATTTTCCTCTTTATTTCCATCCATCCATTTTCAACTGCTTATCCATTGTCGGGTCAAGGGGACAGCAGCCTAAACCGAGACACCCAGACTTCCCTCTCCCCAGCCACTTGGGCCAGCTCTTCTGGGGGAATCCCAAGGCGTACCCTGGCCAGCCGAGAGACGTAGTCCCTCCAGTGTTTCCTGGGTCATCCCTTGGGTCTCCTCCCAGTTGGACGTGCCCGGAAAACCTCACCAGGAATGTGTCCAGGAGGCATCCTGACCAGATGCCTGAGCCACCTAAACTGGCTCCTCTCAGTGTGGAGGACCAGCGGGTCTACTCCGAGCCCCTCCCGGATGACCGAGCTTCTCACCCAATCTCTAACCCCCAAATTCCACTACCTCCGCTCCGGTCCGCCCCCGCCTTCCGCAGCTGCTCGCTTCCGAACTCAGTTTTTACTGGTACCCGCTCTAGAACGGCTCCGCTCCGGTGCGGAGACCTGAGGTGGGCAAACAAGCATGCGCGGGATTTTCGAGTTCTTGCGATACAGTCCGAGCAATAAACGCGGAAGTTAGATCCAAACACCCGTTGTGTGGGAGAAAAATCGGCATGAACTGTTTAATCTGCCCATCATTTGTGTTGACATATCAGCAGTGTTTGGATCAACAAAGTGTGACTACTTTGATAGTAGAAACTGTATTTATGGCTTACTTTTGTGCATTTACACTTCAGCCGCCATTGATAGATGTTAAAAGTTGTTAAACCTGTGCATATGAAACAAAAAACGCCTTTTGTTTATCGACTTATTGTGAAAAACGGAAATTGTGCTTGCTCCTTTTCCTGTTGGGCCGTTGTGATTTCTGTCCATTTACTGCGGAGGTGCTCCGGCGTCCGGCGAAAATAGGATCGATTCTATTTTTGCCGGACGCCGAAACAGAGGGCGGCGCACGGCGCCGCACTGCCGGAGCACGGCCGCAGTAGTGGAATTGCTCTGATTGACTACAACGGGACCGATTTTGCTCCGGCGTTCGTGTCGGAGCGGAGGTAGTGGAATTTGGGGGTAAGGGAGAGCCCAGCCACCCTGTGAAGAAAACTAATGTCAGCCGCTTGTATCCATGATCTCGTTCTTCCGGTCACTACCCAAAGCTCATGACCATAGGTGAGGGTAGGAACATAGATGGACTTTACTTTTGTACAACAATATTAGATAATTATTTAAATTAGTGTGTTTTGTCAAACAGAACTATGAATTTACAAGCAACAATTATTTTTTAAACTGTTTCATTCAAAAACACAATTGTGAGGAGAAAAATCCCACAGATATTAAAAAAACTACACAAATAGCTTTAGTTTAATGAAGTTTGAGGGGCAGCTGCTCAGTTAGCTGCAAACTTTCAAACTAAAAACACGATGACGTTTCACTCCTGATAAATAATTCAGCAAATAACAAGAACATCACCACAGAACCAAATATTACAGCTGTTAAAGACGCCCTCACGACGACAGAGAACCGCTGACTCAGGTATTTTACCTGAAGTGAGAGCAGCTTTGCAGGAAAGATCCACCTCCAGGTCGGGCTGTTTAAAAGGAAATGGATGCAGTCCATTCCACAGCACCTGTGGAAGGCTCGCAGCAGGTAAACCCGGAGCCAGTCGTTACCGCTGTACTCACACACAGCCCTCACCTGCTGTAGGTACTCGTCCACCCTCTGTTCACCTTCAATAAAAAAGAAGCTTCATTTTTCATTTATTCCTCAAACCCTTCTTAATCACACATGACTCTAACTCTAAACCTATCCGATATGAAAAGGGGGCTTAAACTCACCTGCGGGTTCCTCCACTGAGCATAACCTTCTCTCCAGCAGCTTAGCAGCACAAATCAGACATATTCTCAGTCTGGCGATGTTAAGCAGAAACTCAGCCGGGTCATTTTGTCTGTCTGGAGTCTGTTTCCTGGCAATTCTGCTCAGGAATCTGATTTTTTCCTGATGCCCTCCACCATGCTCCCCTTCTTGTGCTTTGGAGCACAAGAGAGTGTCCTGAGTAAAAACATGTAAAATAGTCAGCATGGAAAAAGATTCAATACTGCTAAATTCAGATCAACAACAAAATATTACAGTAAAGTTGATAATTACAGAACTGATAAAGAACAGAAGTATTATTATCATTTTTTAACCTGGAAGCAGTTGACAAACAACAGGGAGAGTTCTGTACGGTCCTCCCAGCCCAGAATGTTCTCTTCCAGGTTCTTCAAGTAGGCCTGAATGTGGGTCTTCACCTGGTCAAAACTGATCAACACATTAAATGAACATAGCTTGTTTTGATAAAGTGCATTAAGATCACAAAATCTGGACTCCTGTAGCTCCTGCTCCACACGTTCTCCCACCTGTACTGCAGCAACAGCTTTGGCAGCACAGATCGGACCACCGGACTGTTGTCTACACACTCCAGGAAGGGGGTGAGCTCTCTGGTGCGATAAATGCCTCCTGCATCACAGGACAACCACGTGGTTATGTTTTACAGGTAAAACTGCTGCTAAACCATTTATGTCAGTAATTCATCTTAGCCTGACCCCGGCTTTCCACGGGAGCCGTCAGCAGCACGTTACTGCAGCAGCACGTCTTGCTCGCGTAAGCTGCTGCTTGGCCCTTCCCACGAGACGCGAAGCAGCAGGGGAGCAGCTGTCACACGAGTGACTTCGTCAGTAAACACAACAACAAGCAGGAGAAAACTACAACATGGCTCCAAAAGGGTTGTGTTTTATGTTCTGTCTGTTTTATAATCGCCAATACGGACCTGAAAAACAAAGGAGACCGCTAGCTAGGTGATAACTTCTCACAGGGACGCACAGTTAGTAACTGTTTTTAAAAGTAAAGCAACCGGAAGGCAGTACGTTTCTTTATTCTGAAAATCTCGGGAGCTTCTCTCCATTTCCGCGTCCGATTTCCTGTCTTTCCTTCCCCAAAAATGTCGAACTTGACCCGTTTCAGAGGCGTCGCGCGTAGAAAATAGAACCGGCGCGTAAAGGCCGCGACATGCTGCTCCTGAGATGCGGCCGACTCGCGCTGCTGACGGCTCCAGTGGAAAAGGTTCTGTTGACCACAGCGGTTCCTATCAGCAGCCATGACGTGCTGCTGCAGTAACGTGCTGCTGACGGCTCCTGTGGAAAGCCGGGGTGAGAGTAAAGGCTCAGGGACCTTTTACAGGTGTTCTGGATTCATCAGCTGATCAGAGTGACACTTTTGAGTCTGGAATATTGAACCTTTTCACAATATGCTAATTGTCTGAGAATGTGAATGTGTTTTTTTTTAATCAGCTGTAAGCCATAATCATCGCAGTTCAGACAAACCTGAAGTATCTGACTTTGCATGGAATGAGTCTATCTCGTGTATTAGTTTCACCTTTAAACTTAAATGAATGACATAAATGATGTTGGAACTATATTCAACTATTTTTTTCAGCCACTGACCATTAGCAGAGATGAGTAGAGAGAACAGCAGCTCCACCACACCCTCTTCAGGCCTCTGTCCTTCTGACAGACAGAACCTGGACACCACCTCCAGGAAGAAAGAGTTACAGAAGCATCTGATGTCTGCTTGCTGCTTCAGAGCTGCCCTGAAACAACAACAACAACAACAACAACACGTTTTTGTCTCCATTGGAAGCAAACTATGATAAAATCAAGGTAGCCCAGAACAATTCAGAACTTGCAGGGTTTTCCCCAGAAAATGAGTTAAGCCTGGTGGCTTCGGCCGTAGGGGGGTCGCGCTCTCCTCTTTGAGAGCGGGGGTGGGGGGGGGTTGCACATGTTCCGCTGCTGTTTTTCACCAGTATCAGATAATGGAGGGCTCTAGTTTCGTTGCGTCGTTCGTGTCAGCGGACACGGTAGGGTCGGGGAGGGTGGCGGAGCATGACGCTTAGCCTGGCGGGTGGGCAAGCAAAGCCTGGCGGGCCGCCAGGCTTATAAAGCGCTGGGGAAAACCCTGACTTAGATGGTGTGTGTTGGCACATCTTCAGATAAAACCTTAACAACATTTTAAACAATGCAGTCCAACAGATGCAGCTTTTACTTTATTATTCAGAACTCACTTGATTTTGAGAGAGGTAGTTGGTGTAAAGTCGTTAGGCAGCTCTTCTCTGCAGTTAGGGCAGGAAGGTCGGCGTTGCTGAATGCAGCGCTGAAGACACGGCAGACAGACGACATGCTGGCAGGGCAGAACGGATGGCTCAGTGAACTCCAACAGGCAAACTGGACACCAAATACCAAACCTGTGGAAAAAAGAGACTCACCACTTCAGTATAAATAAATATTAAACACATTCATGGAGTAGACATCCTGCTGTGTGCATTAGTATAATTTTGACTGAATTTCTAGGTTATTCATGCAGTCTAACCTCAGATCCCTGCTGATGCACTCTTCATGAAACAAATTGAGGATCCGGATGAGCTGCTGCAGTGTGCTCAAACTTCTGATATCTGGTGACTCTTGCATCAGCTGTTGGCAAAGAAAATGTTCATTTCTTTCACTGCTAATAACTGATAAATGTGCCACGTGTGCCACAACTATCAAATCGTCGAAGAGTTTAAAGGCATGATATGCAACTTTTTCATATTTTAAATTATTTTCTTGAGCCAGCATTTGTTAAAATGACCGTTTACCGGGTTAACGAAATGTCGCTCAGACCCCCCACCGCCCTCTGTGGCCAGAATATCGTATTTGTAACTTCAGCGTGCCAATCCGATCCCCGCTGGGCTTGGTAATGTGGAGCTGACATGGCAAAATTGCAGTCTGCTTCCAGCTAGTTTCCTGCATGTTTTAGATGCGGCGCCGACCTCAGGGCTGGAGGCGGCGGCGCCGCCGCCTCCAGTCCAGAAGTCAAAGACGTGTCCTCCGGCGTCTGTGCCTCCGGTCACCGCCAGTCCTGCCCTCATCAGGCGCAGGCCCCCAAGAGCCCGTCGTCGCCTCCTCCTCTGCCACAAACGCAGGCCTCCAAGAGCCCGTCGTCGCCTCCTTCTCTGCCACAGACGCAGGCCCCCAAGAGCCCGTCATCGCCTCCTCCTCTGCCACAGGCGCAGACCTCCGAGAGCCCACTGTCGCCTCCTCCTCTGTCACAGACGCAGGCCCCCAAGAGCCCGTCGTCGCCTCCTCCTCTGCCACAGACGCAGGCCCCCAAGAGCCCGTCGTCGCCTCCTCCTCTGCCACAGGCGCAGGCCCCCAGGAGTCCGTCGTTGCCTCCTCTGCCCCAGGCGCAGGCTCCCGGACTCTACTGGTCCCTGCCTCCTCTCCATCGGTCCCTCGGTCCGGTTCCACCCCCTCTCTTTCCCTGCTCTGTGTTCCTGTGGGCGTCTGGAATCCGACCTTTTTTTGGGGGGGGGGGGGGGGGGGGGGGGTACTGTCACACCCTGTCCTGTCTCCCCATTCTGTTTAGTCCTGTGCCCATGTTAATTGCTCCCACCTGCCTCTCGTCTCCCAATCACCCAAGGTCCCAGCTCCTCCTGTATTTAAACCCTGTTAGTCCATTTTGTCTGGTTGGCTCAGTGTTTCATTGTCTTGCGTGATCCTGATTAAAATCCCTGTTCAATTCAATTCAATTCAAGTTTATTTATATAGCGCCAAATCACGACAAGAGTCGTCTCAAGGCACTTCACATAATAAACATTCCAATTCACAGTTCATTAAGCCAATCAGAAATAATGATTCCTATATAAGGAACCCAGCAAATTGCATCAAGTCACTGACTGTTCAATGTTCCTGTCTGCCTGCCTGCCTCCTTCTTCACCCGTGTGTGGATCCTCGCCTCCATTTCACTCACCAGCACGTCTGACACTACCTCCACGATGTGCGTAACGATAAAAATGTCAGCGCATCTGTAGGCTTGAGATTCCTCCGTCAAAACAAATACTGGAAATATCCGGTCAGTGCGAACCCTGTCATTTACCTGTTTTACCTTCTTGTGATGATTGTTGCAAACAGAAACATTAAACCTGATTAACACCAGAGCCAGGCACACTGCGCCGTTATCTCCGTCAGTGTGAATGAGGAAAAAAAAAACAACTAATTGATTGGATCCTTTTCTTACCTTTTCAACAATGTTCAATGCAAAGTTTAGTTCAGTACAAAGTTTAATTACAGTCCAACGACACAGAGCCTGAATTTGTATTATGTGTGACGCCTCAAAAAGCGTCACCTGCTCAACTATTAAAACCACTAGCAGGGTGAAAAATATTGAAATATTGTAGCACAGACAGGCTACAACTTTCGGATCAATTTTATACAAACTGTTTTATTAATTATCTTCTCTTGAAAGTTAACTTTGAGGTACATGAGTGACTGGCATTGGTTGCTGTCTCCTGCTGTGATCGGTCAAAGCAGCTCTCTGCCGGGAGGCCCCGCCCACAACGCTGTGGCTGCTGCGGCTCCCAGTGTTTTCTTTACTGTGGGAAGTGGGTAATAATGGCTCTTTGATGGGAAAAGGTTGCCAACCCCTGGGTTAACTTGTAGCAACATAAACAAGTGCTGGCGAGAATGAATCAGCAGTATATGCACAACAGCCAAAGGAATAAACAACACAGCTTACTTGGTACGTTCTCTATGGTTTGATGGTGTTATACGTGTTACATTGTGGCGATGATATTATCAGAAGTATCCTCACTTCTGGACGTTACCAGTATCAGCTTGACTGATCTGTTTACATGCAGATGCAGATGGTTTCCTACCGCTTTATCTTGTTCCTTCAGCACGATTAGAACCAGTTTGCCTTCAGCCAGACTAACACGTTTACATGCGTTAAAAAAATGACGTCACCCTAATATAGGACGACCCCTATTATAAGACGACCCCCCTTTCCAAGAGATTAATTTTAAGAAAAAGGCAACATTCACTTTTTAAAGAAAATATTTAATATTTGAAAAATTTTGGTAAATACAGTAATACCGTAATTACAGACTACTTTAATATTTACCTATTAATGCAATCACAAAAATCTGTTATGAAGCTTTTGGGGTTCTGTCAGGAAATCAATCAAATGTTATTTATATAGCACTTAATCAAACAAATAAAATCCAACTCAAAGTGCTTTACACAAATGGTACTGAACAAAAAAAAATCCCCACTGTAGTCAAACTGTAAGAACTTCTCTTAACATGTCAAATCAAGTTATTTCAAAAGTCTGCATGAGGCATTTACTCACAGATGTCCTCTGCTTCGCTCTGCTCAGAGTCACTGTCACTCTCACGCTGCGGTCCCGCCTCCTCCCACAGAATGTCATCCTCACTGCCATCCAATGCATTGGATATGCAGCACTTTTTAAAGCCGTTGATGATGCTCTCTGCTGTTACTGCATCCCATGCCTGGAGGATCCATTCACAAAGCCGATGTACAGTCGGTTTTTGAATTTTTCCAGACGGTGTGAGAGCGTGATCACGGGACAGGAGCCACTCTGTGTACCTCGTGCGCAGGTTGTCCTTGAAAGGCTTGTTAACCACCACATCCAGCACCTGCAGCTGGCTTGTCATCCCGCCCGGTATGATAACCAGGTCGCCGTTCATCTTCCTCACCTGAGTTTTGACAGCGTCAGTCAGGTGTCCACGGAACGCATCCATAATTAGCATGTTTCTCTTTTTTCTGAGCGCGCCGCGTCGCGTTCCCCACACCACTTTCAGCCAATCGACCACAAGTTCGCTCTCCATCCAGCCTTTCTCCTGGGCTCTCACAATAATGCCAGCTGGCATTGGCTCTTTCGGCACAGTTTTGCATTTTAAAATCACATACGGGGCCAACTTAGTCCCGTCTGCCAGGCACGCCAACATGACGGTGATCCGATTCTTCTCATTTCCAGTTGACTTCACAATAACAGACTTCTCACCTTTTTTGTGCACAGTCACAGATGTAGGCATGTCAAAAAACACCGGTGTTTGGTCGGCATTCCCGATCTGATCCAGTGTGTAGGAGTGTTTTTTCCTCAAGCCAATCACATAGCGCTGAAAAGACTGCAGCTTCTCTGCGAAGTCTGATGGCAGGTGCTGGGCAAGGCTGGTTCTGCGTCGCAGCGCGAGGCCGCTCCGGCGCATCATCCTTATGCACCAGCCGGTGCTGGCTTTAAACTCTGTGGTCGGTATGTTTAACTCCTTGGCAATGTTCAAGGCTTTGAGCTGGATGATTGCTCTGGTAATGGGCAGACCTTCATTACGTTTCTCAGTAACAAACTCACACACCCGCCTGTCAATTTCTTGGAAGCGGCCGCGTTGAGGACCACGAAAAGCTTTTCTTTTGCTGTTAGCATTTTTCAGACGGTCTTTCTGGATGCGCCATCTTCGGACGTTACACTCCGTAACGCCATATTTTCTGGCTGCCTGGCAGTTGTTAGTTGCTTCTGCTGCGTTGACAACCATCATTTTGAAGTTTGCGTCGTAACTCTGCCGCAGCTGTTGGTTAACTTGCCTAGTTTTAGATCCGCTTAACTCCAGATTCCTCCCCGCCATTTTTCTTCTTTAGTTCAATGACCTCACCACGACCTCTGCTTAGTCGGCGATTATAAGACGACCCCCCCTTTTGCATAATTGTTAATTAAAAAAAAACCTCGTCCTATATTCGGGTAATTACGGTAGTTTGGATTTCTGATGCACATGTAAAAGCACTGAGTGATGCTCAGGACAAAATTAGATAAAAACTGTTTAAACTTACGTTCAGATGAAGGTTGCAGTGTTTTAGAGCTAGTTCCTCCAATTCAGAGTAATGCTGTTTAACTTTCAAAATGATGTTCTGTATGTAAGATCCTACAACCAGTATCCCATGCCACAATAACCTAAAAGGAAATATGAAATCATGAATAAATCTACTATAAACCAACAGACAAAAATGTTGATCTTCAGACCTACCTGATGGAGGCCAGGTGCTGCAAAGCGGTGACGCTACAGAGCACGCCGTACTTATGACTGAACGCTCTGTCTAGACAAGGCTGAAGGAACTCCACTCTGCTCACAAAGGATTCACATTCATGAAATGAAGTGAGAGTCAGAAGTTTGGTCTGCTCCACACAAATGCCAAGAGCTAAAATGTCCTCTGTCTGCAGAAAAACAAACAGAAACAAAGAGGCTACAATGGCAACATGTTTCAGATTTCAACTGGTTACCAAAACACAAAACAGCTGTTTAAACAAGAGGTTTTAACATCAATTCATACTCTAAACAAAATTTTAATACAAGCCAGAGAATGATTGTTACCATTTCTTGCCTCTCACTCATCTCTGACCAGCGATGAAGAACATCAGCAGCTAACTGGGGCTGCAGAAGGAATATGTGGCAGAGCAGATCTAATCTGGTAGCAAAGTGTTTAGCAGCTGCTGTTATCCAAGCAGGAGAAAGATCAGCGGTGACTCCCATAGATGCCTGGAGCTCAGACACACAGCACTGCATGACTTTCATCAACACCTGGCAATGACATGTTAGCTTTGGTAAGAGGACTCATTTTCATCTATAATCTCAACTGAAGTCTAGAAACAAATGTTAAATTTTATGATCAAGATGTTAGAATAGGCTGCGCAGTGTTGCAGTGGTTAGAGCTGCTGCCTTGCAGCGAGAAGGTCCTGGGTTCGCTTCCCGGCCTGGGATCCTTCTGCGTGGAGGTTGCATGTTCTCCCTGTGCATGCATGGGTTCTCTCCGGGTGCTCCGGCTTCCTCCCACAGTCCAAAACCATGACTGTTAGGTTGATTGGTCTGTCTAAACTGTCCTTAGGTGTGAGTGTGTGTGTGTGTGGTTGTTTGTCCTGTGTGTCTCTGTGTTGCCCTGCGATGGACTGGCTCTCGGTCCAAGGTGTACCCCACCCACTTGCCCGTTGATTGCTGGAGATATGCACCAGCCCCCCCCTGGACAAAGCAAGTTCAGAAAAAGGATGGATGTTAGAATAAAAGTTGTTTTTAGGGAAGCCTTCAGGCTGAAGTAGACATACTGGAGGCCCAAGTGGTGTGCAGCAGTGGCGGTTGCTGATGCATCAATGCACTGATCTAGGGGGTGGAGCCTGTGGAGTGGCAGGCTGGGTGGCAGAGGTCCTACCTCAAGTGAAAGCCTTTAAAAGGACTTCTTCATGCATAATCCATTTTTGTGCTGCCATGTGGGTCTCTACTGACTCTGTAAACACTCCACATGTAAAAACCTTCCATCCATGGTCTGTCAGTGTTTGAATTTAGGAATTATAAGCAAAAAAGTGGCACTATAAGGGAAATTATCAAAGACATCCCACCCCCCATGCCATCCCGACACTGGAGCAGCAGCAGCTCTACTCTGAGTCCCTCCTGGATATTCGACCTCCTCACCTCTTAACAGCCAATCAGGGCTGGGTGGGCATAGCCAGCAACAGCTTATTTGCTTTAAAGTGACAAATCCTGAAACTGCTCAGTCAGTACTGAAAATGTCAAGACTAGAGCTGGTGAGATCAAATTTACTCATATTTTAAATACATTAGCAGTAATCTCTAGTAGGAATGAATGCCTTATAAGTCATCCTTTGGGGAAAAAAACTCAGATTCTCCTGTCTGAGGATGTAGAAATGAACCAAAGGAGAAATTTACGGCAGAATTTGAAGTTTTATTTCCTAATATTTGGACATCTCACCTCTGATTTGCTAACAGCAACAAGACTTTACCATTTAATCAGTTTGCGCTGCAACGTTGATATTTTATCTCCACAAACAGCAAAAAGCCTTAAGGAGTTCTGCTGTGTGGTGAAGTTGCTAATGCTAACAGTTAGCTTCTACTACTGCTTTGCTGTGTCGTGGACACTAAACCAACACCAGTCTTCCCCGTCGTGAGTTAAAATGGGTGAATCCATGAATATTAAGTGACTGTGTCGTAAATCTGTCAGGCTTTTCTGAACTGAGCTTTTTTCTATTTTCTATCAAAAGCCAATGCAGGAGATAGATGTAGGATGCTATTTTCATGTTCAATCTGCAGAAAAAACTCAGTGACCAATCATTTTCAAAAATAATAAGTAAACAATAGTTTCTCAGTGAACCCGCTCTTTAATGTGAGAGGGATTCTGTGCAAAGAACTTAATAAACTTGTTTTGTACAGATCATTGAACTCCAGCGGAGGGGTTTGGACATTTGGTCAGGAGGTCTCCTGGTTGACCAAAAAGCTGCTGGAGGGATTATGTCTCCAGTTTAACCAGGGAAAACCTTTGGGTCCCACCAGAGTGACTGGTAGAGGTTGCTGGGGAAAGGACCTCTGTTGGAGCTGCTACACCTGCAACCCAGACCCAGATAAGAGAAGACAAAAAACAAACAGACATCTCTCAAGTCCTTTGTCTGGTTTACACTGGATTTTCCCCCTTATTTCTTAAAGAAATGGTTTTCAGATGCTGCAGATACACTTTTAGTCCTGACTGGGATTGCAGAGATTAACTGGTTTGACTATTAAAGGAGGTGCGAAACACTGCTAAAGTCCAAATAAAACACTTGAAAGACATTCCGAAAGTTAAAACTTCTGATTAAGGCTAATTAAAAAAAAAGCTGAATTTCTTCAATGTTTGTAATTTCATTCACAATGAAACTATAAATATGTGATTCCTCAGCATCTTTACCTTGAGTTCATCTTTTGACTTGATCTTCAAAGACAGCAGAAGGAAGTCCTGCAAGAACAGGAGGCCCAACTCCCATCGCTCCTCCTCTGAGAGTTTTTGGAGGTGACTGCCCAGCCTGCTGCAGTTGAAGGAGCTCACAAACTGGAGAATCCTCTCTTTACCACCTGCTTTAGTTACTGTAGAGAGGTAACAACCCAAGAAAACAAATAGTTAAAACTAAAGTATATTTGTATGTTTTCATATCTGATATTGATGTTAATAATTAGCCAGAGACCTGGCGTGAATTCAGATTCTTCCCACAGGTTCTCCAGGTTCATTCTGATGAGCCAGCTGAATGGAGCTGAGATCGGCTGTTCCTCTCCATCCAACATGAAGCAATGCTGGACCAGCACCTCCTGATCGAACTCGCTGGATAATGCAACCACAAACAATGTGCCTTAAGTTAACTGAATAAACAGGAAAGCTCAAAAGCAATTCCGACACTACAATAACACTGAGAAAAACTTAACAAAAATGTTGTCTTTATTTTTAGTGTTTGCAGAAGACAGAAACCTTCAGATCAGTACCGAGGGTTTTCGGGAGGTGCCAGGTGCAAAATCTGAGAATCTGCCAGGATGTCCACCCACAGCTGGATCAGACCCTGACTGAGTCTGTCACCTGAGAGGAGGTCCAGATTCGAGTACCTGTCCATAACCTCCAACATGGTGGCTAAGATCGGCGTCACAGTGGACTGAAGACGACGCCACAGAGTATGTCTTCAACAGAAAGATAAAACCCAGTCAATCGTTTTCACAGGCCATCATTATTTCAATACACATTCATAATGCGTGAAAAATTGCTTTTCATCTTTTCAAGATGTGGGTCAAAAATCTGACAGGTTAAAAATCAAATGTCTTTTAAATTCAAAAGCACAACATTTACAGTGATTCTGGGCAGCAGTAGCTCAAGTGGTAGAGTGGGTTGTCCAGTCATCGGAAGGTTGTAGGTTCAATCCCAGCTCCGAACAGAGAATGCTGCTGTTGTGTCCTTGGGCAAGACACTTAACCCACCTTGCCTGCTGGTGGTGGTTGGAGGGACCGGTGGCACCTCCGCTCGGCAGCCTCGCCTCTGTCAGTGCGCCCCAGGGCAGCTGTGGCTACACTGTAGCTCATCACCATCAGTGTGTGAATGTGTGTGTGGATGATTCACTGTAGTGCAGGGATTTCCAACACGTCGCTCCCAAGTTACCGGTAGCTCACGACGCACTTGAAAGTCGCTCACCTGGAAGCAACCTGCGAGCCGTCTTGCCTGATGCAAGCCTTCCCCGTTTTCTGTAATATTTAATCTAAAATTTGCATTTTGTGGAAGTAAAATAATCGTCTGATTATTGCACAAATCTTTCAGCAAACATGTTCAACTGGATATATGTGGATTAATTGCTCGGGTTGCAGCACGGATCCCCGTTTCTATCAACTTTGATCTCAGCAGCTGCAGCTGGAGCGGATATGAAGACATGCATCTAAAGAAGACGGGACGACGTCGGTCATACAAACCTGGTTTCAGAAAGACATCCTCAGTAAAATATTCTGGGCGACAGTAAAGTCCTATCTGAGGTAAACAGCTCATTAAAGCTGATTAAATGGCGTTTTTTTATGAACACATGACGAACACATGACGAACACAGGCTTTAACCTCTGGGCATCTGCTGTGATTTTGTTTAAAAAAAATCCCTCAACTCTTTCAGCTCATTGCTGCATTTAGTAAGAAATCTCTCTCCCGTTCCGTGTTGCACAATCATCAGACCCACAGATCAGCTGATCCAGAGGCAGATAAAAAGAATAAACCCCCAACCTTATTTTAATATTGTCAACAAAAACACAGCAAAGCATCATTTTACCCACAGTTATTGAAGCAAAACCCAACTTTCATGAGCAAAAAAAAAAAAACCCATAAAACGTATTCATTAAACCAGGAAAATAGGAAGAAATGTTATTTTTGTTTTTTCACTTAAGTTCAGACTAGTTAGAATTTTGTGTTTTCGTCACATTTAGTTTGTATTTTATTGAAATTATCTTCAGCTTTATTCATTTTATGAGAATGTTTGCGTTGCATGTTTGGAAAAACAATCATAACACAACATAATTACATACTTGAAATGTTTTGTATTAAATGTAATTTTAAAAAGCATTCTATAGTTTTTGAAAGTTTTTGTTCACTTATGACAAAACAGCTGAACACTATGAAAAACTGTTGCTCCAGGCAGGGCTCAGGGTCAGAGCCCTCAAGCCGGGCGTACACTGTGCGACTTTTTCACTTTCTTGAGCCGATTTTCCACTCGTGCGAGAATCCACAAGATCGGGGCGAGTTTTGCGCTGAGCGTCGTGTAGTATACAGGGGGTTACGAGAGGCGATTAACACCACGTGACCAGCTACCGATCAGCAATCGTGAGCTCGCACGGACTTCTGGTGTGTTTGATGTTTTGCTCGTCCCTCGTGAGGGTTGAAGCGGCGCTGCCAGCGGCTGCGACCCAAAAAGTACCAGAACCGCTCACGGTGCATGCGCAATCATGCATCAACACCGCTCACCCGCTATTTCCCTAATAACACACGTTGTTCGTTTTTATTTCTACACGTTTTTTGTTTTTTTTTACACACAGTGACAAAGACTGTCAAGAAAGCGTGTTTGTCGTGTTCATGTCAAATTAAACCATCACAAAACACAGATTTACTTTCTTTATTTCGTTTTCCTCATCCAACCCCCATAAATCCCTGTGTGTCCTCCTGCAGCACTCCCGAAGGTTACTCTGAGGTTTGTGTTACTGGTCCATTCTAAAAAAAAAAGTCAAATCATTGACATGACGTACATTTGCATTTCATTACCAGAAAATATCTGATTAGTTAATAAGCAAAATCATTTGTTTAGTTTGATTTTCAGAATGTCACTATTTTCCTTTTGTTTTTAATATTGATGTGTTGAAACTGGTGAGAAGCTCGGTCATCCAGGAGGAGCTCGGAGTAGACCCGCTGCTCTTGTTGAATGATTTGTGCAATGATCAGATTTTTATTTTACTTCCACAAGATACAAGTTCTGAATTAGATATTACTGAAACATGCTGGTGAAGGTTCTCAGTCCAGGTCATGGTAATCCAAAGGGTTCAAATGAAGGCAACTGGACTTCTTTGGTTTCTTGAAGACATTTCGCTTCTCATTCGAGGAGCTTGGTCAATTCTAACTGGAATATGGGAGAATCAAGCTTACAAGCTGTAGCTGTCTGTTGTTGTTTAACGAGCCAAAACTACTGTGCGTACCCCGCCTCTCCAACCGCTGATGAGTCGTTAGCCTCTATTGAGAGGGATTCATTGACTACGTTTACATGCAGCCAATATCCGGGTTATGATCGGGTTAAGGTCGGTATTCGGGTTTCTGAGTTGATCAGAATAACCCGTTTACAAGCATAAATAGAAAGAGTTACCCCTAACTTGCATAACCCGATTTAAATGCGGACGTTGGGGTAGCGTCAAGACGCAATATTCGTCATTTCCGGTTCTTCTTGTTCCGGTATCTGTGAAAACAACAACATGTTTCCCAGTTCAGAAGAGATAGCGACCGCGTTTGTTTGTGCTTTAGTTTCCTCGTAACTCAAAGTGTGGTGCTGTGCTGCGACTCGCCATGTTGCTCCCAACTTGTTGTTTACTTCCGGTGTTCTGGCGCACACAAGACGTCTCGCTACTCAAAAGACCAAGATTCCTCGCGAACAGAGCATGCGCAGAACACACGCTTTGATGGGGATATCCCGATATGCGTTTACACGACCAAACATTCGGGTTAGAAAAGGGTTACCCCAGGTGTAGTAACCGGGTTTTTAAAAACCCGGTTATGAGCATATCCGGGTTTTTGGTGGTGTTTACATGGACCTGCGGAACCGGGTTATTGTGAATATTCGGGTTTTAAAAGGGTTACTGGCTGCATGTAAACACACTCACTGTATTGAGTGAGAATGTGTTGGTTGATTAGATGCAGGGAATTGTGACCTAGACTGAAACCGCTTAGGAAGGAGATTACAGAAACGGGGACATTTTGCCGTCAAATTTAAAATCTGTTGCTCGTTCATTAGGTCGTCATTTTTTAAGTCAGGCAGTTCAAATGAAGGCGGGGAGGCTCGCTGGCTAATACTATGTTGCACACATGCACAACAATCCGAATGCCTGTGTACATGCATGTCAATTGGAAAGATGATCGGACAAAACCACCTCTGTCAATCGGAATTAAATTCTATTCCGATCAGGCTGCATCAGATCAGAATATTACAATTGACATGTTCACATGATGAATTTTTTATCAGATAGGGCATTCATTTCGATTACTTGAGCCCATGTATAGCTAATGTTTTATTCTGAGGGTCACATTGAGTTCACAGGTTACACTTTGGTCACTCCTGTTTTCAAGAATGGCAACTGGACTTCCTTTTCTTATTTAAAATTTTTTTTAAATAATTAACATTTTTTTAAATTAAAATTAAAAAACAAAACAAGCAATAACATCTTGACTGATGAAAAAAACATTTGGAAATCCATAAATAAATAATAAATAATCAAATATAAAACTGTAGCTATGTATGTTTTCAGTATTTCTGAGCTGTTGGCTGCAGGATCTTTACCTCAGTGTTCCACCTTCCTGTAGAGCCTGGCGTTTCGTGGCTTCTAGGTTCGCCCACTCTTTAGGAGCCCTCATCAGTTCTTCTCTCTGAGCCACAGTCTCTGCCAGTCTGCTCAACAACACCCTCTGAAAGTCAGCTGAAACCAAATGATTAGGATCTGTCATGAAAAACAAACCAGATGAGGTTAAATTCTGGTTATTTTGTGTCTTTGGGCTGTAAAATTGTGAAATAAAAGTCATTTAATTTTTACCTCCTGTGGAATTCTGACCAGCTGAAAGGAGCATCAGGAGGATCTGCACTCGTCGCATGCTTCTGGATGCCACATTGTCGGCGTCTCTCAATAAACTCACAGCTTTCTGAACACATGATCTGACTAAAGACAGACTGTGAAGGTGTGCACTCTCTGCCTGTGAGCAAAACACACTTCAATGATTAAAAACACAAACATTTGAAAAACCTGAAATTAATTTTACAGCTACTCACATTTCTGTCATCTTCTGACTTAGTACTGAACCTCATAGCTTCACTGTCTATGTTCTCTTCTGTTGAAGAAAAACAGCCTATTTACAATCATATAAATGTGGAACAAGGACATTCACAGCCATAAATAAAATTTTAGTTACGTATTGAAAGGAGACTACAATCAGAATAGATTTTTTGTCTACAAATTAAAAAAAAAACATACAAGTGATGCAAATATTGGCTGATTTTACAAAAAAAATTAAAACCTTTTTGGAGTTCAAAAGAAAAAGTTTCTTTTAAAGAAAAAAGGAAAGAATTGGTAAAATGTAGTTTTCACCTAAAGTTGGATTCTGAATTAAAATTTATTTGTTTAAAATAATTATTTCAGTTTTGCAAATTATTTCAGCAATATCCCTTGCTTGCATAAGCTGTTACCCCAAATTCTTAAAAGAGTTCAAGGTCTCAACAGAAGTTTGCAATGCCATCATCCTCATTCTCATTTGTATAGCATCATCTACCTTTGCAGAAGCCCAAGGTGCTGTACACTATCACAGCACAACAGCAAACAAAAAGTTAACATGATAAAAACAGATATAAAAACAACAGAAGAAACTAATGAACGATAATAAAAGTTAAGACAGATAAACCATATGTGATTTGGAACTCAGAGAAAAGGCCATTTGGTAAACGTGTTTCTTTAAACGAGATTTAAAAGATTGGAGGGATGGTGCCTGCTTCACAATACAAAATATGTAGTATTAATCTGAGAAATGAACCCTTTCTTTACTTCTTCTGTTTTTTACCATTTCAAAATTGTGATCTCTGGTTAAATTACCACTTTTGGTTTAAACCGACTAATAAAAACCTGACTGTGCAGAATCTTTACCTGTGATGTGACGTTTGAGTAAGCTGCTGATCGGAGTTTCACAGAAACCCGACAGGTTCAGACTCATGTCCTCTGAATCCCTCAGGTCATCAATGTGCACAGAGCACCACATTCCTTTAAAGCAAAACACAAAAATAATATATTACAGTAAAAAAAAACACACACACAGCAGAATCATCACCATCCCAATTGTATGCCTTTTGGAACTCACCCCCCTGGAAACCGATGTACTGGGCCTGATGTGGAATTCTTGAAACCTTCACAATAAAAATGATCCAGCAGATCTGATCCTCCAGGGACATCATGTAATTCATGGTGCAGTACCTGTTCAAAAAGACACGCTTGTCATACAAACATTGTGATTTCTTCAACGTAGCAAGTATAAAAAAAATAATGGGCTAACTTTGCTGATGCAATGAGCTCATCGCAGCACTGGGATTCTTCGAGGTTCATCTGGATGAACAAAATATGAAGATAGTTGTCTGCACCATGTAGGAAGGACCTGATCCAGATAAATAAAGAATCATTTGTTTCAGTTTATTTCTGCTTCAAACCACTCCACAACATTAAGTTATCTCATGGTTACCCTGACATGTAATAACAAAAACACTTAATAACGGCCCTCATAGGCGTCATTTTAACCGGGGACGCTGGGGACATGTCCCCGGCAAAATTTGTAATTGGCAGCTGTGTCCCCCCCACTTTCAAAAACGCCTGCTGATGAGGATTTTTGTTTTACCAGCTCAGATCTTATACCAGGGGTCGGCAACCTGTTCCCATCAAAGAACCATTATTACCCGTTTCCCACGGTAATTTTGGACGGACCTTAATAAGCAGTGACTTAAGTGAAGCAGGCAGGTCGCGCTAGAAAATTTCGTTTAAAAAGATGTCATAAATGTGTTCCCCCGTCATTTTTATTACTAAAATATGAAGTAAAAACTCACAATTTAATTTTCATTCATTTGTCATTAATATGTAGTCTACACCCGTGCGTTAAGTGGACCATCTTCCAGTAAACGCACAGCATCCAGTCCACCTCTCCAAATGCGTAAAATGTGCATCAGCCGCTAGTTAGGCGCGCGCGCACCATCAGCTGATCAGCCCAGACAAGAGCAGAGCAACTAGAGAAAGAATAGAGGATAATTGTGTCTGGATGTGGATGGAGATTACATTTTACAGCAGCCTGATCATCATTTAAATACGTAAACCATCACCTGTCTTCTAGTCCATGCTATCAGCATTATTTTATATTTTAATTGGTGTGTGTGTGTGTGTGTGTGTGTGTGTGTGTGTGTGTGTGTGTGTGTGTGTGTGTGTTTTCCACTTCAAACACTGGTCTAACCAACCAGACCAGCGTGTCCAGTAACATATTAATGTTACACTTCATGTAGGCTAGGAACGTTTCACCTGCCGTGGCCCGACCGCTTCTGCTCCACATAAACTTTGTGCGTGATCAAATGTCTCTACGCTTCATGCGTCTCCATATTAGAGACGGGAACAAGCGCTGTTCAGCCAAAGTTTCATCATTTCATAAAAAGAACATTTTCCAAGTGACACATCCCTCAGAGAGACTGGGTTTCCAGACTGTTTCAGTGGGAGGAAATCATCGCATGCGCGTGGTTCTGCACTGCGCTGGAACCCCAGATCTTCAGCTCACTGTCCACCGGGGGCGCTCCGAGCCGCGCTGAACACAGTGTCCAGTATAAAGAGCTCTGATGTTCTGATGGGAATATTTTACCTCCGCGTGTGCGTTAACGATTAAAATGTCAGCTCATCCATGAGCATCCGTGTGCGTCTGGGTAATTATTTCAAACCAAGCAACATCCTTGAGTTCATCTGTCAAAATAAACAGTCAAATGGAAATATATGTAACCTGCCGTTTAACTGTTTTGCCTTCCTGTGAAGATTGTTGCAAAGAGAAACAATTAAACTTGATTAACCCTAGAGCCACGCAGAGAACCATGCAGTGCGCATGCGGGAAGATTCCTCCCACTGAAGCGAGTGTTTTCCAAACCCCGTCTCTCAGAGAGACTTGTCACTTAGAAAATGTTCCCTGATTATGAAACTTTGGCTGAATAGCGCTTGTTCCTGGCTCCAATGTGGCGACACATCCAGGAGCCATCTGAGGAGAAGCCCAGAATCTCACATCCTCTTCAGCTCATAAAGTGCCGATGTGATTACGCACAAAGCGTGACCGGTCAACCACCGCAGACCGGGTTGGACCTGTTCAGGTTTACGCAGACAATCTACATTTAGAATTGGCATACAGGTGTAAAATTAATGCAGTAAAATATAAAGCATTTCATTGAAATATCCATTTATTATTTTACAAGCACAGAGAGCTTCATCAGATGGATGGAAGAGCCGCATGCGGCTCCAGAGCCGCGGATTGCCGACCCCTGTGCTAGCCTACTTTATTGTCCCCAGCAATTGTTAAACCCCACTCAAATGTATGGTTATTGTCCCCAGCAATTCTGAAAACAAACTGACGCCCTTGACGGCCCTACAAACACACTAGCACTTCCTCACTGAGACACGACTAGTCAGGTCAAAATAAAAATAACATAATTGTAGTCTAAGTATATAAAAGACAAAACAAAACTATCATAAGGAAACAAACCTACATTATCTGTAAGGTCTGTACCGTATTTTATTGCAGAAGGAAACTTCAGTGTCAAACTGATGGAGCGACAGCAGGAGGATCCTGTGTGTGTGCAGTCCCAGAGCATGGGCTAACACTCTCACATCGGATCTGTTTAACAAGCTGGAGAATGTAGTGATCTATGCAGAACAAAGCATATTTAGAATATTAAACAACTGGTCAAGTTAGAACTGTATTTACTGCCTTACCTCCAGAAACCTGCTAGAATCCTGGTGCTTGTTCAAATAATCTCCCAGAAAATCTCTGAGCGAGTGGTGATGTTGCTGCTGGAAATACAACCTCTGGAGTTTCGTTTTCTCCTGGTTTGATAAATCGGAATATTTTAGTCTCATCACAGCATCAGGAGTGGCACAGTTTAACAAAAAACCTTTGGCCAAATTGAAGACTTCATCTTCTTCATTTTCTCTGGCATATTCAACAACATTTTCTGTGTCCATCATTTCTTCATTTTTCATATTTCCTTTGTTGTGGTCATCAACCCAACTGGATTCATAATTGTTCATTTCCACTGTTCCATCTTCTTGCTCTGTGTCTGGTGGATCAACAAACTGATCTTCTTTCATCTCAATCTCTTGTTCTTGTGGTTTATCCTCTTGATGCAGTCCCACTTCAGTGTGTTTAACCTCTTGTGCTCTACTTTCTAGCGCTTGCATCAGAGCAATGGCACAGGCATCGCAGTGGAAACCTATGAAGATCTCAGACAGCTTGAAAGCCTCACTTGCTTCTCCCTTGAACTCCTTCATCCACTCCTTCAGATTGTCAAGAACTCTGTGCTGCCATGGTTCCAGATCAGTGCTCCGATCCACTCTGTGTTTTTCCAGCCTGTTGATCAGAGGCATGGGAAAATGCTCATAGACCTTCTTCTGGTCTTCCACTACTACCAGTCTGAAGTTTGTATGAACACGACATTTGACTCTGTGGGAGCCAAGACCCAGATCTACGTACTGCTGCTTACTAAGGTAGACATAGTACTGGTTCAAAGCATCATACAGGCTTTCATAGAGATTCTGCATGTTTAGGAGGATAACAGTACATCCTGTCTCCATGCATGTTTTCACACGATTTACATTGCGACAGATTTGGGAATATCCCTGGTCCTTTGGGAATCCCGAACCAAAGATGATTTCAGGTGGAGGATAGTGTCCTTTAGCAAAGACTTGTTGCTGAAGGATATGGAGGGCTGCATTGTTGGTGGTCAGTAACAGGAGGTAGCGGCTCTCTTCACTGGCGCCATGATCAAGGTTCTTTCTCACCATCTCCAAGGTTCTTGGTCTTGGAATTTTAGTAAGCTCTTGGTAAACATCTTGGAAAAATACAACAGGGTCAAAGCCCTCTGGCTGTCCACTGAAGTTACGTAAGATAGCCTCTACCAGCTGTTCCTTGTTAGGTTCTTTTTGTGTGGACTTGACTGCAGCAAAGAGCATTTTAACAAGGCTGTAGTAGTCTCTTAGACCAAAGAACTGATTCTTTGAGGTCTGATGACATAGGTCTAAGAAGGCCTTTGCTAAAGATGGGAACAGGTGCTTGATTTTCAGAAGAATCTGTTTGGAGGATGAACAAATTCCATTGGCAGTCTCTACAAGTTCATCCTCACTTGGGTCCCATCTAGAAACAAATATCCCTCTGTTCATTTTTGCTGGGTCAAGAGCCCAGTTGGAGATGCCAACAAATCCAACCTTCATGTGTGAATCTGGGTTGTCATTGTCGATGCAGCCATCCTCTAAGAGAGGGTGAAGGGTCTTTAATGGCATCTGCGGAGAATCTTCTGCTAGTCCTATCTCATCAAGTACCACCACTGACACATACTCATCCAAGTTTTTGTCCTTTTGGAAACGGGCACAGTTCCTGAATGTGCCTATGATGCCCTCAGGACTTGAGTGTGGGCTGCACTGGAAGGAGACCATATGAACCTGCTTGAGCTTCCTGAATAGGTCAGAATGAGAGTTCTGGCCCTGCATGGCATCAGCAACAACAGTTTTAGCCAGAGACTTGGAGCTGCCAGGCTTACCAACCAGAAAGAGTGGTATCTTAAGTTCGATGCAAACCACCATGAGGAACACGTTCTCTTTGAGTGCCGTGTTTTTGGCGATTGTCTCTCGTGTCTGGATGTTGTGGAGGAAGAGATCTTGACAAAACAAAATCTCTTCCTGCAATGCTGCTGCAGAGTTCATTGGGCTTGGGAAGTACCTACAAAGTTCAGCCAGGTACTCCTCTTTGGTCACAAGAGATGGGTAGTAGCACACTCCAACAGCAAAAATCAAGCACTTCAGGGTCTTCTGATCCTCGTTCAGTTGAGTGTAGCTGCTCAGAAAGTCTTCACTTTGTTGGTAAAACCAAACTAAAACTTTCATAGACCTCTCTACATCCCTGAGACTTACAAAACTGCATTCGTTTTTCCGACTTCTCATATATTTCTGGGAGGCAGCAAGCACATCTGAAATGATGTTCTTGCAGGCAGCTGGCAAATGATGATCAGCAACTTTTTTCTGGACAATCTGCTTGATGTAGGAAAGCTCAGAAATGTCACTCAGCTGACCAAAGTCCCACACCAAAGAGACCATGCTTGGTGGCAAAGGGTGGACTCTGTACACAAGCTGCCTAAGAGGTACTTTACCAAGGCGATCTTCTGTTTCATCTGCCTTCACTCGGTATCCCAGTCCTGCACGCTCTAGGCGTTCAACCATTTCCGGTGAGTGCTTCCTGTAAGGATTGCAGGCAGCTATTATCTTCAAGCCACTGTGTAGCTTCAAAGGTTCTCCTTTTACGGTCTGGTCACACAGGATTTCCTTGATGGCAAAAATGGCTTCTGTTGTGTTGGCTTCATCAAAAAACAAAACGGTGTCTAACTTGTGTTTTTGCTGATTTATTTGTGCAAGCACCTCTGCCTCTCGCACTTTTCTGTAGATCATTTCTGCTGTGGTCCCACCATGAACCTTGACAAGAACCATGTTTTCCACGTGTTTTTCCTCCTTCTGAAGAGTACAGAGGAACCGGACCAATCTGGTCTTTCCACAGCCAGTCTCACCCATGATGACAACTGGAATTCCACACCTGAATCTCATATGGATGGCCAACATCTTCATCACGTTGTCGGCAGTGAGCTCGTATGTTGGGTCGGGATCAAATCCCCGATCCATAATTCTCTTCTTTGCACCAACAACACAAGAAATTCTCTTGATTTTTTCCGATCGAGGCAACTGATCAAAGTTCTCAGTGAGAGAAATCCTTTGTCGCTCCAAACCTTGAAAAACTTCTTGTGACATTACACGGTCTATCAGAACTTCGCCACTGTGAGGATCAACAGCATTAAGTGTGTTCTTCGTTCCACACACCTTCACATTAAAGCCAAGAAAAGACATCGAGGAGTGGTCTGCATTAAAGAAAATGTATGGATGGGACTCATTTTCCCAACGCTTACGAAGCGTCAGATGAGTGAGAAGATTTTCTTCCAAACTGCTGTTGATGCGCAGCATTGGGCTTTCGTCAGACGTGTTCAAAGAGGGAGAAGAAAAATCTCTTGCCATGAGTATCATAAACTTCACAATAAAGCCCTTAAAGCCAGGCAGTTGGTCGGCAAGAAAATCAGGATCACAGAAAACGGAGCTCTCACAGTCTTTCAGCTGCGTGTTGAGAAACCAGGAGAAGTTCTTCAGCTCACCCCAAGACGGATCATCCATGCCACAGAACAGCAATAAGTGATGAAGACAATCACCGGGATTTCCAACTGTTGAGCCTTGCTTGTAGTTAAAACGATCCAGATTGTGATTTTGGTTGTAGAGTCTTAAGTACTGATATGGCCTTTGAATCGCCTCGCTACAAAACTCCTGTTCATCCATGAGGGGGTCGAAGCTCTTTTTTGTCAAAAGCCTTCTATTCGCCAACAACTGTTTCACCTCTCGTGGAGGTTTACAATGAATGGTGGGCAGAATGTTGAGTAGTCCAAGTTTCATCTGAAAAAGAAAATTGAATATATATTTAAAGAAGACTTTAATTAAAAAATAACAACTATTGAATTTAAACCTTAAAGACTTTAAAAGACCAATTATCACTTCCTGTTAACATCAACCCCTTAAAAGTAAACTCTAAAATGTCTTAATTGTCTGAGTTAATGCAAATCCTAATTAAGTTAATTGCTGTTTACTGAACCCTCTAGAGTACAAAAACTTGGTCTATTGGTCAATTTCCACTATTCAGCACATTTGACCGTTTTATCTTAAATCTTTAATACAGTACAAAGCCTCAAGCATTACACTCAGCTGCCCATGTGAGTGCTTAGTTTTAGGGCTGAAACGATTCCTCGAGTACCTCGAATACTTCGAGTACAAAATATCCTCGAGTCAAATTCTCTGCCTCGAAGCTTCATTTAATTCATGTTTAATTAATTCATGGCTTTGCAATCGCCCGTGGTCATGTTTCACCCGGACCGAAATAAGTGACGCACATACACACTGTACTGAATGCACACGCGAGTAGTGAACGCAACTTAACTTTGTTTTAAGCCATGGCGGACAACGTGGACCCCGGTGGAGTGCGAAAAAGACAGAAAATGTCAAAGGTGTGGGACCATTTTTCATGTCGTAAGGCGGAAAACGTACTCCAGTGTAAATACTGTAAAATGGATTTAGCCTACCACAACACCATATTCCTCGATGCTGCAACACCTGACCAGGAAACATCCACATGTAAATGTCACTTCTGCAAGCGGACTCGGAGCCTCTACAAGATAATGCATTTTAGCCTGTATTTCTATATATTCTGCGGGCACTGTGCGACTTTTTCTTTTGTAGCACTCAGTTTCACACCGTACGTCTGGTAGCAACACGTCGGACTTAAAATGTGCTAAAAATAGCAGTTTTTACAACACGTCAGACTTTTTACTGTGTTGTTATTGATGTCCGTTGTCCCTCAGGATTGCTGCAGGAGGACACGGGTATTTATGAGTGGCGGAGGAAAAGAAAGAAAATAAATAAATGTTTTGTGATCTGTATAATTTGACATAACCACGGCAAACATGCTTTCGACAATCCTTGTTAGTGTGAGACAAAAAAAGAGTAGAAATTAAACCGGACGTGTGATAATAGGGAAACAGCTAGCGAGCCATGTTTGCGCATGCGCCGTGAGCGGTTCTGGTGCTTGCTGTTTGGGCCGCAGCCGCTCGCATTTGTTTACTGTGAAGTAAAGTTGAAGTGCTGAAGTTTTGAAAATTAATTTTGAATAAACTTGAAGAATAACTGGCAATTGCTTGCTCATTTCAAGAGGTCTTTCATATTTTATAACATGCTATTTGATATAATGGTTTACAAACGCAAAAGAGTAATTTATTAGAGTACGTGATTAATCGATAAAAGATTCGATAGAGTACTCGATTACAAAAATATTCGATAGCTGCAGCCCTACTTAGTTTATCAACAAACTTTGAAGCTATTTCAGCACAAACCCCTTGATGAAACACACAGGGGTGCTTAGTGGCACGGCTGGCAGCACTGTTGCCTCACAGCAAGAAGGTTGCAGGGTTGAATCCTGGCCTCTTCCTTTTTCACAGAGTTTTCACAGTTTGTTTTCCTTAAGCATGTGCGGGGTTTTTTCTGTGTACTCCTAGCCTACAAATCTAGACAGACTGTAGCAGAAGCTAAAGGATTTTGGTTTGCAGGTCAGTCCAGCCACGCTCCATTAGAGCCTCAGCAGACCTGACCAGTCTCGTGCCTTGGCAATCACAGCACTCTGGTGGTTTAGTGGGCCAATCACAGCATTCCATCAGTTTGATGGGTGGGATGTTACCGCGACTGAGCAAAAAAAACAAAGAAAGTGACGGCTCAACTTTGGACTGTTTAGATTTGGGGGTTTCTTTGAGTCAAGAGTAGATAGAGGTAATGATGGAGTTGTTTTAATAAATGCTTTGTATACTTTTACTATTATGATCTAAGAAACATGTTGTTACTTCTTCTCTGTAGGCTCTGTGTGGTTGGAAAACTGCATTTTCTCACTCCCTGCTCAGCTGATAATCTTTCTGCCTGACTTGTGCATTTTCTCTTATCTTCTGGGAAACTGATCCCTTTTGCTTCAATAAAAAGACACAGCTCAAGCCTAAGAATTCAGAGTGAGTTGGGACATTTTAAACCTCGCAACTCATTCTCCTCTTTGCAAAGCTGTTGAAAACAATATTGCTGTGTTCTGTGTGAATCATTTTAATAGAAAGTGGTAAAAGAACCCTGACAGGTACTGAAGTCCTTTATTTAAAAAAAAAAAGGATGTATTTCTTCTTCAACAGTGTTTGGGGGGCTGCCCCATTGACTGACATCTGTAGTGCTCAGTATGCCATGTTATTCGCTGTCCAATAGCATGTGGAGACAACCGTAGATTCCTCCTCATAACTGATCTCTGTCTATGGATCGTGGCCAGACTATATATTCACATATATAGGATGGCTTGCCGGGTTACTGGTTTCCTCCAACAGGACAAAACATGCATGTTAAATAATTTTTGAGCTGCATTGAATAAGATTCAGCTAAATTAATGCATTAATAAAAATAAACATTGCAGTGTGTGAATTACCGAATTTAGGCCTAGTCCACACGTAGCCGGGTTTTTTTTAAACGAATATCCGCCCCTCCAAAAACTTGCATCCACACCACCTCGTTTAAAAAAAAAACTCTGTCCACACGTACCCAGATAAATACGTTGTTAAGGACATGCCAGACCTGTAGGCGGCAGTACCTCCCCCGTTCTTAACCTCGTCCTTCATCTGTGGTCTTCCGCAAGGAGCAGTAATTCCGCTTGCAAAAACAAACAAGCAAAAAGCGCTTGGACCACTGATAAAGCGAGCGCAGCTCTGAGGGCATCCATGCTGTCGGCTAGTGTAAACACAGGTCGCACACTTGATGTCAGCATTTTTTTGTCGCGGAAAGTGACGTTGCGGACCTTAAAACTCCGGTTTTGTCTGTCCACACACAGACACCCAAAACGGAGAAAACGCAGATCTTCACTTTGACCGGAGTTTTTAAAAAGATCCGTTTTCGTGTGAAAAAACTCTGTTTTCGTGTGGATGACAGGCCAAAACGTAGAAAAATATCTACGTTTTGGCAGATCCCCGGCTACGTGTGGACAGGGCCTCAGTGTAAAGCACTTTGGAGTCCTCTGACTCAAGAAAAGCACTGTACAAGTGCAGGTAATTTATCAATTAACAAAACATCAAAACGGTCGGCCCGTTAAGGGGTTAATTGCAAAATCCTGTTCTGGTATAAAAAGAAAACATTTTTACCTGTTTTGGCTTATTTTGTGGGGATCTATGTGATTTCAGGACTTCCACTGTGATCAGATGGGCTTCATTCCTTCGCCACACGTTTCCATGAGCATCACTCAAACAGCCAAGAACTAACAGGTGGAAAAGAAGCTCCTCCAAACCAGAGCGAACCTAAAAAAAAAAACAATAAGGTAGATCCTTATGGGCAATCAGAGAGGAAACAAGTTGTCTGAAGATACATCTGCTTACTTACTCCAGCCGTGTCAATGTGAAGAAGAACAGGGTCCTGCTCTCTCAACAGGGACAGTTTCTCTGCCAGACTCTTAATTAATGAGTCTAGGTCTACACTTGGCTCAATCAGTCGGATGCGGACATGTTTGACTCTTGGAGACTCCTGCTGGAATTTCTCAAACAAACGATCCACATAAAGGGACTTCCCTATAATGTGAAAACAATTGCATGGGTGTTTGGGGAAATTCCACAGAAATGTTGTCTTTGATGAAAACATAAGTTGTCAAACATATTTGAACCAATAAATGAGCAATTTGCAGAAAATAGTAAAAATAAAAAAGCTTTTTTGGCGGTCCTTACCAACAGCAGGGCGTGCAGATGACACCATCCAGACTGTGAGCTGGTCTGGAGAAACCAGAGACACTGGGTTTTGGGACAGGGTGTTTAGAGTGAAGTGGTAATGCAGATATTTTCTGGCTGTCTCTTCTGTTAGATTCACACCAGCCAGTACTTTGTGGTTGCTGAAGTAAGAGGGCACACATCGGTGCTGGTGCACAACTGGACTGACGATCACCAAACGGTAATGTGGACTAGCGCTTCTCTCAAGACCTTCATAGAGCTCCACTAAGGCTTCACTGACATCATATCTCAGGACCCCGGGATTAACCAGACAATAGATCTTCTGCCAGTTTTGTTTAGTTTCTTTGATCAGAGAGCGGCGAAGAAAGATCTCCACCTCTTCCACGGTGGTTTCTTCTCTGCAGACTAGAATTTCATCAGCAGATGGCAGAGGCTGCTCTGGACTCTCCATGTAGAATGACAGAGTTGTGGTGAAAACCTCCTCGTTTGGGCAAAGCACAAGATTTGGCATTCCCTCTTGGAGGACCGATGGAAGTTTTCTGATAAAGTGGAGCTGATTCATTTCAGAAAGGCATGAAAGGAAGTCAGCAAGGGTCTGGATTTCCAAGGAATCATTGAGGTACTGAGACATATTACCCCTAAACTTCCTCCACAAATTTTCAAGGCTGCACTCAACATCACCATCTTCTTCTTCGTCAGAAGAAAATTCCATTAAATTGTGAATCTGTTCCGCCTTTCCTCCTGAGCGTCGAGATGTAGCTGGGGTTATGTCCATAGGAGTTTCATAAAACTCACCTTCATCATCAGATCTAACATCGTTCTTTGAGGCCATGCTCACTGCCTTATTGTAAGCCACCCTAACATCGGTTAGTGTGCACCGAGGCTTTACGGGAAACAGCAAGTGCCACAGCTGCTGAGGAACCGATGCCTGCCGCTGGCATGCTTTGTGTATCCAGTCACACATGTACACCAGCTGTTCTGAGGTGTAGTGGTTCAGGACGCTGAAGCTTGAGCGCATCTCACTGATGAAGGAGCTCCATTCTGTCTGGCAGATGTCCATCGAATGAGCGAGTTTGCGTAGCTGCTCGGTCACCTCACCGTGGAGCGCGATCTGTTTACCCCTCAGAGACCAGAAGGTGACGCTGATGCACGGCTGCTGCTGCGGGCAGCAGCGGACCTCAACATACCATTTCCTGAAGAGCATGTTGCCAGATGTTTGCATCTGGAGAAGGATAGTCCCAACTCTTTGAACCCCTTCAAAAACCTGAAGTGATTGTAACGTTTTTAAGGTTTTTAGTTAAAAAGAAATAGAAAATGTTGAGGGTTTATTTCTTTCTCATAATTTAAGTTTATAACCTCTGTGAATCTGGTGACTTGTTCTCTGCCATGTTCCCCTTTAGACGACATCAGCATGAGTTTGTTTTGAAGCTCCAGCAGGTCTTCGAGCTTGTATAGCTTCTCTTCTTTGACCCCTTTCGCTGTCATCTGTACCATGTTCTGAAGACATCTCTGAAAACAAACCATCCAGTTAGAAAGCATCTGAAAACTTTGATGTAAATTCAACCTTTCAAACAAGGACAGCCCAGTGACCTTCTCTGTGTTTTCATCAGACCATCCGATGTGATAAACTCCATTAGTGTTGATAGAAGAAGCCAGTGAGAGGGACGACTGCTCCACGGAGCCGTGAGTCTCCTTCAGCGCTTTCAGCCAGCTCAACAACCGAGTTGACTCCCTCTGAAGGACAAACCCAGGACCGTCACGGTCACACATCAGAACCACGTTGTGTCTTCAATCAGTATTGTGCAAAAGTCTTGAACCATCTTTCATTTCTTTGGCAATCTTGTTTTAAATGAAATACTTTTAGAAACTTTGATCAGTTGTTTTGACAGGTTTTTGTGAAGGTCTAGATAAAGGTTTTTTTTTTTTTTGACTTTGCTTGTTTGGGAAGTTCGAGGCTTTTTCCACTCATTTTTAAGACAAGTTTTGGCTACAACTCAGGAATTCTGCACTGTAAAGTATGAGGGGTAAGTGGATTAATACCAGTTTGTCAGGGAGCTTCTCATCTCTGCTTTGGGCATCCCACACCTGTTGAGCACACTTCATGAAGTCTCTGAAGCCTGCCTGTTGGGGGAGGGAGTACAGCAGCGGAGCGTAGCCCATCACTGCATCGTGGAAGCAGGCCACTTGGTCAATTTCTCTGTCGTTCTCCCCAGCAGATATTGAAGCGAGGTCTACATAAACCTTTACATCGCTCATAGCTGTGGAAAAAACAGCTATTGCAACATCATTTGCATAAGAAAAGAAATTGTGTTTCTTGTGCTTGAACCCTACTTTTAAGGTTTTCTTTGACCCAGCTGACCAGGGCCTGGCTCTTTAGAAACTCTTCAAGACATTCAGTGTGCAGCCTGGTGACTGTAGAGAGCTGCTGTCTGGCCTGAAACAGGTCATCAGTGAGAGAACCCAGCACCCTCTGCTGAAAAGACTCTTCACCCTGCTAAAGAGTCAAGGACATCGTTAACATCTTAAAAAGAAAAGATAAAAATATCTGTCAAGAGGTTAGTGCTGTCAGGTTACATCATTTGGTTTGCCTCACCGAGATCCAATCTCAAGTATCAGATCAGGGTCCGATCACAGTATTTAATACACTCAACTCCTGGGCCCTCATTCATCAACCAGACTTACGCATGGATCTGGGCGTATTTCATGCATAGGGATCAATTTACACATTGTGGTCCTCATCATTTTGTACTGGTGCGTGGAAATGTTCCTAAATAGAAGAAGACCTCAGACCATGCGTACGAGCCGCCTCTAGTGGTAGAACAGGGGAACTGCAACACTGAAGGTCTCAGTCATCCACACATGTTCCTCATCCACAAATTATTTCACCCAATAAATAATTACGTTGGTGGAAAAACAGCTTTATCGCATAACTTGAGTTATAACTTATTAAAAACACCCATGACAGACAAGAATCTGGCATTGTAGTGTGGCTGATCTTGTGTTATTGGAAGATTTGACAGAGCGTGCATTCTACAGGGAATGCGTCTTCCGTGAGTGCACTGATCTGATTGGTCAGAGTGGCTCCTGAGTAGATACTGCTTCCTGAAGGAGATCCTTCTGGAGCTATTCCGTGATTTGGAGCCCTTTATGTGGAGCGACAAACCCCAAACCACACAAATCCGATACCAGTCCATATTCAATTACTGACAGAACCCCAGAACCTCCACCCACTTCCTCCACTAACATACACATGTTGCCAAGGTAACCAAATCGACTGACAGCTCTGCACTCAGACAACAAACTTTCCCAAACAAGAACAAAACTAACTCCAAACAGAATGGATACGACTGTAAAGGACAACAGAATGGAGCATTCAGTCTGTTATTCTATGTTTTTTTTTGTTAAACCATTATTTCTTTATTTCTGACAGGAACCTCTCCTCGATCCTGACCGCGTTTACAACCTCTGCAACGTGTCTGGTTCTCTTCTACAGCAGCCACTGTTTCGATCTCGCTTTAAATAAAAATGTGTTGTCTTTTTTTTTTCAGGAAGAACGCAGAGATTTCCCTCATGAGCTGAGGAAGTGGTGTGACCTAATATGGTTAATTGAGACATGTCGGTATGTAAATGACTGAACAGACACGGCCACCTGGAAACGCACAGGTGGGACTTACCATCAGACGATTTGGGAGGAACATGCGTACGAGTGGCCACCGCATGTTTCATAAATCAGGATTTCAGTCGTTTGTAAGAACATTTTACATTTTACTCGTAGGAATGAAAGTTGGAAAGTTTCTGTGAACGTTTGATGAGTGAGGCCCCAGATCTCTATTGTTGACCTACTTTCTGTTTTTTATTTCAGTTTTGCTGTAATGCAACACCTACATTTTACGAAGCCGCTTTAATTCTATAATATTCTTTCATTAGGCAGTGGAGAAGGGCTCAAAGACACCAATAACCAATGAAAACGTTATGATCACCATGATTTAAAAAAATCTCCAGGTTAGTTTCATTTTTACTCTGATTAATTTAGGATAAAATACAAAAATAACGTCAGATTAGTAGGAATAACATGAGCTCATTGGCTCTCATCTACTTGTAGTTTGTCAGTTTAGTTAAATTTTTATTTCTCACTAAATATTTTTAGAAATCCATGTTTTTCTTATGCATACAAGGTCCTTCTAATCAGAAGCAGCTGAGGGAAACATTTTTTACACTAAAGAAAGCCCGAGGAATCAGAAAAGCAGAATTACAAGGTGTTAAAAGTATCATGACAGCAGATTAGACTCACCAGCTGGCCAAGGGTGTGGATTACAGCAAAGTTTCCTGATAGTTTCATCTTCTCAGCGATTCTCAGCACTGCAGTGGCTGCAGCCGATGCCTCACGAAGTTGTCGATACTCCTGGATCTGAGCTAATCTGGGCCCTACCCACTCCTGCTCAGCAGGAAATGCTCCTGAAGCAGAAACTGTCTCTGCCATGAGACTGAGCTCCTTCAACAACAGTCTCCCATCCCCCTGATCACCTGACTCCGCCAACACCTGATCGAGCTCCTTGAGTGTGATGTTTGACTCAGCAATGCTGACACCACGTTGCAGGAATTCTTTCAGCAGAGGATTCCAGATGTGCTCACAGATCTGTGTGAGGGTCACCTGAGCAGGAGGTGGGACAAAGGGCCTGGCTGATGCTGCTCGTTTGACCCATGAGGAAAGGATCAGGTTGCTGTCATGCAGCTTGAGCATCTCACTGGACATTTTAAGAACATTCATGCTGATTTTATACCAGAGGACCTGTAGAGGACCTGTTTTCTGCAGCTTCTCCTCTGAAGTACAGGGCTGAACTAACACCAGCCTGTTCAGGCTCACAGCACTGAGATCTGCCGTGTGATGGTCTTCTAGAGTCGACATCTCAGGAACTGTGAAATCATGAAGCACACACACATATTTTAAATATCTGAGAAGAAAACACAGTACTGACCCATTTTAAGATGTACCCACCTGTGATGCTTTCTTTAACTTTCGCCACCATCTTTATCAGTGTTTCTATCTCCTGTCTCCGCTGCATGAAGGTCTTCAAATTCTTCTCTCGCTGAGCCAAAATGGCCTCTGCATCACCTGAAACAATCTCAGACGTTGTGTTCTTCTTGTCTGTAGAAGATAACACGCAGCTATTACTAATTGGAGTTTTCATTAGGATGATATCTGATTAACTGATAGTGGGGGTCCGTACACTGCTGGTAAAGCCTCCTAAACTGTTCTTGATATTTCAGGCAGCTCTGTAGGTCTCCGAGAGAAACACTTCCCTCCAACAAAGACTGGATCAAAGAATGAACAGCCTCCACACAGCTGTGGACCACCTGTCCTGCAGTGTCGTCCACCTGGATGGATCTCCAGTCCCCTTAAAAATAACAACGGGCCAACAGGAGACATTCAGCACACTTAAACTGGATCATGTTTGATGTAGATGGATGAATAAAAACACCAACGGTTAAGGAGGAGAAAGTTCATGGCAGACTGTGGGTCCAGCAGCTGGACCACCATGTTATCTCTGAACCGTGAAGCCGACTCAACCACAACAGCTGACACTACAACAGCTGGAAGATCTTTGACTGCTGATACGAGACTTCGCATGAGGTCACCCTCTTGTCCTCTCTATGAACAAAAACACAAAATATACACGATGAATAAAACATTTACCTTTTTCAGCTTGGCTGTGTTTTATTCATTAAACTTAAACTGGCTGACTGAGTGACTTTTATTAACCTTGTAAAGGGTCATTTTAGCTCAAGAAGGTGATTTAGGACATAGGACTCAGTGGACTCCTTTAAAAAGCAGCTGAAAACTCACCTGTTCAAGCTGGCTTTGGTGTGACTTTCACCCTCTCCTTGTTCTGCTCTCCCCACCTATTCCACCTTCCTCAGATCCACTGATTTCCCCTTTTTCCTATTCACTCTCTCTCTCTCTCTCTCTTTACATTGTTTTAATCACAATTGTCTATTTTTGCTCATTTTAAATATTTTTAAATCATTTTCTAAATAATTTTTTATATTTGACATTTTTTTGTTTTTGTGACGCGCCTCGTGATTTTTACCTTGAGAGGCGCTATAGCAGGAGTGTCAAAGATGCGGCCCGCTAAAAAAACTGAGCGGAAAATTGTGCGCAACTTTAAGTTGACTAAGGACCTGGCTTACGCACATGTTGGACATGGAGAGTACCTGCAGTGCTGCTGCTGAGAAGGATAACATGATGAAATCCTGCAGCATTATCACTTGTACCGCTTCGTTTTCACACGGAACAAGACCCCCCACACGCACGCACACTCACACGCACGCACGCACACACACACACAGCCTGAAGCGCAGAATACGGAATGCAGAACATCAGCAGGGGGACAGATTGAGACAGAATGTCATGCGTCTGTGACAGTGTGTGTGTCCTGTCACTGTGACCCGATTGATCATGCGCCCTGGCTAGTTGGACAATGGAGATCTCCGTTTGGGTGACTGGTTAGCGTGTGTGACTTTCACCTGAGAGTCTGGGGATCAATCCCGATTGGACTATTTTTTTAATATCCACCACAGATCTCTGAAGAACTCACAACATTGACGGCTTCAGCAACGCTGTGCCACTCCATGGATTTTCTCTCATTTGTTTTGCAAAAGCACTTCCTTTCATTTCTCCACCTCACCCACAAGTACCTCGATTTCTGCTTCTGTGAAATTGTGCTTCCTTGATCTGCCTTGATCTACTGTCGCCATCGTCTTTGGCGGAGCGCTGCAACAGCCGGCTTATGTATATGCATGAGATCCACAAGGCACTTTGCATTGACTATTTATGGCAGTAAGTGGGCGTGGTGAGGGCGGGATGTGACTAAAAAGCAGCTGAGAAACATTCTCGTTAGTCTCCGATTTATGAAGCGGAGATTGCGTGGAGCTGTGAGTACTCCATGTTTGATAGATCACAAACCTACTTGGCGTAAGTACTTTTTTTTTTTTTTTGCTGAGCTTAAGTATGGTTTTAGTAAGGATTCTACACAATGTTTGATAAATGAGACCCCAGGTTTCTAGACATGAACTTATCACGAACTCAAGGAAAAGTGTCAGTTGGAAGTAAGAAAAAAACAACCTCCTGTAAATGAACAATAAAAATAGTCAAAAACAAGATTTTCCCACGCTCCCAGCATATTAACAACTTCTTAAATCTTCTTAAATTTGAAAAGTTGAGTCACTTTTTTTGGCAGCATTCAGACCTGTAGGTTTGAATGATAAAATTTGTCCCTGAGTATTGAGTAAATAGAAACAGCGTACCTGGCAGACTGTCCTGATGGCCGAGCACAACACGTCATCAAAACAAGCCTGTAGAATATTGTGGCTTTTCCTCAAAGATGACTCTAGACAACAAACCAGCACTTTGTCCTCTTCACTTCCCTGAAAAGTAAAATATCACAGATTAGTAAAAGGGGAAATGTCTACATGCTGGATTCTTGTTAGAATTGTAACCCAGAGTCATCCAGCAGCACAAATGAACAGGGTTTAATAAAAAAAATTGACTTTGTCATAGGGGTTGTATGAACTAGTCGACTTCACGGCTCTGTAGTGACTTTTTATGCCTGTCATAGACTAGTCGCTGTCATGTGATAATGACTGACAAGATGCAGTCCTCGGAAAAGACAGCAGATGACGAGCCCCTGCGCGTCGGAGGCGACGCTCTGTGCCAGAGCGTCGGTACTGACACCGGCGGTAAAACGGACATTTAACCAAACTGTGACCTTTTCCCTCTTGCAATTTAACCTTCCCCTCACCCCATCCTAACCTTAACCAGTTTGCACATGCAAAGCTCTGATCGATGACACGCTCCAGACAGCTGCGTCCTGAGCACGGCCAAATCAGGTATCACCACCTCAAAAACAAATTAAACACGCGGTCGTTCATGTCGGCTCATTTCCTTTAATGTTTTCTGTCTTTTATTTGTGCCTGAAGCGTTTCGCTGCCACAGAGCGAGGCACATCACCTGTTTTGTCCTCCGGTGACGCACCCCCAAAATTCCACTATCTCCGCTCCGGCACAAACTCCGCAGCAAAAACGGTCCCGTTGTAGTCGGCCGGCGAGCAGCGGCACTCCGCTGTTTTTGCGGTCGGTAGATCTTTTAGAACTGCAGTTCAAATGTAACTCATAAGGTGAATATATATGAACCCAGGTAGCAGTTTTTCTTTAGGACTGAGAGGAGATGCAGGAAGATAATAAACAGACAGGACAGAAAAATAGTCAAATAAAAACATGTTAGTTTTTGTACCTGGTGGTTGCAACAAACAGACACCATTGAAGCTAATCAGAAGTGAGGAACAGAAAATGAAATAATTATTTTAATGTTTAGAGCAGCAGGATCTCTGAGAGGCTGCAGGCGCATCAGTGAGTTTGCGGCCGCTGCGCAGAGGGAGGGGGGGGGCTGAAGTAGGATGCAGAAACTACCGTTGTTAAAAGAAATGTGTTTAACTTTGAAAATGTGGGCGCAATTTTAATTGTCAAAAACTCCAGCGAACCTACCCCCCCCCCCCCCCCGGCTTCAGGTGTATGACGTCATCAACGACTAGTCGAAGTCGACTCGATTTTCATTACTTGACTGTCGACTTTAAAAATAATTAAGTCATGCAGCCCCTACTTTGTCACTCATCATTACACCCTGGCTGACCTTAGAAATCCTCTTCTTCAGGTCTTTCTTGAGCATCGCCTTCCAGCAGGATGACATTTCCTCAGAAGAACATTCAGCCTTCAGCAGTGCATCCCACAGCTGATGAATACAACTCAGTTATCAATGGCAGAAAATGTTCAGCTCAACCAGCAGACAGATTTTATTTACTATAACATTTCTATGTCGGCTCTATACCTCCATTTCCTTTGGGTAGGTGAGTTTTTTTGCTGTCATCAGAGGATTCTTTAGGAGTTCGTCTCTCCACTCACAGATCCTCTTCTGCACCTCCAACAACTTCTCTTTTACAGTCTCAATCTCTTCCTCCTTGGACTAAAACAAGTTAAAAAAAATGTATCAAAAAGCTCATTTATCAAGGTTAATGACAATCTGGCACTTTAAAGTAAATAAAAAGGTTATTACCTCTCTTCTCAGCTTGACCTCTAGAATTTCTGCAAATTTCAACACCAGCTGGTAGGACAGAATTGGTGTTTGGTACCACGGCACAAGCCGAGCTATCCTGCATGTGTGCATCAGCACACTGATGCTGCTCATGAATGCTGGCTGGACGATGTCAGATGCAGTTATTCTAAAAACACAAAGCTGAACTGAGGCCCTGTCCACACGTAGCCGGGGATCTGCCCAAACGTAGATATTTTTCTACGTTTTGGCCTGTCATCCACACGAAAACGGATCTTTTTAAAACTCCGGCCAAAGTGAAGATCTGCGTTTTCTCCGTTTTGGGTGTCTGCGTGTGGACAGACAAAACCGGAGCTTTAAGGTCCGCAACGTCACTTTCCGCGACAGAAAAATGCTGACATCACGTGTGCGACCTGTGTTTACACTAGCCGACAGCATGGAAGCCCTCAGAGCTGCGCTCGCTTTATCAATTGTCCAAGCGCTTTTTGCTTGTTTGTTTTTGCAAGCGGAATTACTGCTCCTTGCAGAAGACCACAGACGAAGGACGAGGTTAAGAACGGGGGAAGTACTGCCGCCTACAGGTCTGGCATGTCCTTAACAACGTATTTATCCGGGTACGTGTGGACAGTTTGTTTTTAAACGAGGTGGTGTGGATGCAAGTTTTCGGAGGGGCGGATATCCGTTTTTAAAAAAAAAACGGCTACGTGTGGACTAGGCCATAGACAAACCACAACACCAAAAACCTGAGAGCAGTAAGAGGAATCCTGTACCTGCCCTTCTCGTTGTCCACATTCAGCAGGATGTGACTCAAGGATTTATGAGCATGCTGCATGTAGACAGAGTCAAGTTCAACACAAAGATAAACATTAAACTCAATTATAAATAAAAACATTTTTACCTTTACATTTTGCTCAAGTTTACTAAGATTGTTTTCTTCAGGGCATGTTTTAAGTCTGTACAACAGACTCTGGATCAGCTGCTCTGAAGCCACTTTGGTCAACTCTGAAAACTCTGGAAGATCATCGAATGTGACCAGAGATAGCCAGCTCAGTGGGAGCAGAGGGAACTCTGCAGCAGCTGACAAATGTTCCTGGATCAAAGAGAGCATCCTCCTGCAGGAAAGAAGGAAAATAGCTTCAATAAATGCCAAGAACAGGAAGAATGTTACTGTTAATTTGAAGCAGAATCACCTTCTTTTGTCTGGACGGAACAGCATATTCTCTCTGAATTTGACGAATTCGACGCCACTAAGTCCTGACCAGTTTTCCTCCTCGACAACTGGACCCACCGTCTTGGCGTCAGCTCCAGGCTGCCTGAGCCTGAAGAGCAGAGGAAGTAGCAGGACAAGCTCCACCACCAAATGTTGGACACACTGGTTTATCAGACCCAACACGGTGCTGAGAGGGAGAAATAAGCATTAAGAGGATGAGGTTAGTACACAAAGTTTCTGTTGTCTGTAAAACCTCCAGCAACATTAAAGAACTTACTACTGCAGATGTTCAAAGGCAGCACGCAACTCCTCCAGCTTTTTCTGATTCATCTCCGTCTCTGAGGACACCAGGAGACACAGCTCGGCCCAGTTTTTAACTCCCAGGTTGATCTTACAGTGGTTGGTGACTGTAAACACAGACAAGCCCAGAACAAGAGGGCTGGAGTTCCTGTAGCTGCCTGGGATGTTCTTCTTTGGTTCTCCTTTTAAGATCTCAACCAAACGCTCTGAAATCAGCTCTGATGTCTGCAGGCACAAACATATTTTAGTTTTCAAATACTGGAAAAGGATAAAAGGACATGTCAGACTTTAAACTTCCCACAGAGCTAACCTTGACCACGGAAGGCCGGGAGTCATCCTGGTACTTGATCCTAGTATGTGCTGAACTGAGGTTCTGGGAAAAAGCAGTCAAGCTCTGACACAATCTCGTTGTGCTCGCTTTGTCCGCTGGAGTCCATTTCTGGAAAATTCTGCTCAGCAGAACTCTCGCTGCATTCTGCCATGCATCAGAAATCTCCACGCCCTTTGGCCTCCGAATGCCCACCATGTGAAGGCCAGTTTTAATGAAGCCTTTTTCATCATGGCGACAGATGAATCCTTCATAGAGATGCATCTCTGAACGAGGCACAAACAGTTGCGTGACGATGTTCCAAGTGAAACAACATTAGAATGATGCTTATTAGTTCGAGGCGTGGTATTACCTTTAGTGGTTGGATCCGGTGGAATCTGAAGAAACCTCGTAGCAGTCCCCCAAATCTCTTTCTTTCGTTGCTTTACTCCATACCAGTAAGTCAGCAAATGACCTCTGGCTAAAAGACTTTCTTCGATGGAGACACTTGCTTCAATCAGATAGCCTTCCTGCTTCTGTCCACTAAACATAAAACATCAAGGGTTAAACTGAAGCTAAAGACTTTTAGCACAGGATCTCCACAGGGCTGTGTACTTTCTCCTCTGCTCTTCTCCCTGTACACAAACTGCTGCACCTCGAGCCATGACTCCGTTAAACTGATCAAGTTTGCGGACGACACCACCCTCATCGGGCTCATCTCTGACGGTGATGAGTCCGACTACAGGAGGGAGGTGGAACGGCTGGTGTACTGGTGCAGCAGCAACAACCTGGAGCTCAATACTCAGAAGACAGTGGAGATGATTGTGGACTTCAGGGAAGTCACAGCCCCATCTCTCCCCCTCGTCCTGACGGACACCCCCGTCACCACTGTGGACTCCTTCCGCTTCCTCGGAACCACCATCACACAGGACCTTAGGTGGGAGCCATCCATCAGCTCCCTGCTCAAAAAGGCCCAGCAGAGGATGTACTTTCTGCGGCAGTTGAAAAAGGCCAAGCTGCCGGCCCAGATGATGGTGCAGTTTTACACGGCCATCATTGAGTCCATCCTCACCTCCTCCATCACTGTGTGGTACGCTGGAGCCACGGTGAGGGACAAAAATAGACTGCAGCGCATTGTGCGCTCTGCTGAGAAGGTGATTGGCTGCAGCCTTCCATCTCTCCAGGACCTGTACGTCTCCAGAACTCGGGGGAGTGCAGGTCGGATAGCAGCTGACCCTTCGCACCCGGGTCACAGACTTTTGAGCCGCTTCCCTCAGGCAGGAGGTTACGGTCCATCCGGACCAGAATCTCCCGCCATAAGAACAGCTTCTTTCCATCTGCCGTTAGACTTGTGAATAGATTATAAACACACAACCATGCTCGTCTTCTGTACTCGACACAACGTCACGTTATCATTACCTGCCATTTTTTATCGCTGAAAGTTTTATTCTAGTTTTTTTTATTATATTTTATTCTATTTTTAATCTTATTATTCATGTTATATGTAGCACATTAGTACTGAAGCAAGTTCCTAGTTTGTGAATTGTTTGTTCACTGACAATGGCAATAAACCTATTCTGATTCTGATTCTGAAGAGATTTGTGTTTCTGATTTGATCAGTTTCCTGATGCTCGTGTTTTCATGAACGACAAAGGTGGACCTTTAATGGGTCTAACAGCCCAATAAAGGCGACCGTATTTGCCTGTTGTAAATGTGACTCTTGGTTAACCTGTAACGTTCTTGTTTCCAGCGTCAAAGCTTCGATAACTGCGATCAATACTCACGCAAAATATGTGATTTCAAGTGGCACACTTCCTCCATCATGAAACAGCGCAAGCTTGTCATGTTCGTTGTTGAATCTGAACATTTTGTCCAGCACAGCGTAGATGTGGAAGGTGAAGGTAGGAGCTGCAGGTGGAGGTCTGACTGGACTTCGATCGCTGCAGAGAGAGAGGAATGCTTACAGACCAGGCTCAGCCTCGCTGTCTGACAGAGTTGTTAAACCTTACCGTGTGATGTGGGAGGTTTTGTCTGCTGTCACTCTGGACTGTTTATTATCTCCTTCTCCAGCCACAGCTTTAGCGTACGACTTTGGCTTGGCCTCTTTTTCAGGTTGAGATGTTGTATTCCTGGAGACACCTGGAGATGAATCAGTCCCCTCTTTAGAATTTAACTCTGGTGAAGCTCCATCTTGCGTTTGACCGGCACTTTCTTGCCGCGGCTCAGGTGCAGATGTATCTTGTTTAGGTTCTGATTCGGCAGAACTCTCTTTGTCAGATTTGATCTTTTCATTGTTTGAGTTGTCCTTTAGTGTCACGAGGACATCTGTCTGTGTCTCCTGGTTCTTCTGAAAAACAACTACAGTCTGTGTGTACTTGTCTTTGCCTTTATGCTTTCTTGTTTGAGTCTGAGCCTGAACCATCTTTGCATCCGTTTGGAGTTGTTCTACAACATTTTCTTCTTCTTGCAAGTTACCTTCAGCCTGGAGATGATGTTCTTTAGGAAAGAAATCCTCTTGGGTTTGGCAGCTTGTCTCCACAAACTTTTTCTCTTCCTGTTCTTTGACCTCACTTTGCAAACCTGCAACTTCTTTTACTTCTGCGATGCTCTTTTTGCTCTTTTGAGTCTTTTTTCTCCTCCTTTTATTTTTGTGACTCATCCTGTTGGGGATTTCTCGTTCCTGCTGCTGGAATACACATTTAAAACATTTTATAACATATCATATGTATTTAAAACGACAGAATGAAACATATTACCACAGCATAACAACCTCGTCTCTCCTTCGTGGTCTTTTTACTGTAGCATCCTCGATTATGCTGGATTGTGGTGGTGATCCAGGGGTCCTGTTGATGCTTCCTGCCCCATCATCCATCTCTAGGAGACTCCCTCTTCCCTATCTGCCTCTGATAACAAACATCAGGTGGTGTTCAGTACCAACACTTTTCAAATCAGCTGCAGTATGGGAGTGGTGAAATGAGTGCTTTTCATTCTGCTGCGTTAAACCTGTTGGAAACAACTAATATCACGCACAAGGAAATAAAGCAAACAGCTCCAATAGAAAAGTGTTTCAACAATAGTTCACTACATTCTTGCTGTTTGTTTTACTGGTCGAGTAATCCAAAAGAAAGAACAAAAACGAACACGAATTTCTATTAAATGATAGATTGCAGTGTAGGCAACAGGCGACACGACAGCAAAAGTGGCACATTTGAATAAATGCGATCAACTACGAAATGCTCCTCCTTGAACCGTCACCTTATCGTGGTGGAGGAGTTTGAGTGCCCTAATGATCCTAGGAGCTATGTTGTCTGGGGCACTTAGTGCCCCTGGTAGGGTCTCCCATGACAAATTGGTCTTAGGTGAAGGGTGAGACAAAGAACGGTTCGAAGGATCTTTCATGGCGGTGAAAACGAAGAGTCGGAGTACCCGGCCCGGAGGGTTACCGGGGTCCCACCCTGGAGCCAGGCCTGGGGTTGGGGCCCGTGAGCGAGCGCCTGGTGGCCGGGCTTTCGCCCATGGGGCCCGGCCGGGCCCAGCCCGAACCGGATACATGGGCTCGTCCAACTGTGGACCCACCACCTGCAGGAGGAACATGAAGGGTCCGGTGCAATGTGAATCGGGTGGCAGACCAAGGCGGGAGCCTTGGCGGTCCAATCCCCGGACAAGAAAACTAGTTTTTGGGACATGGAACGTCACCTCGCTGGCGGGGAAGGAGCCGGAGCTTGTGGCAGAGGTTGAGCGGTACCGGCTAGATATAGTCGGACTCACCTCGACACATTGCATTGGCTCTGGAACCCGAGACCTGGAGAGGGGTTGGACACTCTACTTTGCTGGAGTTGCTCCGGGTGAGAGGCGGAGGGCTGGGGTTGGCTTTTTGTTAGCCCCGAGACTCTCTGCCTGTGTGTTGGGGTTTACCCCGGGGGACAAGAGGGTAGCTTCCTTGCGCCTTCGGGTCGGGGAACGGGTCCTGACTGTTGTTTGTGCTTATGGGCCAAATATCAGTTCAGAGTACCCACCCTTTTTGGAGTCCCTGGGACGAGTGCTAGATAGTGCTCCATCAGGGGACTCCATTGTCCTGCTGGGGGACTTCAATGCTCACGTGGGCAATGACAGCTTGACCTGGAGGGGTGTGATTGGGAGGAACGGCCCACCTGATCAGAACTCGAGCGGTGTTTTGTTATTGGACTTCTGTGCAAGCCGCAGTTTGGCCATAACGAACACCATGTTCGAACATAAGGATGCCCACCGGTACACTTGGTACCAGGGCAGCCTAGGTCACAGGTCGATGATAGATTTTGTAGTCGTATCATCTGACCTGCGGCCGTATGTTTTGGACACCCGAGTGAAGAGAGGGGCGGAGCTGTCAACTGATCACCACCTGGTGGTGAGTTGGATCAGATGGCAAGGGAACATGCCGCGTAGACCTGGCAGACCCAAACGCATAGTGAGAGTCTGCTGGGAACGCCTGGCAGAAGAACCTGTCAAGACGGTCTTCAACTCCCACCTCCGGCAGAGCTTTGACCACGTCCCGAGAGCAGTGGGGGACATTGAGTCCGAGTGGGCCTTGTTCCACTCTGCGATTGTCGAGGCGGCTGTTGCTAGCTGTGGTCGTAAGGTGGCCGGTGCCAGTCGTGGTGGCAACCCCCGTACCCGCTGGTGGACACCAGAGGTTCGGGGAGCCGTCAGGCTGAAGAAGGAGGCCTACAGGGCGTGGCTGGTCTGTGGGTCTCCGGAGGCAGCAGACAGGTACCGGATAGCCAAGCGGGGTGCAGCAGTGGCAGTTGCCGAGGCAAAATCTCGGGCGTGGGAGGAGTTTGGTGAGGCCATGGAGAAAGACTATCGATCGGCTCCAAAGAGGTTCTGGCAAACTGTCCGGCGCCTCAGGAGAGGAAGGCAGCAACTCGCTCACACTGTTTACAGTGGGGATGGGGAGCTGCTGACGTCAACTGAGGCTATAGTCGGACGGTGGAAGGAATACTTTGAGGAGCTCCTCAATCCCACCAATGCGCATTCCGAGGAGGAACCAGAGCTGGGAGGCCTGGGGATGGACTGTCCGATCTCGGGGGCAGAAGTTGCTGAGGTAGTCAAACAACTACACAGCGGCGGAGCCCCGGGGGCGGATGAGGTTCGTCCTGGGTATCTCAAGGCTATGGATGTTGTAGGGCTGTCATGGTTGACACGTCTCTACAACATTGCGTGGTCATCGGGGGCAGTTCCTAGGGAGTGGCAGACCGGGGTGGTGGTCCCCATCTTTAAGAAGGGTGACCTGAGGGTGTGTTCCAACTATAGGGGGATCACACTCCTCAGCCTCCCTGGAAAGGTCTACGCCAAGGTACTGGAGAGGAGGGTCCGATCGATAGTTGAATCTCAGATAGAGGAGGAGCAATGTGGTTTTCGTCCTGGCCGTGGAACTGTGGACCAGCTCTATACCCTTGCAAGGGTGATGGAGGGGGCATGGGAGTTTGCCCAACCAATCCACATGTGCTTTGTGGATTTGGAGAAGGCTTATGACCGTGTCCCCAGGGGCACCCTGTGGGGGACGCTCCAGGAGTATGGGGTGGGTGGCTTTCTGTTAAGGGCCATTCAGTCCCTTTACCAGAGGAGCGTGAGTTTGGTCCGCATAGCCGGTAGTAAGTCGGACCTGTTCCCAGTGAGGGTTGGACTCCGCCAGGGCTGCCCTTTGTCACCGGTTCTGTTCATCACTTTTATGGACAGAATTTCTAGACGCAGCCGTGGTGTGGAGTGTGTCGAGTTTGGTGGCAGGAGAATCTCGTCTCTGCCTTTTGCGGATGATGTGGTCCTCCTAGCTTCATCCAGCTCTGACCTTCAGCTCTTGCTGGGTAGGTTCGCGGCCGAATGTGAAGCGGCTGGGATGAGGATCAGCACCTCCAAATCTGAGACCATGGTTCTCGACCGGAAAAGGGTGGCTTGCCACCTCCGGGTCGGGGGAGAGGTCCTACCTCAAGTGGAGGAGTTTAAGTATCTCGGGGTCTTGTTCACGAGTGAGGGTAGGAGGGATCGGGAGATCGACAGGCGGATTGGTTCGGCGTCTGCAGTGATGCGGACGCTGAGCCGATCTGTCGTGGGGAAGAGGGAGCTGAGCCAGAAAGCCAGGCTCTCGATTTACCGGTCGATCTACGTCCCAATCCTCACCTATGGTCATGAGCTTTGGGTAATGACCGAAAGAACGAGATCGCGGATACAAGCGGCCGAAATGAGTTTCCTCCGTAGGGTGGCCGGGCTCAGCCTTAGAGATAGGGTGAGGAGCTCGGACATTCGGGAGGGACTCGGAGTAGAACCGCTGCTCCTCCGGATCGAAAGGAGCCAGTTGAGGTGGTTTGGGCATCTGGTCAGGATGCCTCCTGGACGCCTCCCCGGGGAGGTGTTTCGGGCATGTCCTGCCGGCAGAAGGCCCCCGGGTCGACCCAGGACACGTTGGAGAAGTTACATCTCCAATCTGGTCCGGGAACGCCTTGGGGTCCTGCCGGAGGAGCTGGTGGACAAGGCCGGGGAGAGGACGGCCTGGAGCTCCCTAGTTGGGATGCTGCCCCCGCGACCCGGACCCGGATAAGCGGAGGAAGACGACGACGACGACGACAACTACGAAATGTTTAAAGTATGTAGTTCATCTCTAACAGTATTTGTAAACTAAAAAAGCCCGTTAAAAAGTAAATGCTTTAGGTTTTATGCTGCTCGCCTACCTGTGTGTGTGTGTGCGTCCTGGGCACTGACATTATTCGCTTTGGTTTTATTAGACTAGCTGTACAAGAGACCGTCTACCAATAAATCTACCACGCTTGCGTCTCGTTGATTTTCTGCTTTGTACATTATCGCCCTGACACTTGACAGCTAGATAACATAAGATGTTTTAGACATAGATTTTAAATAAACAACGGTTGGAATTAATAAATCTATAGACAATAAGTTGTATTTCACGCCTTTCGTTGTTTGTTCAGGTATGTATTTGTGCGACGGTCTCTAACATTTCTAAACGCGTTGGTTTTAGTTTCATTTCTGCTCTCTTCAAGGGGTAAATGAGAGCTGCATTCAATGGCTGCTCGGAGTTTTCAGTTTCAATACTGGCAAAGAGGAAACAACCACATCTCATCAGGATTTTACCTTTTACAAGCACTGGGATCGTGTGCTTAGACTTTACTGCAGCTTAAACTATACGTAATGAAAATAAAGATGTTAAATTTGTTCCGCTTAGTATAATCAAAACATCAACTGCTAAAGTATGGCGTGTATAATGTCATGTTGCAAATTCAGATAATTTATTTTGATTATTTTAGAAGTAGTTTTTTTTTTTTACATTGAATTTAAGCTCATTTTCTCCAGTTACCATTTAGATAATCCATCTTTTACTCCTGGCTATGAAACACAGACCTGCTTTATTGCATTAATAAATTAATACAATTTATATTAATTTAAACTTTAAAAACTACATTAAATCTTACATTAAGGTTCGTTTGCAGATTTACTTCTACTGGGTATTTTGGTGTTAAGGGAATATTTACATTTTAACACTTTTTTTGTCTTTTGACACAAACATTAGCTCATTAACTTAATAATTGCATACTTAAAGCGAAACCGTCAGGAAACACCAGAAACATGTTTTTAAAGCTGAACTTGGTGTTTTGTGACATTAGGGCGTCATCTAGTGGTGAGAACGAGCACAACAGTTGATCAGAGGAACAAGAACTTCAGAACAAAACGAACTTTGATCCATTTTAAAATGAATAATAGTTATCCTGTAAATCCTGTTGTTCCATAACTCAGTCTATATTAACATTAACGATCTGAAGAGAATAGCTAGCAAACAAGAATAAGAGCTCAATATGACAATGAATTATGGATATACCCAGTTTTCAGTTATGTATTTAAACAGGAAATTGTCTCAATTTAGGATAATAAAAACTGATGCCTTATAGAGTGATTTGTACTTCCTATTATTTTCTATTTAATAAATTATAAATTGTGACAAAATACAAAAAAAAAGTTTTATTGAAATGAAAGCAGATATTAAATCAAAAACTTTCCTCCACTCACCAAGGTTAAAAATAAAAAATAAAAACACACCAAATAAATGGAGACCACCCCCACACCCATATTGGTAGGATTAAAAAACAGGTTATAGTTAATAAAGGAGTTACAGACAGATCAGGGCCAAAATACAATTTTATGTACTTTGTAATCGATCTGATTCATACTTTTGGG